TATAACGATTTAGAATGATATGCCCCCTTAAGCTGTCACCTCTCTTAGTACACGTAAGCCAGAGCTTAGTCTACCAACGAGAAGTGTTAACTTGTTGAAAGCACTAGATATTCTGAGATCGGTAGGTCGTGTGGCCCCAGACATCAGGTAGTGTGGCGAGTGGAGGGCTGGTGCAACTGGACACGCAGCCAATCAGCGATGAGCAGGCGACAGACAGGTAGTTTGGTGGTTCGAGGTGGAGCAGGTGTTCCTGGCTGCATACGTTTGCGCTCTGGCAAACCTTGGTGGTGTATTTGTTGGATATTTCTTCCATATTAGTTTTATAGGGATGTGTAGCGACGAACTTTGGAGGGAAGAGCAGGCTCAATCTCTCTTGAAGGAGATTATCGTCACAGAAGGCTGCTAGCATCATTCGTGATGTTAACCTACCATTTTCTAGCTAACTAGCCCCTTCTAAAATAATCATACTTCGAGAAACTATTTGATCGAACTTGGGGAAAATGGACTGCTGGCCCATACAGAGCTTACGTTTTATCATATTGAATTAGCTCAAAATAGCACACTAACAAAATGGAAACTCAAGAAACTAACTTATATACTAACTTGTCCAAGCAATCCTAGGCCTAATATACGGTATCTTAGGCCTAATATAGTACATATATGTGCTATACTAGGCGTTACAGGTGTATTAACACAGACAAGGTGTATTGCGTTACAGTTTCTCCAACACAAGACCAAATACATCAGAACGATATAATGCTTTAATAAGAAAATATAAAGCGGTAACTGTTCTGTAATTTTTAGAAAGTTTCGCGTATGGGGAAATCTTAGTTGTAAATTTACGAATATAAGTTTATAAACTTACGAAGAAAATTAAATAATACACGATTAATCCATTGTTTGGTATTAACATATAAAGAACAGATCCACATGTAATTCAAAATTTGACCCTTCAATTATTTATGTCATTTGTCTGACCTTTTTAATTATCATGACTGTTCTGTGTTTTTGAAAATGCCCATTATTACCAAGAATAAAAAACTACTCTAATATATGATCGCTCATCTTGCTGGCAGAAAAGGTCACTCAGAGATTGGACTCGGAAGACGGGTTTTTGCTATGGACTTATTCCAAGATTACAGGTCAAGAGTTTTTTGCTAAAAAAATGACAAAGCGATAAAAAGAATTTAGCAGTATCCTCTGATACAATTACAGAAAACGAGAATGGACTTGTTGCCAATAACAGAAAATGAGAAGTGGTAGTTGCACAAATTTCATTTAAGAGAATAAAGGTAGGATAAAATAGTTACAGCTGTTTTTAAGTAATGAGCATTAGTTATTAGGACAATATACACTTCTACTTTCTGTACAGGAAAAACGGAACTGGGGACGATATTGTACTGAGGTCTGTCTATGTTATGTAAGCCATAGAAAGCTCCCGCCCCAAGCACTTACAGAACTAAGTGACACACACAACTCCTGAAGCTGAGAGAATTTTATTCGAGAACATTAAAATAAGTAAAACATACAATTTTGGAAATTATAAATGTTACAGAGATCTGTAAAAAGAGGAATGAGATTCACCTTCATCAGTTACGATAATTGGAATCAATAATTAAGGACCAAATGATGTAACCTTCACACAGTCATTAGTTAGAAAACTGCGTTTCTGACGGTAAATCTACTCGCCATCCACTGTCCATCGTCTACCTCTCATCGTTTACCTCTCACCCTCTGCCTCTCATCACAGAGGAAGATGGCTGCCTTTACCTGCTTGGTGTACCGTCATGGGGTCCAGTTTGTATCCGGTCCGTCCCAGCCGAGAGTGGACCAAGCCGACGGCCGCCGTTATGTGGTGCCAGGTATTCCCATCGCCCGTTCTTGGAGCTTTATGGCGGGCGGGCGTGGAGCGTTGTGTCTTTATGGCCGGCCGCAAGTACACTTAGAGAGTCGCCAGAGATAGTGCAGCTGTTGTCAGTCTTCTTTATGCAGGAGAATGGCTGGTAACTGCTCTCAATAACGGATGACAAGACTGAGGCCTGGTATTGGGGACGTTTCCTACGAAGATGGATTGAAATGTCTCAATCTGCACTAGCTACAGAGACGCAGAACAAAGGCGGATATGATCGAGGCTTACAGATGGGTTAGGGACATAAAACAAAGGAGTTAGGGCATAAACAAAGGAATTTTGGGACATTAACAAGGCGGTTAGGGAATATAAACATGTGGGTTAGGGACATAAACGAGTGGATTAAGAGACTAAGCAAGTGGATTAGTGATATAAACAAGTGAGTTAGGAGACATAAACAAGGTTCTGAAACTGTCAGAAGGGACGGGAACTATCAGGAGAAAGCGCCAAGTCATTTCGACAATATACAAATGGAGCCCGTAACAATGGGTGCAAGCTGGAGATATTTGGTTTTTAGGAGTAATAAAGAGAAGTACTAGTTTGGTAACAGTGCTGTGGGTGAGAATGGGCTGCCAACTACCATTACTGACACTGACAGTTTAACACGTCTCAAGGAAGAGTGGAGAGGTCCACAGGTGAGAGAGGGTCGATTTAAAGCCTAGTATGGGGCCAAGAGCCTGCTGTCGTTCACCCGAATTATTATGTTATTATAAAGCTGTAAAAAACCTCTTGTCTTATAAAGAAAATGTGTAAGCAGAATTTCTTACACGTCGGACCTTCCTGCTGCTCTTGGTGGTTTTAAGTTATTAGTGATATTAGAAGTGTGTTTAGTGTTGAGTATTGTCGCAGCAGTGTAAGGCTGGAGGCCAGCCTCTGCTCTGACACTGTTAATTGGATTTGTAAGCCTCGGTGTTCAGTGTTGGTCCATGTATGGTGAGGGTGTAGGTCCATGTATGTAGAGGGGGTGTAGTCACTGTAGGTAATTTCTGGCGGTAACTGAGTACAGTTGTCACCCTCATCAATGTTTTGAGGCACAACACGCCTCGTGTTGATGGAAAATAATTGTAATAAGAAATATATCATATTTTATTAAATACAATTTTAATATACTGTATTAGATAAGCTATATAAACTATTTTGAAGACATTAACAAAATGTAATATAAAATTAACAGTATTACATAAAGTCTTGTATTTATAAGTACGCAAGATCCAAGGAATATACTGCCAGAGGTATACCCCGTTTCTCAGTGCATGTGCACAATACTGTGGTCCTAGTTACACTCGGGGCTGTAGTATACTTGCTGGTTAATTATTCAGTTCCTGTAGTTGACTTAACTGGTTTACACTAGTGACAGGAACCCAGTTAGATTGAACGAGAATAACAGCCGTCTAGTTCTTAGGTACATATTAACCGGCCTCGGGTGAAAGAGAGCTGTGACGATCTCTGTCTGGAACCTGTAGGTACGGGACCGGGACGTCCACCTCCTGGGGCTCGTGCAGCCCAGGCTCTGCTTCAGGAGGCTGGGGTCGTTCTTGCTCTTGCTGGGGTCGTTCTTCTCCGGCCCGGACCACGGCGGTCTCCGGGTTTGGAGTCCCTGTGCCTTTTTTCACCAAACTCGAGGTAGCCTCCGGAGCTGGAGCCCCCTAGGGCAGTTCGATGTTACTTTTAACCTCGTTCTAACAGTTCCTGCCACGGCGTTGGAACCAATCGTATTGGCGTTTGTCTTTCCATTGGAGGCTTTCGGCGCCGTGGAGAGAGGGGGGGACCTGCTGCATGGGTGACAGCTTCTCCCCTGTATCAACCTATCATGGCTTTGCGCCCTGGAAAGGCCACTCAAGACCGACAACCAGAGCGCAACTCCATAGTCTCCTGAGACTGATGGATGCCTACTAATAACTGCTGGGTGAACAGAAGAACTAGGTGTAAGGTCCTCATATGTCATCTACTAACCTTCCCCAGGATACAACTCACAACATCCATAGAATTCCCAGGTACCTGTTTACTAATCGGTGAACAGAGCATTAGGTGAAAGACAACATTGCCCAAATGCTTCTGTCTTGCCCCGGGAATGGAACCAGGGATCACAGCACCTCAGGACCCCCATCGCGTTTAATAAGCTAAAGGTCAGCTACAAAAACATTTATATAACATATATTATTTGGAGAGTTCTTGTGTATGTGAGCAGATTTACGCTCTCCTGTCTACCTGGAGCGTCTGGGGTTATACTAATGTTAACTTCAAACACAACATTATATACAAGAAAGGTCAAACACACTGCAAGTCACTAAGTATTACTTACTACTATTACAAATTCGTCATGTATATTACCCATAACTTACGTGGAATACATATACTTGTATATGTGTTCCACATATACACATATTCCACATATTCCAGCATATTACGTGGACGCTGGATCCGGGTGTTACGGACCCGGATCCAGCGTCCGAGCACGGAGCATTGACGACCGCGCCATCTGTGGGTCAGCTCCCGAAACCCCCTCCCAATGGACGACGGCACCTGGTGAGGACGAAGTGTACCGGCCACAAGGGACAATTTCCAGTCCTGTGCAGCTCACAACACCGCCGCTGCTGACCTCTGGTGAGGTGGTGCTCAGACGACAACGCCATCTATGGAGTGGATATGTCGGGCGTTTGTGTCTGAGCCTGTAAGTGAGGTGCTTTAGTGTGTCCCTGTTATTGATGACGTGTCTGCTTACAGAGTCGACCTGGGACTGCTGTGATGGAAGTTGAGTCAGTCTACCCAAGGCAGCCGACCCCATACCTTGTGCTTTGCTGCAGCAGCTGTGAGTCGCCTCCCGGAGGAACACTGTGGTGTTACCCTGCCAGTGAAGTGGCAGTAGAAGGATTGTCGTACCCGGGACCGACTGCTGGAGACGATTGACCACTGGGGTATTGAGGACAGGAGAGTGATTTGTGGTATCACACGAGGCTCCTGACTAGGGCGCTACCCTAGTATTGCTCGTGGAGTGGCCTGAACAGCGTTGCTGATCCGGAACCTGCCAGCAGTTTGCTGGACTTATGGTTGACGGCCTCCACGGCGGTGCCCCCAGTGGGACTGTGTTTTGGCTGGCCTGTGTCCAGGGTAGACTCAGCTTGTTGAAGGATTCGTCGAGAGACCACGTGAGCACCGAGAACTTGGCACCGAGAGAAGACAACCGTGTATATACTTCCCCTGTGTAGTGTTAATACCCCTCCCCCCCGTGTAATCTTTTATACATTATTTATTTATTGGTGATGGTAATAATTATAATCTTAAGTTTTTGCCTTTATTTCCCTTCCCCTTTAAGTTAATTGCGTTACGGATCTCATCCCTTGAAAGCCACTACTGGCTTGGGGCCAGATACCCTTCCTCTAACAACATCAGAGTAAGAACCCAGTTGCGACCCGAGAGGGCCGTAACAATATATATACGTATAAATATACAGATGTAAAACAACGTGATGGCTTGAACTGTTTACAGTCAAGGAATTTGTATTTCATGTCAAACGTATTTCCTGATATTTCCAAGGTCACCGTCCGTGACTCTGGCCTCGGGCCCGTGTGGTGCAGGTTACTACACGGGCCACAGCTTCTGTACCTCCTCACACGGCACAGTGACTGACAGCTGGTAGGGTGATCAGCTGAGGTATCCCCAACAGCTGAGAGCTGGTAGAGTATTGAACCGAGTTAGACGTAGTGGTTGAGAAAAGGCTGGGAGGTTAGCTGAGGGTTTCTTAGTGACTGAAGACTGACATGAAAGTGAAGACTTGCAGGAAGATCAGTTGAAGTTTCCATAGACGTTGAAGGCGTTGAGGTAGCAGACGGCTGCCGTGTGCAGGAAGTCATACTGTTCCTGTTGGGTGTAAACAACAAATAGTCATGTTTAATACATTCCCTTCCCCGTCACCAACCAATATACTACTTGCTCGGCATTATCATGCATTCTGCCTATTTATTACTTACGTACTACGGATGCAGAATTTGATATTCCTAATTATTACTTAACTACCAACAAACTAAAATGTCATTTGTGCTTTTATTCCAAAAAAATATTGAGATTAATCACAAAGCCTTCGCAAACCTAAGCACATCAACACGCCTTCGCAATTCAGCTGACAGTTTAATAATTATATATATATATATATATATATATATATATATATATATATATATATATATATATATATATATATATATATATATATATATATATATATATATATATATATATATATATATATATATATATATATATATATAAATATCAGTCACCAAAGAGAAGTGTGGAGGACGCGAGGGGTTGTGGGACACATAACACGGGGGACAAGAGGATACAGTCAGTGTACACACGCATCACTGTCAAAACTGTGATGAGAAGATTCTAGATTAGGCTACGCTAGGTTAGGTTACCCTCGCTAGTACATAATACAAATAACAGTCATTTAGCGAGCCGTCTTATGTAGGAAATGTGTAGCAGTGAGAAGTGCTCACTGCCACACACACGTCTTGAGAAAATGGGAGGAAGAGCGGAACTTACGACACTGGTGATGAACTGAGGTCTGTCGTAGATGACGCTGAGGACGGAGCGGTAGACGTCAACCTCCTGCACCAGCTTCATCCTCGCCACCAGCTGCAGCAGCGCCATCATCACCCCGCACCCCGTCACCCCGTCCCTGTGTCACACTCAGTGTTAGTTCTCCTGCACCAGGGACACCATCACCCCCGTCCCTGTGTCACACTCAGTGTTAGTTATCCTGCACCAGGGACACCATTACCCCCGTCCCTGTGTCACACACAGTGTTAGTTATCCTGCACCAGGGACACCATTACCCCCGTCCCTGTGTCACACACAGTGTTAGTTATCCTGCACCAGGGACACCATTACCCCCGTCCCTGTGTCACACACAGTGTTATCCTGCACCAGGGACACCATTACCCCCGTCCCTGTGTCACACACAGTGTTATACCCTGCACCAGGGACACCATTACCCCCGTCCCTGTGTCACACACAGTGTTAGTTATTGCACCAGGGACACCATTACCCCCGTCCCTGTGTCACACACAGTGTTAGTTATCCTGCACCAGGGACACCATTACCCCCGTCCCTGTGTCACACACAGTGTTAGTTATCCTGCACCAGGGACACCATTACCCCCGTCCCTGTGTCACACACAGTGTTAGTTATCCTGCACCAGGGACACCATTACCCCCGTCCGTGTCACACACAGTGTTAGTTATCCTGCACCAGGGACACCATCACCCCGTCCCTGTGTCACACAGTGTTAGTTATCCTGCACCAGGGACACCATCACCCCGTCCCTGTGTCACACAGTGTTAGTTATCCTGCACCAGGGACACCATCACCCCGTCCCTGTGTCACACAGTGTTAGTTATCCTGCACCAAGGACACCATCACCCCGTCCCTGTGTCACACAGTGTTAGTTATCCTGCACCAGCTGCACACCCCACTCTTGTCATAGTGTTAATCATGCAAACATTTTTTCACAAAATAAGAATACATGAACTGCGTCTCGCTGAATCCTAAAGATGATATTAACAAAATACTTAAAATGTTACTCGAACAAGATCAGGGAGGAATATTACAATTTGTGATCTGTGTCAACACATATGGAAGAGCACTGCATCATCAGGATTCTTTTAATTCTAGGGAACGAATAGAATCTTGAGACATGTCGAGTATAACCTCGGATATAATGACAAGAGCACATGACTATGAGAACATACTGACTTACTTTGCAAAAAAACATTTAATTACAAATTTCACTTGAGTTACAAATTACAGAATATAATTAGTGACTCTTGAAAACCACTATTTTTCACTGTCACAATCACAATGTTGCTCTCGTCCTTCACATATACGATCATTAAGCTAGCTTTCATTAGTAGGCTTATGAGTCAGAAATATGACAACTATTTTCATTAGTTTAGCGTAGAATTTTCTTTGCATTCTCCACAATTGACACGTTTTCTTTGATTCTATGGTTAGGGTGTATTTAAAATACACACTAATATATATATATATTTTTTTTTTTTGAGATATATACAAGAGTTGTTACATTCTTGTACAGCCACTAGTACGCGTAGCGTTTCGGGCAAGTCCTTAATCCTATGGTTCCTGGAATACGATCCCCTGCCGCGAAGAATCGTTTTTTCATCCAAGTACACATTTTACTGTTGAGTTAAACAGAGGCTACAGTTAAGGAATTGCGCCCAGTAAATCCTCCCCGGCCAGGATACGAACCCATGACATAGCGCTCGCGGAACGCCAGGCGAGTGTCTTACCACTACACCACGGAGACTGTAAATCTTAAGCTTAGTGTTAATCTATCAAAAACTTCAGAAAGAATAAGAATCCGGTGGCTTGTCAAGGGCGCGACCATTATGCCTGAGGATTTTTCCCAGTTGTATATAGAACTAAAGCATTGATCAATTTTTCATAGAGTCTGCTACACCAGTTTTCCTACAGCCTTCTAAGTATATGTGTCCGTTCATCTTATTTAGGACATGTTTTTACACAACAGTCTGCTGTGAACCAATGTTAATTAATTTGTTCAGAACCAACATTTAGTACAATCTGTTGACAACCAATGTTCAATAGAGTCTGTTTAGAACCAGAGTTCAATATAGCCCGCAGATGGGCAGTGTTTGCAGCATTTTAGAGAGACACAAAATTAAGTGACCTACTTGCAGGTAAACAGGCTGGAGCTCTTGCTTTGGCTAATGGCTTCTACCCTCTCTAAGACGGTGAGGAGAGGCTCAGGGGAGGCCGGCAGGAGGTCGGAGTGAGGCCAACCATTCATCAACAACAGCACACACTTGTGGCATGCTGAGGAATGCTGTCAACAGCAATAATGGTCTCAAACACACACACCAAAATGTCAAGTAACATCACACATTCTCTGCTAAAGTAAGAACCGAGGAGTTTATTGATTAATTGAACACCAGCAAGAACATGAAACATTATTGGCACAAATATACTTACCCTATATCAAAACTTACTAAACGTATCATAACATATGCGAAGTTCACAGTATCTTAGTAAGATACAGTCACTTGAAAATTTAATTAATGTTAACTTTCTGGCTGGAGCACGGTAAATGCACGTAGTACTGCTAACTTAGTGACAGGTATGTACGTACTACGCTAGTACGTAGTATGTACTAACTCTATAAATCCAACATTATGTTTGTAACTCATCTTGTATGTATGTACTTTTACCTGAGTAAACGTTTGAATTGATTTGATTTGTATAATTAAGCTAGTACGTAGTGCTGTGAACTTATTACATACAGTAGCATCAACTTACTGTGGCTGGGTAACCTACAACTGGTACTGTCAACTTACTGACTTAGGAACGGTAATCTCCACGTAGTACTCAGTAAAGTTCTGGAAGACTTGACTCCCAGTCTGCTTGATCACCATTTTGCCAACAGTCTGCGGCTCCACGCCGGGCACAACATCAGGGAAGTCCTGCCAACACAATGATAGTGTTACTGGCTGAGATAGTTTTGAGAACACAATGATGGGATAATATATAATATATAATATCTATAGGCAGTGTGGACAACATACCGGGTGGAGTGGAGGCAGGGTGTGCAGCAGGGTCCATACAGGGACTCGTCTCTCATACACCAGGCGCCACAGGTCCCGTACAGTGTGTGACTGAGGGTGTTCTCCAATCATGTAGGCGTCCTGTACAACAGAATAACTGATATGATATGATCTTGTACAGTATAATTACTGTTATAACATGGTCCTGTACAACGTGGTCATTAGTATAACATGCTCTTATACGTAACTCATGACCTACCTTGCGGTCCATACCGTTGACTCTGGCCACGTTGACATACTGCGTCTCCAGACCGCCGCCCAAACTCTGGAGGAACACCATCCTGCTGTCCGCTGCCCACCACACAACACTGTTAGTCTCAGCAGTATAATATACACCAGTATAAATACCATTTTATTCACAAAAAATAGCTTAGAAAACGTGTCAGAACTTGTCCTGTCCCCGGTGGACAGGACAACCACATGACCCCACATGACATCCACATGACACCACATGACACCACATGACACCCACATGACTCATCCCACCCTACCTGGAAGGATGTCAGCGTCCCTGTTGAGGTGGGAACACTTCGGGTCACTTGCAAACTTGAAGCTCAGGTCCTTGGGCATGGCCTTCAGCTTCTGTAAACAATGACACAGAACAGTGTGTGAGGCGTTGTCTATATGAGTGTCAGGTGTTGCAGAGGTAGTGGAGATGGAGATTCTGGTGTTAGGGTGATAGTTCTGGTGGAGGATATCGTATAGCAGAGGTGCTGGAGGGAAGGAGAGGGCTGCTGGTGTTGGTGGAGGACACCACAGGACTCACCTGGAACTGTTGGAGTATAGTGGAGGTGTTGGAGGGAGGCTGAGGGAGACGCAGCTCCTCCACCACCTTGGGGAACTCTCCACAGGTGTAGCTGGTCTTCACTCCGGACAACACTTCCTGCAGCAGCTGGTGACCGAAGATGTACTGCATCTGTAATACAGGTCCAGTCCTTTAGTGCATTACCACCACAGTATCCTTACTCTAGTACCACAGTACCAGTACTTTAGCACCACAGTACCAGTAGTTTAGCACCACAGTACCAGTACTTTACCACCACAGTCTTATAGTTCCAATACCATAGTACTAGAGTATCGGTACTTTAATACCTTAGTGTCATAGTTCTTTAGTTCAATAGTACAAATACCTAAGTTCCAGAACACAGAAATTACTTTAGTACTACAGTACTAAAGTAGTTTACCACCACCTTCTTTGTGAAGGTGATGACCACCACCACTACTCAGTAGTTGAAGGTGAATCCTCACAACCACAAAGCACACAAGATGAAAGTGACTTCACCGCAGCTCTTGTGGCCACTTGGTGAAGGTGACTCACAATGTTCTCCACCAGTCTTGGTCGACCGTTCCTGAGGTTGAGGAGCGCCTGGTGGGGGTCGATGTACTGGGAGGTGTTGAGCTGCTCCAGCATCTCCAGCACCAGCAGCACCGTCCCCGTCCTCCCGATCCCTGCGCTGTGAGGGGGAGCAAACTCTCAGGACCAGGTCTTGGTATACCTTTACTAGGAGCATATATACACACGCAGGTGTCAGCTGTAATGTGATATACTTACACAGGTGTCAGCTGTAATGTGATATACTTACACAGGTGCTAGCTGTAATGTGATATACACACACAGGTGTCAGCTGTGGCGTGATATACACACACAGGTGCCAGCTGTAATATATGGCACAATTAATAGTGCCATATATTAGTACCTGTCGTATGGTATACACTAGAATTAATTTCTGGGTTCAACCCAGAAATTAATTCCCCAAAAAAATGGCTTGCAAAAAAATTTAAAATAAACAAATGTTTCATTATGATCATGTATAGAAAATTATAGGAAGTTTTGGAAATGATAATTAAAGACGCTACAGTTTGGCCTCAGTGAGCTGAGAAAGGGCGAGTTACCCCAAGAATACTCTTGAAGCCCCATGATGAGTGAATAACAATTCTAAAAATATTATTTTTGTGCTGCGTTATATAATAAAGATGCGGACATTACGAGACGACGTAACAGTTCCTACTTGTCCTATTGTGGCTTTAATGAATTTCTAAATATTAAAGCAACATATTTATTCTCATGTTGGTACATAAAAAACATGGACATAGTTCAGACTGACGGGAACACTTTTAACTTTCTTCTTTAGATATGACATATGTGTGCATGTGTCTTATGAAGGGTTTGAGAATATGAGGAAACACGACGGTTTAAAACCGGCGTCGCCGCCTCACTCCTCATCCTCCCTCACACACGGACATGTGTTCTCTCTCTATATATATCATCCTTTGCTTCCACAAGTTCACTCAGGGAGACCTATTGTAATCAATAATCACAAATATATCAAATAAACCAATAATATCCTGTTTGTTTAAACGCTTAGGCCGGGAGTCATCGTGAGCGAGGCAGGTAACATGCTCTCTCCCTAGTGGTGGTGTGAGCACTGACTCGCTGGAAACCTTTCAAACCCAGCAGAGACCTCTGTTGGTCGGAGGCAGCAACCACACCTCAGCTGGATGATTTTCAGCCACTCAGAATTGGAAGCCTTCCCGGACGCCAGCTGTACTATGAACGAAAGTGATCGTTAACGATCAGGGACACGAACTGCAATCTAAGGACAAACAGCTGCTAAATTAATTTAACATTTACGTCACAGAAGCAAGTAAAGTATTATTTTCAAACATTATCTATTTTGCTCTTAACTGTGAATTAACGCAATGAATGTTTACTCTTGTTAATTAGGGTTACGGTCTGCTGCTTGTAAGTTATTTCCTCCTTATAGTTATTATGTAAACAGTTGTTTTTTTTGTCCCGTATAGTCTGAAGTTACATGGGTATAGTGGGTGTGGGAGTGAGGCCTAACCGGCAGCAGTGAGTGACTACAGGTCATCCCGGTTGTGCACGGTAAAACCTGCCGTGTATCTTGACAGGCTGAGTGAATCATACCTACAGTGAACGGTGTCGCAGAGCATAATTACAGTGGACGGTGACGGGAACATACCTACAGTGGACGGTGACGGGAACATACCTACAGTGGACGGTGACGGGAACATACCTACAGTGAACGGTGAAGGGGCCAGTAGCGGGCTCCTTGGTAATGTGCTTGATCATCTGTGCCAGACCGTAGGGGTTCTGTGGCACACCATGGTCGGGCCAGGCTGTGTACTGGTACTGCTTCACCTGCACGCCCGCACATACACACGGAATTAGTACACAATATTGTATAACAGTTTGTATACTACGTTATCCATGAGATATAGGCAAATAAGGTCAGAATAGCTGAAGTTTAAATAGGCTGCCTCTACAGCACTGGTATTCCTGCTGCCTCTACAACAGTGGTTTTGAAGTGCCTCTACAACTCACCTCTCTCACTTCGTCCATCTTCCTAACTTCCATCTTCCTTATGACGAAGTCCAGCTGTCGATAGGAATTTAAATCAATTACATCGGGTGAAAAATGTTGATGTTCAGTGAAAATGTTGTTGCCTTACTGCCACTCCTTGAGACTTGTCATGCTTCGGGAATTATCACGTGAAATATCTAAATGAGTCTCATGTGCACATGAATATATTGTGAGAAGTTAATTATGAGGGAGAGAATGAGTAACGAAGGAGGGGGAATAATTAAGATGTATAGAAGAGTAGAGCCTGAAAATGAACCTGGGGAAGGGAGAGAGAGAGTAGGGAGAGAGAGACAAAATGATACGAAAACCCAACAAAATAGAAGCCTATCCGGGGAGTGTCAAACAAAGCGTGTAACCCTGCATGAATATAAAGACATGTGCAGCTTACCTGGACCTCTGTGGAGACCATTTTAACCTCTATACCGTCTTTGACCAGAGGCTGACCCTCGTCCGGCCAGTACTGTGCCACCTTCACCTGCAAGTGATCAGTGACTATATACTGTGTGCACATGTACGAACATCTGCTGCTTAAAGATTGTTATCAGACTCTTTGGAATATTTCCTATAAATAAGATATTATTATATTATTATTGTGATGATAAACCATCAGATTGTATTCTGGAATATGGAAAACACCGTAGTACCGCAGGGACACACTGTAGCACTCGGGGTGTTAGACGGTGCACCTGTTGTTGCTTGCGAACCGTAATGGGTCAGCTGGGACTACGGAGCATCACAGTGCACCCCAGGGACTTGGCCAGTATCCCCGAGGCTCACTGTGTATCCCAGGAGCTCAACAGGCATCCCTTTGACTCAGACGGCACCACATACTTTCTGCTGACAGTTGAGAGGCGGGACCAAAGAGCCAAAGTTCAGCCTCCCGCAAGCACAACTAGGTGAGCACATGGATTCCATGTAAGCGCAAAGTATCACCTACCTTACTACCCCCCCCCCCCCCACACACACACCTTAAGTAGCATCCCTGATTAACAGATCCCACTGTTTCCCCGTGGCTTAAGTGGAATTCCAGAGGTTATTTGGCACTCCAGGAGTTTATCTAGCACACCATAGGTTGAGCTGATACCCAAGAAGCTCATTCATCACCTTTTGAGGTTCATAAGGCTCTGAATGTGTTCAGACGATAACACCAGGTGTTAGTACACCTGAGAATCCGCTTGTACCATGGGGGGAGGGTGGTCTCTTGGTATAACAACAGCTCAATAAATTACATACCCAAACTGCTTAGTTGAAAGGCCTCGGATTATATTTACTTGACACTTCCATGACTCAGTAATTCCACAGAGGATCAAATGGTACGCTTGGATCTGACATGACCCAGGAGTGAGCACCTTGAGAGCTCAAGTGGGGCTCATAAGGCCCCACTATCCAGGTAAATAACCTGTTGGCACTCCAGAGCTCAAGTGTTACCTCTGAGTGATTTGAACAGTGTCTTGAGCACCGGAAACAGTTCAGCTGAAGCAACCCGTCCGCCTGTTTAGATAGTTTGCAACTGTGGACTATCGTTCATGTATTAACGTAATGGACAATTAGATAGTAGAATTTAGTACTTTTCACTTCATAGCGTCCTGAAAAAATGAAAATAAAAATTAACATAAATATTCCTTAGCCTAATATAGAACATATTTTTTATACTATATTAGGCTTCAGATAACGTGAATTAGGCCTTGGGTGGTTAGGTTAGATTTTAATGGCGACAAAAATACAAAACCTTTTCCGGTTTCTTCAATTCAATAGTACCAAATTCTACTTTCTAATTCTCCATTATGTCAATATATGTACGATGGTCGACTTTGTTACTATAAGTACCATCTAAACAAGATAATACAAGGAACACCCTCTTCCTTGTTTCAAGAGGCATGCATATACTCATATAAACATGTCAGACGGTCCAAGGTAACTCTTAGCTCAAAATAGAGAGAAATAAGATGTATATTTGTTGTGAAATTTTTGTAAACGTGAATTTCGGAGGGAGAGCCTAGGCTTTGAGATTTCAAATATGGCGATGAGTAGTGTCTTCACTCAAGGGAGAGCTTCTCGCCCACTAAGCCAGGCGTATCCTATACATGCAATATCAGACGGTAACAAACATCAGTAACCACAACCTTTCACGTAAGATAAATATTAATTACGATACACTAAACTGTGGATGATCGTAAAGCATTGTTAAGCAAACTGGTATTTAAAGCTTGAAAACAGGGGAGGCAGGAAGGGTGAGGAGGGACGCCAGTACCGTCTTGCCACCCGCCCAGGCAACACCTCGCTCACGCTAAATACCGAACAACCTCACGCTAATCTTTATGTATACATACTAGTGATTGTGTATAACAACATAAGTGATTATGTAGGAAGATAATGTGAAAGAATTGGATAAAAATTTGCGAATGGTTAACGAAAACTTTAAATTATTAAAATGGGAAGACAGCCAAGACAGTCGTGTTGGGCCCCAACAGGAATTATTACTAAGTGTTGAAAATTTGTTTTAATTGGACGAGTCTTGTAACCTAGACTTATTAATGTATACAAAGTGAAGAGTGAGGTGACCGCAGCACACAGCTGACACAACTCCCAGTCAGCTGTGTGCGAGCTAACCACAGTACACAGCTGACACAACTAGTCACCTGTGTGAGGTGACCAACACACAGACAACCTCCGGCAACACATCAGGTAAGTTTCAGACTTCAGTCTTCCAGCTGCCGGCACTGGTGAGTATTATATGGAGTGTTTTGTAACCATCGTGTGATCTTATTTCGAGTAATATTGTCTTTGTCGAAATTACGATACCCCGAATTTCACTGCGGGAGGTTATTTCCCATAGAGACGAGTCGTTGGGGGGGAGGGGTAGAAATAGCCTAAGCTACTCTATCCCTTTGAGATGTATTTTCTGGTCTCAATAAACATACTTGAAGTTGAACTAGAAACGAGTCGTTTAGGAGTTGTCGGTCGGTCACAGCAGACAACGGTAGCGTGGCTCTCCTGTTATGTTGATTAGTAAATGTAGTTTTCCACAAACTACATTTTTATTGAAACTGATCCTTATTGGGACATCAAAGACACCCCTTATCATGTAGCTTTAAATAGTTAACAGTGCTGACTGTGATACTAAGAGCCCAAGCCACTTGTCAAGAGCAGATGTGCTGTAGAGGACATTTAGCATGAAACCTATAGAGGCATTCGTCATTTTCAATAGGCTTCTTTCAACTTGGTATTTTTTAATTGTTTTTAATTGTTCTTATTGTTCTAATTCTGTAACAATCGTTCTGAGAGACGTCACTTCGCAATAAGATTTGGCTTCATGAGACAACAGATACTGAGGGAGAAGTATTGACCATTATATTCATCAACCCACACGTATCCCAGACCTACTACACTTTCACAATCCATCATACTTCCCTTTCAACTGATAGCTCATCATATAATTATATTTCATCTGCTCCCTTCGGATCTTTTGGCCATAACATAGGGTGCTGATCCTTTGCAATGCTCGACTGCCACACTGACCGGGAATTTTGGTTTGTAAAGTGAACCAGTCACAGAAAGTATTATCTTGATTTTTTTAAATAAATAGTTTTGTCAATTAATAAGTAAGGAAACTGCCGTCGATTAGGAACTCTATTTCTAAAACTCCTATCTTAGCGATTGCCAAGGGTGCTTCCAAAATGTTGTCCACTTCTAGCCTAAAGAAAAAAATTCCCTTCTGGGTTATATACAGATGATTCGCGCTTGTCTAGTATACTGCTCTTATATCTGGGATAGCTTCTCCCTCTACCAAAATTCAAGAGGAAAGCTGTTCGTCTTATCAATTTATCTGACAGGTAAGCCTATGTAATACGCCTTCCTCTGCAATGTTGCTTCTCTTACTCTTCTACTGCCACTTACATGGTTCGGTGTCTTAGGGACTTGCGACATATGCATCAGTCTTCAAGAATGGTCTTGTAATACTTGAACTGGGGCTTCCCCCCCCCCCCCCGAAAAAAAAGCTCATAATCTGTATTTTTTGTCATCCTTCAACCATCCTGTAGAATGGACCATAACTATGTTTTCTCTGAAAATTACTATCATGTCTTTAACGAGCTGTTTGAAAATCTTAATTTGTAACTAAAAGTAATGTTTTTTGATTCACTTTTTTTTTGTTCATGCGGTTGAGTTTACTTTAGGTCAAAACAGTGACCTAAAAAAAACGTTCTGTTTGTACTATGGCTATGAATTTTATAACATTCTTTCTTAAAGATTTTCAAGTCTTGAGTTATTAAAGGTTTTGAAGATGTAGAGAGCATAGGAATGCTTAGTGTGTTTGAAGATTTAATATTGTTTGTAGTATTGCGGTTGCTGATGAACGCCCAAGATTAATAATTTCGTACGAAATAATGATGAGCTCCAAATGATTCTGCGAGGTATACTCGTAACTCCATCGTGGTATACTCGTAACTCCATTATGGTATACTCGTAACTCCATTATGGTATACTCGTAACTCCATCATGATATACTTGTAACACCATCATGGTATACTCGTAACTCCATCATGATATACTTGTAACTCCATCATGGTATACTCGTAACTCCATCATGGTATACTTGTAACTCCATCATGGTATACTTGTAACTCCATGATATACTTGTAACTCCATCGTGATATACTCGTAACACCATCATGATATACTCGTAGTTTCATCACGATATATTCATAACACCATCGTAGTTTAACTGTTCTTCACACTGTTGGACAGCAAACCATATCAGAACACACATCTACATCATTAAATACACAACTTTCTCAGTTGTATTTCAGGAATTGCCTGGGTAATGAATCTTTACCTAAATTATGAATTCCAGACATGTTAGTTACAGTAGTAACATTTGACGTTTAGGATACAGACGTAAGGGATGCTAGGCTAATTGAATTCAGGATAAATTCACTACTCTGCTCTTGTATTTCTGGCTAAATTATTCTACGTCATAATATTCCAAAACAGTATGAAGTAGGCGCTGATAATTTTTTTTTATAAATTAGTTGGTCTATTTTTTCAATCATTCTATGGTCTTGTATCCAACATATCCAGAGTCTACAGATTAAGAAGTTTATTATCCAGATGACTATCTAACTACTATTGACATGGCACTTCGGAATACTTTGTAGTTTGCACTTTGAGATGGTCAGTTCTCCAGCGATGTCAACAAAACCAGCAATTACCAGTTTCATGCTCGTTACCCCAGCTGGCCTCTCTTCTGAATGAGTTAGGTTTAGTTAAAGATAAACTCTGGCTAGGATATATCACAGTACGTTTGTTCAGGTTAGGTTAGAAGCAAATTATAAGCGAAACAATTCGATCATTAAATATTCCACTGAAACTGTAGTAAACGAAATGCGACAAGTTATATTGAGGACAAGCTAGTTAGTCTTAAGCACTGTAAATGTTATTAGAAAAAATGAAGTTTTAGTAAGAAAAACTTATGTGGGGAGATGTTCTACCTTCGTCTCTTATAGATTAGCACATACTGACGTTTTGATCAAGACACTTTACAGTGCAGGTTACTAGTGGCTTGCTTATACGAAAACAAACGCCCTGGTCACACCAAATCAAAATGGGATTTACCGTATAGCCTCTCTGTGACTCCAGATAATTCGCACAACAACAATTAATTGATATAGGTTAAAGGATGGACCTGGCGAGGTTCTACCATTCAGTTTAATAACCGACTTCTTCACTGTAACTCTGAGGGTTCCTCCAAGGCACCACCTACCACGCCAGTAACCCCCTATATACCAGAGGTTCCTTTAGGGCACCACGTACTCACTCCTCACCTTGCCGTTCTCCTCGAGGTTGGCGACCATGATGATGATGGGGCAGTGAGTGTGCCAGATCATCCTCCAGAAGTCCCCAATGGTGTCAGCGTTGAAGTCCTTCGGTCCTTGCGAGGCGATGAACGCATCAGGTTTGGTGTGACCCTAAAGGAGATTAGGACACAACGTCAGTGTACAGGTCCTTGGACATTTGTACAGACTTGGAGGATAATATAGGGAAATTCTGCATCAGTATTGAAGTCTTAGACTCCTGTGAATGCCTTGAGGAGAAACAGAAAATTGTTGGTCAGTACTGAAATCCGTTGGGATCTTGTTTATTTGTGCGGCCCTGGAGGAGGCGGTAGGAATATAGGGTGTCACTTGGGAAGCTCTTGTGTAAGTGTGTGTTGTCTTGGAAGACATAGTGGCAGAGATGAAATCCTTGGGGCGCATGTAGGTGAACAAAGTGAATATATTGTACATTTTTGAAAGTCAAAGCTATCCACTCAACAGTGCATAGACATGTATAAAGAGAAAAGCGCGAATTCAAACTAAATATCTAGACGGTTCTTGAAAGAAGAAATCAAAATAGTTGATTAGATAGAAGTGTTAATCCATTCAACAAAATGGCTAGGGAATGGAAAACTTATCAGCGAAGCATTCAGTTCTTGGATTATGGAATGACGGTGTATTTGTAAACGCCCCCCCTCCCATCCCTCCCCCCTCACCTGGATGTAGCTGGCGTTGATGTAGTCACTGTGAGGTTGGTCTGGGAGCGGTGGCAGTCTCACGCGGGTGTCGTCATCTGTAATGTACACTTATTATTCTCTTACACCTGTACCATATAGTGACTCATCACAGGTGCACTTACGCGAGGTAACAGGTAGGTCTTTCTAACAGCAACTCACACGGGGTAACAGCTTGACCTAACACCAACACACTTGGCGTAACAGCTAGGTCTATATAACAGAAACTCGCAGGACACAACAGCTAGACCTAACACCAACACACATGGAATGACAGGTAGGCCTATTTAACAGCAACTCACACGGGGTAACAACTAGGCCTAACACCAACATACATGGGGTAACAGGTAGGCCTAACAGCAACACATGGGGTAACAGGTAGGCCTATATAAGAGCAACTCACACGGCAGGTTGTTCTTGTAGCGGTTCTTGCGGCGGTGTTCCTCTCGTTGGCCGTCGTGACACGTCTTGTCCATGTACACCCTCACGCTCTGACGCACACCGCATCACATTACGTTATTTTCATTATAACATTACATTATTTACATTATAACATTACATTATAACATTACATTATTTACATTATAACATTACATTATTTACATTATAACATTACATTATTTACATTATAACATTACAATAATTACAACACTCAACAATGCACAAAACAAAGCAGAAGGTAAAATAGGGAACATGATAATGTTTAATACTGAGCAAATACAAGTAAAAGAAACTTCAAACATTCTCTTGGCATATTGACGTGTTCTGAGGCGTGATTGTGGTTAGGTGGGGGGAGGGGTGAAGGGTACAGTTTACATAAGAGACAAGCTCAGGAAACTCGAAATGCTACTGACCTTGAACTCTACGTCGGTGTCCTGCGAGTGGATGGCCCTGGAGAGATAGGCTTCAACCTGAGCTGATGGAATCCTACGTGAGACATTGGCATATTCAGACTCGGTCACAATAAGGGATGCATTCTGATACCCTTCTCCGCCGCGGGGAGGATCAGGGACCTCTTCCTCGGCCACGGGGTTCTCTTCTAGAACTTTCTCCACCGTAGGGGTCACAGCCCGCTCCTGAGTGGGTCGCCCTCCGGCCTCTGAGGTCAAACTCAGACGGTGAAGAACAATTTGTGACGAGTGGTTCTCTTTGTCTAACACACCTGCATGATAATTACGAATTATATAGCAGTCACCTGATAATTATTACTTAAGCACTAATAGTAATAATGATAATGATTCTTAATATAAGAGCAATACCATTTTACACAACACCGAGTTAGGTTTGATTTGGTCGTTGTGTTGCAAGCTAGAACTACAGTGTGTGCTGTTGACTGCAACACTCTGAATCTTCCTGTTACCAGTGTACCAACGTGTGGGTCAAATTGATTGGAGGGGCTTGGGTGTGGGGTGTGGGCCGGTCTTGGAGCGAGGCATGAGCCCAGCGATGGGTGACTTGGGTGGGGATTTCGATGTGGATTCAATGTATAACTTGTTTAGGGATGTTCTGGGCAGAGCACGGGAGCGTGGTATACCATGCGGATTGAGTGGATCGTGTGCTAGTGACCCAGAGTGGATGACGGGGAGTTTGAGGAGCCTTGTGGGTGGGGGGAGAGCTTGGTACGGAGGGATTCAGGATGGGGAGGTCACTTTGGAACAGGAGTTCGTGCAGCTGGTTGGAGGTGTTAAGGGGGAGATGGGGGGGGCAGGGGGAAACTGTGGAGTTCGCGTGGCGGGGCGGGCAGGGACGGGTCCTAAGGGGTTTTTTCAGTTATATCGTGCTGGGACTGGGGAAAGGATAGGTCCATTGGGGGCTGAGACGGGTCAAATAGCAGATGGTGATGAGGTGATGAGTGGTATTTTTGGTAAGTGTTTTGTGTCTGTGTTTACTGGGGAGGAGCTTGGCAATGTGCCTTCGGCCGAGCAAGTCTGTGTGGGTGGGGGCGGGGACGGGTTGACGAGTTTGGCAGTTGCCAGGGAGGGTGTTCTTGGGCAAGTGGTAGAACTCAAACCAAGCAGGTCCCCGGGGCCGGATGAGGTGTTTGCTGGGGTGCTTGGGGAATGCAGGGGGGAGCTTTGTGACCCACTGTCAACCATGTTTGGTGAATCGGTGGAGTCGGGCAGAGTGCCGGAGTTTTGGAGGGTTGCTGGTGTGGTGCCGGTTTTTAAGAAAGGAGATAGATCACTTGCGTCTGGCTGTCGACCAATTGGCCTAACGTCTGTTGTGGGAAAGTTGCTCGAGTCTGTGATGGCAAATGGGATTCGTCTTCATCTTGAGAAACATAGGTTGATAATTGAGTCGCAGCATGGTTTTATAGGTGGCCGTTCGTGTTTAACAGGTTTGTTATCTTTTTGTTCTAGCATTGTTGAGGCAGTTGATGGTGGTGGGGGTTGCGATGTTGTGTGCCTTGACTTTGGCAAGGCTTTTGATGCAGTGCCGCATGAGGGACTGATTGGGGAAGTGGAGTCTCATGGTGTTGGGGGTGCTGTATTAGGCTGGATTGGGGCATGGCTGTACCAAAGGAAGCAGAGAGTTAGTATAAATGGAATCAAGTCGGAGTGGGAGGGTGTTGTGGGTGGAGTGCCTCGGGGCTCTGTCCTGGGACCTCTGTTGTTTGTGATATATATAAATGATTTGGATTCGGGTTTGAGTGGCAACGTTTGCAGGTTTGCCGATGATACGAGGGTCGGTGGGGAGATTAATTCGGAGGAGGACTCACTGTCGCTTCGGGTTGGTCTGGATGGGGTTTTGAAGTGGTCAAAGGGTTGGCAGATGCAGTTTGGTGCTGATGGGTGTAAAGTTCTGAGGTTGGGTGGTGATGATGGAGTTGCAGGATGCGAGCTGGGTGGTGTTGTGATTGCGAGGTCGGATTGCATAAGGTGTAGTTGGCTGTATGAAGTATATTGATACCATTTTAATTACCAATTCATTTACAAGACGTTTTAATTAAAGTGGTTTATGTTCTGGACGGCAGCTTGTTATCAAGACGTAATCTATAGTTATGCATATTATATGAACAATTCCACAAGGGCCGTGATGATGGGTTTGAACCTACGCACGGGATGTTCCTACGTGCGCCTTGGTCAACTGTACCACGACATGGTCCTTGTGGATTTGTTCATTTGATATATCACGTTATTGTGATTTTTGTGTGTATATTTATGATATTTGCTTTGAAACTTCACCTCTGGTTCTTGTGGCACCTTTCGTTTGATAATTAGCACTTGAAGAAGAGAGCAGTAGTGAAACAAGTGAGGGATGCGAGAGGATAAGGGTGATATGTAGTTAGTGTACACTGAAGAACACACACTAGCCTCATCTCGTCTGTGCTGGAGAGTCTTCATGTAAAGTATTGACTCGGATACATTAAGTTTGTTACTCTCTCGATATTGGGGATCCCAAAATAGAGTAGTACTAGATGATGGATCGAACTTGTGTGATGTAAAAAGCTACATACCCCATAGTATCCAGACTTTAGATACTATGGGGGCGGACTTTAGATATTATGGGGGCGGACTTTAGATACTATGCTGACGGACTGTAGACACTATGGGGGGGGGGGGGGTACATACTCTAGTTTCTAGAGGGTTGTCTAGAATCTAGGATGAGTTTTCGTTACAATCTTTTTCTGAGGAAACGTTGTCCTCACGCTACGATAGAAGTTCTTCCATTATATTTATTATTATAAAAAAATACTTGTTTTTGTTGTTATTATTGAAATTACTATTTATGAAATCATTCAAATAATTTCAAGACTGTTTTGGATTTTGTTAGGCTTAATTTTTCAAATTCCAAAAAACCATGTGTAAAGTATGCCTAAGAAGGTCTTCTTCACAATACCATAAATACTGATAATGGGGTCTTACCATTAGGAACGTGTGGGTGCGTGTTCATGTCCTCGTAGATGGTGAGGCCGGGCTTCGGGCTAGGCCTGTAGGAAGATGTACCGGGTGAATGTGTACACTTTGTCTCCACTTGCCCAGTGCTGACGGGCCTGTAGCCTCAGCACGCGGCTTCTCTTATGTCAGAGTAGTTCCTTCACTTTGTACATCTTATATTAGGTTATTGTCTCTGTGTAACACCCAGCCTACACCTGTGTAACACCCAGCCTACCTGTGTAACACCCAGGCTACCTGTGTAACACCCAGCCTACCTGTGTAACACCCAGGCTACCTGTGTAACACCCAGCCTACCTGTGTAACACCCAGCCTACCTGTGTAACACCCAGCCTACCTGTGTAACACCCAGCCTACCTGTGTAACACCCAGTCTAACTGTGCAGCCCGTCCTCCAAAGGTTTCCCAGCGTCATGAAACAGTCGTACTAAAGTGCCTTTATCTTAACCTACCAGAGGACCCAAAACAGAGAACGGGACAGTGTATCAATATCGCCAGTCGCTACCATTTTCTAATCCACTTTATGGTCTTAGAGTATACGTCAAAATGCGACGTGGTATTAGGAGGACAGGTTGACCTGTGTCGCCCCCAGCCTACATGTGTAACTCCCAGCCTACCTGTGTAACACCCAGCCTACCTCCACAATACTAGGCCTACATACCTGCGGAGCCACAGGAAGACCAACGTCAGTGCCATGAGCAGGACTATTGCGAGTGCCACGCCCAGGTAGACGCCGATATTGTTGTGGGCGTTGGCTGTGTGGTGCTGGGGGGGAGACACCACCAGCTCTCGGTGCGGACCTGTGCCACCACAAGAACACTATGTTTGTACTCTAGTAACATCATTGAGTTCATTATATACACCCGCTTCCCCTTTTGTCGTCCCGGGTCCGAGGCTCAAATGGCCAAGTTAAGGAAGTTTATATATATATATATATATATGTATGTATATATATATATATATATATATATAACTGAAAACTCACACCCCAGAAGTGACTCGACTTTTTTGTGTTCCTCACGTGTGCCCCAAAGAATGAGGTGATTTGATAAAATGCTATGCCCAAGATTACCATCCGAGTGCCGGCGGGGAAGTGGTTCATATAGCCTCGGCTATCACTTCCTTTTGTCCGGTCGTGATGGTCAAGCGGATTAAGGCGTCCCTGTACATACCAGTTGTGGGAGTATGGGTTCGAGTCACTTCTGGGGTGTGAGTTTTCAGTTGTATGTAGTCCTGGGGACCATTCAGGCTTGTTTGCATATATATATATATATATATATATATATATATATATATATATATATGTATGTATATATTATTAAATATGACCGAAAAAGTAAGATTAATAATTCTAACACGAATTTTCTCAATCTTTCGTACATTACGCTTCACTGTTGGAGGTAAATCAAAAATCACTTCTCCAAAATTCATTTTTATTTCTAGTCTGACGCGACACGGGCGCGTTTCGTAAAACTTATTACATTTTCAAAGACTTCACAAATACACAACTGATTAGAACTTACGTATCTCCGATTTTATATCTACATTTGAGTGAGGTGGGAGGGGTGATGTGGCATTAACACAAGACAGAACAAGAGGGGATATTAATAGGGTATTAAAAGTATCAACACAAGACAACACAAACAATGGGTATTGAATAGAAGTGTTTGTAGAAAGCCTATTGGTCCATATTTCTTGATGCTTCTATATTGGAGCGGAGTCTTGAGGTGGGTAGAATATAGTTGTGCAATAATTGGCTGTTGATTGCTGGTGTTGACTTCTTGATGTGTAGTGCCTCGCAAACGTCAAGCCGCCTGCTATCGCTGTATCTATCGATGATTTCTGTGTTGTTTACTAGGATTTCTCTGGCGATGGTTTGGTTGTGGGAAGAGATTATATGTTCCTTAATGGAGCCCTGTTGCTTATGCATCGTTAAACGCCTAGAAAGAGATGTTGTCTTGCCTATATACTGGGTTTTTTGGAGCTTACAGTCCCCAAGTGGGCATTTGAAGGCATAGACGACGTTAGTCTCTTTTAAAGCGTTCTTTCTAGGCATTTAACGATGCATAAGCAACAGGGCTCCATTAAGGAACATATAATCTCTTCCCACAACCAAACCATCGCCAGAGAAATCCTAGTAAACAACACAGAAATCATCGATAGATACAGCGATAGCAGGCGGCTTGACGTTTGCGAGGCACTACACATCAAGAAGTCAACACCAGCAATCAACAGCCAATTATTGCACAACTATATTCTACCCACCTCAAGACTCCGCTCCAATATAGAAGCATCAAGAAATATGGACCAATAGGCTTTCTACAAACACTTCTATTCAATACCCATTGTTTGTGTTCTGTCTTGTGTTGATACTTTTAATACCCTATTAATATCCCCTCTTGTTCTGTCTTGTGTTAATGCCACATCACCCCTCCCACCTCACTCAAATGTAGATATAAAATCGGAGATACGTAAGTTCTAATCAGTTGTGTATTTGTGAAGTCTTTGAAAATGTAATAAGTTTTACGAAACGCGCCCGTGTCGCGTCAGACTAGAAATAAAAATGAATTTTGGAGAAGTGATTTTGATTTACCTCCAACAGTGAAGCGTAATGTACGAAAGATTGAGAAAATTCGTGTTAGAATTATTAATCTTACTTTTTCGGTCATATTTAATAATATATGTCTACAGGAAAGACTGCTACCAAAATATACTAATATATGTATGTATATATATATATATATATATATATATATATATATATATATATATATATATATATATATATATATATATATATATAAGGAGAAGGAGGACGTACCGGCAGTAGCCTCGGTGACAACAGTGAGCCAGTAGGATTCACCAGTCTGAAGTTTAGAGTTGTTGTAGCCTTCCGATACCTGCCCGTCACCAACCACAAACACCTGGGTTATGTTGTCGGCCTCCTGTTGTGGACCAAGGGTTGTAAAGTGTTATTGGGGTTGTTGCTCTCCCAGTTCCCTCACAACTCACTTGACATTCCTCATACACTTGACACTCCTGACACACTCCACATATCGAGCAAATCATACATTATTAAAGTTTCACGTAATCCACATAATTCTCACTTGTGCAACCACACCAGTCTCGTACTGGGTACTAGACACATCACACCCACCTGGTAGAGTTTGGCAGAGATCCACTCCTCGCTCCCTGCGTTGTTCCCTTTCTGGGCCCTCTCCTGCAGTGTTCCCTCCACTGTGTCCTGTCGCCCAAGGACCAGACTCTTGACCCGGGTGCCGACCTCTTCAGGGTTCTGAGTCTTTTCTGTGTCCCGAGTCACCACAACCCACTGGTACCTGCAGCAACACAAGTCACATGTAGTCTTAACTTACATTATGCGGAGAGAGAGAGAGAGATTACAGCTGGGGAGTTATCCAGGCATATGTGAGCTGGACATATAGTTCCTATCTCGGGTTTTGTCCACTGTGACCAATAAACATAACTGGTTTTAAAGCTTCATGGATTGATATAAGGAATGTGAGTGAAGCAATATATGGCTGCTGCCACAAGTTAACAGACCATTACTAACAAGAATTAGGATGGGAAATGACACCAGAATACCCCAGGAAGGTCAGGAAACACTGCAAGTCTGGTCTGAGATATGGCTGATAGACTTCAACAATAGTAAATGTAAGGTAATGAGAATGGTGACTGGTCAAGATGACCAGAAGGCCAGTTCACATTGGAGGAAGGCAGCCTCCGGAAGAAGATATAGAAAAGGAATATAGTAGCAAGCACAGCGCCAGTTCACTCTCCAGAAGCACTTACCAAAGTATTCACATCAACAGACACGCTAAAGAGGCGGTCTTCAGAGTAACTTACAAAAATATGTACAAAGAATCGTGCAGGGAATGTGGAAAAAGGAGGCCTTGAGGGCCCTATGCACTACCTTGGTGGGGTTAATACCAGAATAGATAGATCTGGCTTGAAGGTTTTACGTAACAAATGTTGTCACATGTTGCCTGTGGACTTTACACTAGAGACCGACGACTCGAACTGACGGACCGGCAAGTATGCCTAGTGACTTGGATGACTCGCTCCATCAGTAGCTAGTGACCTGGATGACTCGCTCCATCAGTAGCTAGTGACCTGGACGACTCGCTCCACCAGTGGCTAGTGACCTGGATGACTCGCTCCATCAGTAGCTAGGGACCTGGATGACTCGCTCCATCAGTAGCTAGTGACCTGGACGACTCGCTCCACCAGTGGCTAGTGACCTGGACGACTCGCTCCACCAGTGGCTAGTGACCTGGACGACTCGCTCCACCAGTGGCTAGTGACCTGGACGACTCGCTCCACCAGTGGCTAGTGACCTGGATGACTCGCTCCACCAGTGGCTAGTGACCTGGATGACTCGCTCCATCAGTAGCTAGTGACCTGGATGACTCGCTCCACCAGTAGCTAGTGACCTGGACGACTCGTACACAACGCCACAAAATATCCACACAGTACCCACACTATACCTTATAGTACCCACAGCCCCACAAAGAACCCACAGCCCCACATAGTACCCACACTAAACTGTTTAACACGGGTGGGACGCGAACAAGGGGACACAGGTGGAAACTGAGTACCCAAATGAGCCACAGGGACATTAGAAAGAACTTTTTCAGTGTCAGAGAAGTTAGTAAATGGAATGCATTAGGAAGTGATGTGGTGGAGGCTGACTCCATACACAGTTTTAAATGTAGATATGATAGAGCCCAGTAGGCTCAGGAATCTGTACACCAGTTGATTAACGGTTGAGAGGCGGGACCAAAGAGCCAGAGGTCAACCCTCGCAAGCACAAATAGGTGAGTACACTGCAACACATAGTACCCACACAGCCCCACATAGTACCCACACAGCCCACATAGTACCCACACAGCACCTTACAATACCTACACAGGATAGGAGGACACAGCTGGCAGACGGATGGTAATAGAGTGGTTTGAAGCTGTGACCCACTGCAGCTCTGAGGTCACTTGTGGTGGGTGTGGCCTGGTCCAGTACCGCTCCACCGTCCAGTCACTACACTGTAGACTGTTGCACGCCCACACCTTCACCTCCACCTCCACACCTGCACGTAGTCCTGAGAACTGCAGAACACAATACGAATATAACAAATATAATTACGTATTTAAACACTATAATATCGACTCAAAATTTACTCTTACAGCGTACACCAACGCTGTACTAGAGACCGTGGAGATCTCTATAGTGTCATCTGTTAGGCAGACCTGCCTCAGTGAATATAAAAGCCTTCATGATAGAATGCAATAACACCAACAATATTTAATATGTACATTACTGAAGCGAAGGGAACTATCAGGAGAAAGCGCCAAGCCATTACGACTATATAGCATTTGGACGGGGTCAGGATAAGGATTAAGGATGGGGGGGGGTGGAATGGTGCACGGCCACATTTGTGTCTCAGAGCTACAGCTGCCTACATCTGTGTTCATGCCCACATTTGGCCACTCAGTGACCATAGAGATCCCAGTAATGATCTTTGGTTCACAGACCTGACTTGTAAATAAGTACATAAAAATATGTGAATATGCTTCGATACATAAAAACAGTAATTCAAGTTAACAACCACAGCTTCAGAAATTGAATAGAGATAAATTTATCGATTATAGATATTGTTTAGATGTAAAAACATAGCAATTTACTAAACCATGCAAATGTTGCATAATTCTTGTTCTATTATAAATAATTTAAAACTTAGCATTTAAGATTTTTATTATTATCCGGGTTCTGATTTTCAAATTTGCTAAGTTGTTCAGTTTCAAAGCCTTTGAATTAATCTAAAACATCTAAACTTCAAAATATGTCACACGTTAAATATAAGATTTTGTTGGAAGTCAGGATCAAATGTATGTAAACAGGTCAAGTTAAACAAGTATTGCCTCACCTCCACTCGGGTGACATTGCCTGTAATGTTGTGATGGATGACTTCTTCCTGTGTGGCTTGGTCCGAGACGACCCGAGCAGAGGCCTGGTAGAGGACCAGGGCGCCCGCTGGGTGTGAGGGCGGGTCCCAGGCAACTTCCAGGCTGTCTGTTGTGACTGACAGCTGCCTCAAGTGTAGGACGGGAGATGGCTCTGTGGAGAGGTGAGAGCAACAGCTGTGAGTGGACTGAGAGGAAGGGAGGGTAGACTGGGAGGAAGGGAGAGTGGGGCTAAGTTCGGCTTTTGTTCTGTTTTATATATTTCTATAAATATTTTATATTTGTATATAATTGTTTTTATTTTTTCCCTGTCGAACCATCGGTAAATATGTCCTAGCTATTTGTATGTGTGGTTTGTTCGTCTGTTTGTCTTTTAAATACACAACGCTGTTGTTGAACTAACGATGCAAAGTGTCTCAATAAGTTGAGTGGTAAGGTGAAAATAAATTATTGTATTAGGAAATTAATTTGCATAATAATTACTTTCATAATTACTATTAACAATAATACACAGAGTAATCACACTAGCGTATATATATCACACTAAGGTATATAGTCTAAGTGAAGTGTTTTCAGTATATGTATTATGTAACTGAGAGTTTTCTTTAGTCCTGAAAAACAAACTTAACTGTTTGGTCACGTGTATGGCGATATATTTATTATTATTATTATTATTATTATTATTATTATTATTATTATTATTATTAAAACAACTTATTGTAAGGCAAGATAATTATCAGGGGGAGAGCGCTAAGCCATTACAGCTATGTAGCACTTAAAAGAGATATGAGGATAAGGATTTGGGATGGGACGAGGAAAGGAAAGTTCCCAACCACTTTATCAATTGGGGATTGAACGCTGACCTGCAAAAAGCAAGACCGTCACTCTAGCAACCAGGTCAAGTGGTTGGACTACTTATTACAATAAAATATTTATTTAAAATATAATCAAATGATATAAAATAAGTAGATGGACTCACTTCCTGGGCGAGTCTGGGCCGACACCTGTGTCTCAGGGCCATTGTCCTTCACGTCTTTGTTCTTGGCCGCCACCTGTAATGTTTACACAAGATAACATCTGTAATGTTCCCCCCAACACTTACAGTTATATACAACATAGTGTAGAACACCACACCCTGAGTTCCACACACTGAGCACCACACCCTGAGTACCACACACTCAGGAATCTGTACACCAGTTGATTGACAGTTGAGAGGCGGGACCAAAGAGCCAAAGCTCAACCCCCGCAAGCACAAATAGGTGAGTACACTGAGCACAACACACTGAACACACCCTGAACACATCACACTGTACCACACACTGAACACAACACACTGCACCACACCACTGACTGAACACAACACACTGAACACATCACACTGAACACAACACACTGAACACAACACACTGAACACATCACACTGAACACATCACACTGAACACAACACACTGAACACATCACACTGAACACATCACACTGAACACAACACACTGAACTCAACACACTGAACACAGGGCATAAACACAACTGCTAACCTTTATCATAAAGATTTTGTTCTCAGCCAGATTCTGAATGATGTAAATCGTTGTATTGGCCGAGACGGTGACGGTGTTCCACCACTGTTCCATGTGTTCCTTGATGCTGCCAACTGACTGTGAACACTTCCAGTTGACCTCTGGGCGGGGTGTCGTGAGGACCATCCCAGGTCACGGTGAGAGAGCTGGCAGCTTCCTGGACCTTCAGATTGGTAACCTTCCCCGGAGCTGTCAGGATAAACTGGTGGTGTTATCACAAGGTGTTTACAACCCTCCTGCCGCCTCATGTGTGCTTTTCCCTTAACAACTGGTGCCTAGTGTGCTCAGGTGTTGTTATCAAGACTGTGACCTGGGTACAAGTGTTATAAGTGTGACCTGGGTTAGCATCTTCCTTTGGTACAAGTGTTATAAGTGTGACCTGGGTTAACATCTTCCTTTCGTACAAGTGTTATAAGTGTGACCTGGGTTAACATCTTCCTTTGGTACAAGTGTTATAAGTGTGACCTGGGTTAACATCTTCCCTTGGTACAAGTGTTATAAGTGTGACCTGGGTTAACATCTTCCCATGGTACAAGTGTTATAAGTGTGACCTGGGATAACATCTTCCCTTGGTACAAGTGTTATAAGTGTGACCTGGGTTAACATCTTCCCATGGTACAAGTGTTATAAGTGTGACCTGAGATAACATCTTCCCTTGGTACAAGTGTTATAAGTGTGACCTGGGATAACATCTTCCCTTGGTACAAGTGTTATAAGTGTGACCTAGGTTAACCCACCATATAACACATGCCACAAGAGCGGGTTCTGTTAACGGACCCAAGCAGCATCGTGACGTTGGTGTATGTTAACACATCCTGGGAGCAGATGTTTGAGAGCAGCCTGGCTACATTACCACTAGGATAAGGGCAGTATTAGTGACCTAGTATGAGGCAGGTGTTTTGAGAGTAACCTTGGTAACCTTCCGTTACTCATGTCTGGGGTACACTGTCCACAACCACCACACTCCACACTAACACTTCCGCCCCTCAACCACCACAAAACACCCAGCTAAACAAGTAACAAACAACCCAGCCTCCACACACACACACACACACCTTGTGGCTTGGTCCTAAACTCGGCATCTTTCTTCACGTTCTTGTTCCGTCCTGCAGCGTTAGCCGGGTAGGCTGTGATCCTGTACCTGGTGTAGGCCAGCAGGTCACCAGGCACGATGATGGTGAATGCCCATGGATCATTTAGAGACGTCGACAGTGAGGGAGTCGTCAAAGACCTGGGCGAGTCGTACTGGTGTAGACTCTGGTCGACTACCTGGAGGAGGTAATGGACACTGAGGTCCGGTCCATGGACTAACTCGCAATTCTTCTCCAGGGTCACGCTGCAGTGTTCAGTATAATCAGGTGAACAATCTATGTTCTCCACATTGTTCTCCGGTGCTGCAAGAACAAGAAATTAAAAAAAAAAATAGCTTGAAAATTAGTCCTTCCTAATTAAACAGGAGTATACATTTTCTTTGATGTATATTAATTTATTTTAACCCACAAGTTCAAAATGACGAGTTTGGAAAGATGTTATATAAATAATTTATACAAAATATGCGGAATGAGAATAATAAATATTTAATTCACTTGCACCAACGGAGCCTCGAACCCACGACCAGAGGATGGAAGACAGAAGCTCTACGGACCTGACTAGTAATACCCATAATAGTATAGGGTCCCAGAGGCACATAACTGGTATCCAACTGAGACTTTCAATCTCTCCGGGGGTATCATTTGAGTCTGGAAGTATTAGATGATCCACGGGCCAGTCTCTGGGGGTATCACTTGAGTCTGGAAGTATCAGGTGATCCACGGGCCAGTCTCCGGGGGTATCACTTGAGTCTGGAAGTATCAGGTGATCCACGGGCCAGTCTCTTGGGGTATCACTTGAGTCTGGAAGTATTAGATGATCCACGGGCCAGTCTCTGGGGGTATCACTTGAGTCTGGAAGTATCAGGTGATCCACGGGCCAGTCTCCGGAGGTATCACTTGAGTCTGGAAGTATTAGATGATCCACGGGCCAGTCTCTGGGGGTATCACTTGAGTCTGGAAGTATCAGGTGATCCACGGGCCAGTCTCTGGGGGTATCACTTGAGTCTGGAAGTATTAGATGATCCACGGGCCAGTCTCTGGGGGTATTACTTGAGTCTGGAGGTATCAGGTGATCCACGGGCCAGTCATAGAGCTCCTCTCTTTATGTTATCTCTCATGTAGGCTGCTACCTATAGTCCACATAACATAATTACGGTAATTATTTAACTTGGCTTATATATATCACTATTCATTGTGATGTGATGGTGATATTATAACCAAGTACCTCAGGTTAGTGACGTCATCACCTCTATTTAGGACAATGACGATTTACCGACAAATCTTTCGTCCAAATTCAGAATTTTAACGTAATCTGAAAAATTACTTAACAGTTGTCTGTAATCTTTGTTGGTTCAAGAGTTTATAAACAATATCTGAGGCGATAACAAATATTAGATAATTTATTTTGAAACAATATAAGTTCATCTCTGACGGTCACGGGGCCGTTCTTATCATTTACCACTCCGTAACAAATACAACTGTTTTTCCTAACCAGAAACTCTGGACTCGTTGCGAGCCGCCTAAGCCATCGAGGCCGAGGATTGCAATACGTCAATATTACGTTTTTTTTTAGTTTTAACCATTTGTTATTGTTAGTCTTTTTGTAGTATTTTGATTATTGTTTTCTTCTTCATTTATGCTAACGTAATTATTATTAATATTTATCTGTGTGCTTTTACTAATATATAAGGCTAAAAATGTAATTAATATGATGGAAAATATAAATTATCCAAAAAATCAGTCACTTGTGAGTTGCCTCATCTGATGACAACATTATCATCAGCTGATCAACACGTCAAAATACACTGAAAAAGTTACAGATCATCAACCACAATCATTATATGACAACATAAGTATCGAAACCTCGGCCTCGCGCGCGTGGGGTCCAGGGTTCGAGACTCCTACAGCCCAGGTGACTGGAACACAAGTGTGGTGAAGGTTGTAGAACACTTACGGGCTGGGGGTGTGTCGGTGGCCTCCTGGACCACTTCACCCTGGCCACCCTCGTTGACGGCGCGGAGACGGACCTCCACCCTGGTGTAAGGAGCGACAGGGAGGGTCACCCGCTCTCCCACTACTCCAATAAAGTTTGTATATTTCTGCAGTTCTGTATCGCAGAACTTCAGCGTTACCTGTCCCAAAGAGTTTTAAAATATTATAAGTACTTACAGTATTTTGTATAGCATAATTGTCGGGTAAATTACATAAGTAATAGCTTTAACGATAATATTAATAACAAAGATATCTCCTGTTTATATAGTATTTTATGTGCACCGTCGTCCATACATAGTCGTAATGGACAGTTGGTAGAATTTGACACTATTCACTTTATAGTCCGAAAAAATTACAAATAAAAACCTTAAATATTCCTAGGCCTAGTATAGCAGGTATGTGTACTATACTGGGCCTCAGATAGCGTGAATTAGGCCTAGGAAGATAGGTTAGTTTTCTTTGCAACATTAATACAAAACCTTTTCCGGTTTTCCAAATTCAATAGTACCGATTTTTACTTTCTAATTGTCTTTTACGTCAACACACGTACGATGGTCGTCATTGAAATTGAATTGAAATTGAAATAAGTTTATTGAGGTAAAATACACACAAAGGGATGAGGTAGCTCAAGCTATTCTCACCCCGTTCACTACATCGTGTTAATATATACATAGACACACATCACAAGCAATAAACATATTACAGAACATTCTGAGAGATAAATATATAGATTTCCTCCTTTACACAATCCTTTACACAAATAGTATGGTATCAGACGTACACACAAATACTTTTATGACTTAGGAATACTGTATAGACAATTTATGGTCGTCGTGGTTACTATAAGTATTAGCTAAACAGGAGGATGGGCTGGTTAATGCCATATGTGCAGACTCCACAACACACCGCCCTCCCTCAAGAACAATGACCACACCAGAGGTACACACAGACACCTGTACTGGTAGGTGACGCTGCCCCAGTACTGACCTTGTACCTGTACTGGTAGGTGACGCTGCCCCAGTACTGACCTTGTACCTGTACTGGTAGGTGACGCTGCCCCAGTACTGACCTTGTACCTGTATAGGTAGGTGACGCTGCCCCAGTACTGACCTTGTACCTGTATAGGTAGGTGACGCAGCCCCAGTACTGACCTTGTACCTGTACAGGTAGGTGACGCTGCCCCAGTACTGACCTTGTACCTGTATAGGTAGGTGACGCTGCCCCAGTACTGACCTTGTACCTGTACAGGTAGGTGACGCTGCCCCAGTACTGACCTTGTACCTGTACTGGTAGGTGACGTTGCCCCAGTACTGACCTTGTACCTGTACTGGTAGGTGACGCAGCCCCAGTACTGACCTTGTACCTGTACTGGTAGGTGACGTTGCCCCAGTACTGACCTTGTACCTGTACTGGTAGGTGACGCTGCCCCAGTACTGACCTTGTACCTGTACAGGTAGGTGACGCTGCCCCAGTACTGACCTTGTACCTGTACTGGTAGGTGACGCTGCCCCAGTACTGACCTTGTACCTGTACAGGTAGGTGACGTTGCCCAGGGCCCCAGGTGGCCTGGTCCAGGTGGCCACTACCTGGTGAGTGTCGCCGCTGAGAGAGAGCCCGGGACGGCCAGGTACTGGGGGGGGAGAACTGGGGTGAGAACTGGTTGGGACACGTTATTGTTGCTGTATATTAGGGCCCCACACCTGCCAGGGCCCCACACCTGCTAGGGCCCCTACACCTCCCAGGGGTCCCACACCTCCCAGGGCCCCACACCTCCCAGGGGCCCCACACCTGCCAGGGCCCCACACCTGCCTAAGCCCCACACCTCCCAGGGCCCCACACCTCCCAGGGCCCCACACCTCCCAGGGCCCCACACCTCCCAGGGCCCCCACACCTCCCAGGGACCCCCACACCACCCACCGGGGTCCCACACCTCCCCGTGCCACACACCTCCCAGGGCCCCCACACCTCCCAGGGCCCCACACCTCCCAGGGCACCCCCCAGGGACCACCAACACCAACCCACAACACCCCCCCACCCCCCATGGGCCTCACAAGACCGACCACCAACACCTGTCCACAACGCCCACCCACCTGGGCTGCTCGTCCCCTCCCCCGCGGACACCGCCCACACTCACCTGGTGGCAGAGTCGTGACATTTGTTGATTGTGATGTGGTGCTGTACTTAATGGTTCCAGTGGTAGCAGAGAACACTCTGACTTTATAAAACGTGAAAGGCTGAAGACCTGACACCCTGTAATCCGCCTCTTTCACTGACTCGGTGTGATGTTGTTGGTTGTTGGGTCCCGGCGTAACCTCGAAGACATATTGCAGGCTGCACTTGGTCTTGTACGGAAGGTCCTGGGTGGGGAGAGGACCAGAAGTTACCATGGAGAAGGGAAGTGCAGCGTGTTACTTCTTAACAAAATGTTCATAATTAAGAGTGTTTGGAGGTTCCAGCTTCACCTCCTGAGCCCCGCCTTCCCAACTGTAATGCAATGACGCCTAACACTTGTGTTTCTTGTCACATCTGCTGTTGAAACTGTTTAGAGGGAAGCCTCCACTATTTCCTCCTCGTGGTCGTTTCTTAAGCTTACTGATCATACACAAGTATTTCCTGACATCCCTGCGGCTCATCCCAGTGCCCAGCTTCCATGCATGACCTCTCGTTACTTTACTGTTGAACTTGAACATTATAACTATTTAATCAATAACTCTGAGATCTTTGTAACAAACACATTCCCAATATGTCTCCTTTCTTCCCGGGTCATTAAGATCATTTCCTTCCATCTTTCTACTTCAGTCGCCTCAGTTCAGGGAACAGTCTTGTAGCGAACCGTTTTTCTTTCTCAAACTCGGGTCCTTCTCAGGTCCTTTTCTCTCGCAATATTAAGTTCGGTCAACTAATATCATCGGTTCCAGCACTCACCCTTGTGGGACTCTGCTAATATCATGGGTTCCAGCACCCACCCTTGTGGGACTATGCTAATATCATGGGTTCCAGCACCCACCCTTGTGGGACTCTGCTAATATCATGGGTTCCAGCACCCACCCTTGTGGGACTCTGCTAATATCATGGGTTCCATCACCCACCCTTGTGGGACTCTGCTAATATCATGGGTTCCAGCACTCACCCTTGTGGGACTCTGCTAATATAGGGTTCCAACACCCACCCTTGTGGGACTCTGCTAATATAGGGTTCCAACACCCACCCTTGTGGGACTCTGCTAATATCATCGGTTCCAGCACCCACCCTTGTGGGACTCTGCTAATATAGGGTTCCAACACCCACCCTTGTGGGACTCTGCTAATATAGGGTTCCAACACCCACCCTTGTGGGACTCTGCTAATATAGGGTTCCAACACCCACCCTTGTGGGACTCTGCTAATATCATCGGTTCCAGCACCCACCCTTGTGGGACTCTGCTAATATCATGGGTTCCAACACCCACCCTTGTGGGACTCTGCTAATATCGGGTTCCAACACCCACCCTTGTAGGACTCTGCTAATATTCATCCCACATTCTGGTTTTCATGTCTTACTGTAATTCTTTTTTCCTATTTGTTAGGAAGTATCCCAACGAGTTCACGACTCTTCTAGTTACTTCGATGCTTACCTAGTAGTGCATATCTAGTGTGTGTACGGAGAGCCTAGACCTAGCTCTAGAGCCCCGCCTCATAGGCACTGAACCGTTATATCCTTGCTGGAGTCTCCTAGGAGAGACCAGTGTATGTCGACGATGAGTCACAATAACGTGGCATTACACGGCTTGATAATGGTCTAGCGGGGACAGAAACGTCGTCGTTTCTCCATTTACTGTTGTGTGGTTTGGTCATCACCAGCTTATGCTGTCTGAGGTTGAGGGCCGTCAGCTAGAGACTCGTGGGGTTGGTGTTAGGTCTGGAGCAAGGAGGGTACAATAACACCCCCCCCCCCCATCCTCTGTCAGGCATGTGGCCACACTTTGCTTAGACTGATAACATTCCATGTTCTGCAGGTCACCACAAGCCTCACCTTTCCTTTAGAGATCTCTAACAGACTATTGTAGGTCTGATATTAGCATTATACTTCTTATTCTTTACCCATGGATTAACCATAGACTAGCATCCAACTGTTATCTCGGCTTAAACTTCAAGACAACTCACATCCAAGCTAAATTATGTCTTTATCGAACTGAAAAATATACATGAAAACGCGTGGAAGTAGAAGATACTTCGATATTTTCCAGATTTCAATCTTGGAGAAAATATGCCCATTATATTAGAAATTACTCTTTAAACACAAGTGTGTTTGTCACTCACCTGCCAGGTCACTAAGAAGCTGTTGTTGGTCACCTCAGAGATAGTGACCAAGGATGGTGCTTCTGGAACTGAAATAGGAAGAGTTAAGGTAACACCAAGATAATATTGGTGGTGGATGTCAGTCACCACCATGATAATATTGTGATCCGTCTACTAGTATCTACCTGTACTGTACTCTGTGATCATCTTCTAGTACCTGCCTGTACTAGTAGATGGATGATCCATCTACCAATACCTAGCAGTACCATCAACATAACTACCAAACAACCAGGAAGACTTCATGAACTCCTGTACTTACTGTCGGGACAGGAAGTGTTGAAACTGACAGTGTGTACTCTCTCCCGTCCCGTACCGTCTGCCACACATGCCTGTCCCTTGCCGCCCTTAGACACCTGCAACAACACCTGCATGCTGTACCCGGTCGCCAGTTGCAGGCCGCTCACAGTGTTGGGTTGGCCAGGTGTTGCGGTCTGCGAGAATGCTTTTCCTGCCCCTTCGTCTGTAATCTGTTTAATTAATTTAGAATTCAAAACCATGGTGAAGGTGAGGAGCTAGAGGCCACCACTGAGGCAGCTCTGACACATCAGGAAGTTTACCAGAGTGAAGGATGATATGAGGTTATGGTGAGGCAACTGTGAGCTTATGGTGAGGCAACTGTGAGCTTATGGTGAGGAGCAACTGTGAGGTTATGGTGAGGCAACTGTGAGGTTATGGTGAGGCAACTGTGAGGTTATGGTGAGGCAACTGTGAGGTTATGGTGAGGCAACTGTGAGGTTATGGTGAGGCAACTGTGAGCTTGTGATGAGGTAACTGTGTCAACACAAGTCACGCCCTCTGCTTATTACTCTTAGGCCACCTTCATGCTGCTTTAGGGCCAGTGTCAATATTGTCGGATAAAAGGTCTTCATTATATCATTTAAATCATAAACCTGGAAACAGATGTAGTGAATGAAGCTTGGCCAGGAGCCCCTGGTGCCACACCTGGTGCCACACCTGGTGCCACCCCAGGTGTCAGACACGAGTAATGTTGTCCAACAACACAGCTGATCTTGGACCCGTCACGTCGAGAGGTGCAAGAAGAGATCAACAGCAGAACGATCTTTACTGAAGCCATATTGTCTCCCACACGAGGTAAGATGGTCACAAAATGTTGTCATTGTTGTGAGATAATCGTCACAGTCGGGACTGTGGTCTCTAGTTACTGGTCATTGACTGGGTCTTATTTTAGTGGCCTGAGATAACGTTTTACTCCTTCCATAGTGAGGGTCTTGTGTTGTGATCTTGGTGTAGAACCTTCCATAGTGAGGGTCTTGTGTTGTGATCTTGGTGTAGAACCTTCCATAGTGAGGGTCTTGTGGTGTGATCTTGGTGTAGAACCTTCCATAGTGAGGACCTTGTGTTGTGATCTTGGTGTAGAACCTTCCATAGTGAGGACCTTGTGTTGTGATCTTGGTGTAGAACCTTCCATAGTGAGGGTCTTGTGTTGTGATCTTGGTGTAGAACCTTCCATAGTGAGGACCTTGTGTTGTGATCTTGGTGTAGAACCTTCCATAGTGAGGGTCTTGTGTTGTGATCTTGGTGTAGAACCTTCCATAGTGAGGACCTTGTGCTGTGATCTTGGTGTAGAACCTTCCATAGTGAGGGTCTTGTGCTGTGATCTTGGTGTAGAACCTTCCATAGTGAGAGCCTTGTGCTGTGATCTTGGTGTAGAACCTTCCATAGTGAGGACCTTGTGTTGTGATCTTGGTGTAGAACCTTCCATAGTGAGGACCTTGTGTTGTGATCTTGGTGTAGAACCTTCCATAGTGAGGGTCTTGTGTTGTGATCTTGGTGTAGAACCTTCCATAGTGAGGACCTTGTGCTGTGATCTTGGTGTAGAACCTTCCATAGTGAGGGTCTTGTGTTGTGATCTTGGTGTAGAACCTTCCATAGTGAGGACCTTGTGCTGTGATCTTGGTGTAGAACCTTCCATAGTGAGGACCTTGTGCTGTGATCTTGGTGTAGAACCTTCCATAGTGAGGGTCTTGTGGTGTGATCTTGGTGTAGAACCTTCCATAGTGAGGGTCTTGTGGTGTGATCTTGGTGTAGAACCTTCCATAGTGAGGGTCTTGTGGTGTGATCTTGGTGTAGAACCTTCCATAGTTAGAGCCTTGTGCTGTGATCTTGGTGTAGAACCTTCCATAGTGAGGTCCTTGTGCTGTGATCTTGGTGTAGAACCTTCCATAGTGAGAGCCTTGTGCTGTGATCTTGGTGTAGAACCTTCCATAGTGAGGACCTTGTGCTGTGATCTTGGTGTAGAACCTTCCATAGTGAGGGTCTTGTGCTGTGATCTTGGTGTAGAACCTTCCATAGTGAGGGTCTTGTGCTGTGATCTTGGTGTAGAACCTTCCATAGTGAGGGTCTTGTGCTGTGATCTTGGTGTAGAACCTTCCATAGTGAGGGTCTTGTGCTGTGATCTTGGTGTAGAACCTTCCATAGTGAGGGTCTTGTGCTGTGATCTTGGTGTAGAACCTTCCATAGTGAGGGTCTTGTGTTGTGATCTTGGTGTAGAACCTTCCATAGTGAGGGCCTTGTGCTGTGATCTTGGTGTAGAACCTTCCATAGTGAGGGCGTTGTGCTGTGATCTTGGTGTAGAACCTTCCATAGTGAGGGTCTTGTGTTGTGATCTTGGTGTAGAAGTGAGTGACAGGTGTTTACAGCTAACGGGAACACGTGAGTGACAGTCTCGAGCTGACCTTATCCGGACCCTCATTGTCTTATGTTGAATGATATAAGAAAGTGGTGGACATCATCTTATTATACTGTATGGTCATCGCTGCCATATATCTTGACAATCTGCCAGGAGGTGAGCCTTTGTCTGGTTGGAGTTCAACACGAGCAAATGTAAAGTTATGGAAATAGGACTAGGAGATAGCAGACCAAAGAGCAGTTCACAATGAACACAATGAAGGGGAACTGTCTATGGTTCATGCAGTGGGTTTAGGGGCAGGATTGTATCTTAGGAATCTTCCAGTCTTTACCCAGGGTCCACCAGACCTTGGTACTCACTCTTCCTGCTGATAATTGTCGTATTTCATTCTCTCTCTCTCTCTCTCTCTCTCTCTCTCTCTCTCTCTCTCTCTCTCTCTCTCTCTCTCTCTCTCTCGTGTACACGCAGTCATCAACTAATATTATAATCACTATAATCCTCGTGCAAGTATAAAAGTATATATGAACTTTACCATCAGCCCTAAACTATAATACTGGGTAACCAAACAAGATCAAGATAACATACCCAGCAGCGTAGTGTATAATTGATAACATGGTCCGCGTCCTTGTGTCCGTCGTCATAACCCGGGACCCAGCCATCAAAGGTGACCCTCGCCGTGGTCAACGACACGTTGATCACTTGTGGTGGCCGACGGAGTCGTGGCAGCCCAAGATCACCTGTTGACCACACCACACCTGTTTCACTACACACCTGATGTGAACACTGCACGTGTCTTACTACACAGCTGTTTTGACCACTATAGCGGTGTCACAACACACATGTTGTGATTACTGCAGCTGTCATATTACACACCTGATGTGAACAATAAACACCTGTTGCTGTGAACACTTCACTTTTTCTCATTACTTACACACACACACACACACACACACACACACACACACACACACACACACACACACACACACACACACACACACACACACACACACAATCGGGATCCAATCGGGATCTTGGCGGGATCCAAGAGTCAATGCTCGATCCTGCAGACACAACTAGGTGAGTACACACACACACACACACACACACACACACACACACACACACACACACACACACACACACACACAATCGGGATCCAATCGGGATCTTGGCGGGATCCAAGAGTCAATGCTCGATCCTGCAGACACAACTAGGTGAGTACACACACACACACACACACACACACACACACACACACACACACACACACACACACACACACACACACACACACAACCACACACAACACACACACAACCACACACAACACACACACAACCACACACAACACACACACAACACACAACCACACACAACACACACACAACCACACACAACACACACACAACACACACACAACCACACACAACACACACACAACCACACACAATACACACACAACACACACACAACCACACACTACACACACACAACACACACACAACACACACACACACACACACACACACACACACACACACACACACACACACACACACACACACACACACACACAGAGGGAGAGGAGGTGGAGGAGTGGCCCTGCTGATAAGGAAGGACTGGAGTTTTGATGAGATGGAAATTCCGGGCTGTGACGGATTCAGAGATTACATAACAGGAACTATAACAATGGGTGGACCTAAGATAATAGTGACAGTCATTTACAACCCTCCCCTAAATGACAGAAGACCTAGACAGGAGTTTGATAGGAACAACATGGCAACTATTAATATAATAGAGAGAGCAGCTTCAGTTGCCTGCAGGAATGGCTCAAGACTCTTAATCATGGGTGATTTCAACCATGGAAAGATAGACTGGGAGAATGGGGACCCACATGGTGGTGCAGATACGTGGCGAGCTAAACTCTTGGAAGTGGCAACAAGGAATTTTCTGAGCCAGCATGTCAAGGAACCCACAAGAATGAGAGGCAATGATGAACCAGCTAGACTCGACTTAATATTCACCCTAAATGAGTCAGAAATAAGGGAAGTCAAAGTTGAAGCCCCCATAGGAATGAGTGACCACAGTGTACTGACCTTTGAGTACTTGGTGGAGGTAGGGATAACCTATCCAAGGATGGGAGTGGAGGGGAAAAGACTGAATTACCGAAGAGGAAAATATGACGAGATGAGGAACTTCCTAATGGGAATACCATGGGAAACAGAACTTAGAGACAAGAATGTGCAGGTCATGATGGATATTGTCACCCAAAAGTGCCAGGAAGCTGCAGACAGGTTTATCCCCGTCCAAAAGGAGAAAAACGAAAAACAACAGAAAAACCCATGGTTCAACCAGGAATGTAAGGTAGCGAAACAACTGAGTAAAAGAACATGGAGAAACTACAGAAATAACAGAACACCAGAGAGCAGGGAGAGGTACCAGAGGGCCAGAAATGAGTACATCAGAGTGAGGAGGGAAGCAGAGAGACAGTTTGAAAATGACATCGCGAGTAAAGCCAAGACCCAACCAAAGCTGCTCCACAGCCATATCAGGAGGAAAACAGCAGTGAAGGAACAAGTGATGAAGCTGCGGAAAGGGGAGAACAGATACACAGAGAATGACAAGGAGGTGTGTGAAGAACTCAACAAGAGATTCCAGGAGGTCTTCACAATAGAACAAGGAGAAGCCCCTGCACTAAATGAGGAGGCGGCAACCTTGGAAACCTTGGAGGAATTTGACCTCACCAGTGATGAGGTCAAAAGGTGTCTGCTGGAGCTAGATGTGACAAAGGCTGTTGGGCCTGATAGAATCTCACCATGGATACTAAAGGAAGGTGCAGAAGCACTAAGTGTGCCACTCTCTATGGTGTATAACAGGTCACTGGAAACAGGAGACTTACCAGAAAGTTGGAAGACAGCTAACGTGGTCCCAATATACAAAAAGGGTGACAGGCAAGAGGCACTGAATTACAGGCCAGTTTCCTTAACTTGTATACCATGCAAGGTGCTGGAGAAGATCGTGAGGAAAAGGCTCGTAGAGCATCTGGAGGGAAATAACTTTGTAACGCACCACCAACATGGGTTCAGAGATGGTAAATCGTGCCTCACAGGGTTAATAGAATTTTATGACCAGGCAACGAAAATTAGGCAGGAAAGAGAAGGGTGGGCCGACTGCATTTTCCTGGATTGCCAAAAAGCCTTCGACACAGTACCCCATAAAAGGCTGTTAAAAAAGTTGGAGCAACAGGCAGGAGTAAAAGGGAAGGTGCTCCAGTGGATAAGGGAGTACTTAAGCAACAGGAAACAGCGAGTAACGGTGAGGGGGAAGACATCAGAGTGGCGAGATGTCACCAGCGGAGTCCCACAGGGCTCAGTACTTGGACCCATCCTGTTTCTAATATATGTGAACGATCTTCCAGAGGGTATAGACTCATTCCTCTCGATGTTTGCTGATGATGCAAAAATTATGAGAAGAATCAAGACGGATGAAGATAGACAGAGACTACAGGATGACCTGGATAAACTGGAGGAATGGTCTAGAAAATGGCTGCTGAAGTTCAACTCTGGAAAGTGTAAGGTGATGAAATTAGGCGAAGGGAGCAGGAGGCTGAACACAAGGTATCATCTGGGAGGGGAAATCCTGCAAGAATCAAATAGAGAGAAGGATCTGGGGGTTGATATCACACCGAACCTGTCCCCAGAGGCCCACATCAAAAGAATATCATCAGCGGCATATGCTAGACTGGCCAACATAAGAACTGCCTTCAGAAACTTGTGTAAGGAATCTTTCAGAACCCTGTATACCACTTATGTAAGACCAATCCTGGAGTATGCAGCTCCAGCCTGGAGTCCATACCTAGTTAAACACAAGACAAAGTTAGAGAAGATTCAGCGGTATGCCACCAGGCTCGTCCCGGAACTGAGAGGATTGAGCTACGAGGAAAGGCTAAAGGAGCTGAACCTCACATCCCTGGAAAACAGAAGAGTAAGGGGAGACATGATAACCACCTACAAAATTCTCAGGGGAATTGACAGGGTGGACAAAGACAAACTCTTCAGCACGGGTGGGACACGAACAAGGGGACACAGGTGGAAACTTAGTACCCAGATGAGCCACAGAGACGTTAGAAATAATTTTTTCAGTGTCAGAGTAGTTAATAAATGGAATGCACTAGGAAGTGATGTGGTGGAGGCTGACTCCATACACAGTTTCAAATGTAGGTATGATAGAGCCCAGTAGGCTCAGGAATCTGTACACCAGTTGATTGACAGTTGAGAGGCGGGACCAAAGAGCCAAAGCTCAACCCCCGCAAGCACAATTAGGTGAGTACAATTAGGTGAGTACACACACACACTACACACACTACACACACTACACACTACACACACACACACACACACACACACACACACACACACACTATACACACACACACACTACACACACACTACACACATACACACACTACACACTATACACACACTACACACTACACACACACACACACACACACACACACACACACACACTACACACACACACACACACACACACACACTACACACACTACACACACACACTACACACACTACACACACACACACACACACACACTACACACACTACACACACAACACACACACACTAACACACACACACCACACACACACACTACACAATCACTAACCAGTAACCGTTGTGGCGCTCACAGTCACCTTGACAGTGGTGGCGGCAAGACTGGGAACACTCCACACCCCAGCGGCCTCGTCCACACTCTTCCCCACAGGTTAAACATGTTAATAAATCAACACATATTTATATATGAGCTGCTGTCCCTGCTACTGTTACTCTTATTGGCTTACTGTTACTAACTGAACTATATGTCTATTACTATTTCAGAACCATTTAACATTTAACATCTATACATTTAACCATCAGACTTACTGATGATATCAGACTTACTGATGATATCAGACTTACTGATGATATCAGACTTATTAATGATATTAGACTTGCTGATGATATCAGACTTACTGATGATATCAGACTTACTGATGATATCAGACTTACTAATGATTTCAGACTTACTGATGGCCTTACTGATGATACTTACAGACTTACTAATCACTTACTGATTATATTAGTCTTTTAAGTCTATAGCGTCTCAAGATCTTGGTGTCTTCTGGTTTAAACAGGCAAATTACTGATCGAGCAAGTTGTTTATGTATAAGATAGACGCTTATTAAGACTATGATAAGTCTCGGAATATTGATCAAACTTCCTCAAGTTGTTGATATTAAACTTACAAGCTTCAGACTGCCCGCTTGACGTAACACACGTGGCTAGTTGGATTGTTTCAAACGTAGGCTATACACGTGTTTGAATAGGAACTGCCTCGTAGGCCAATAGGCTTACTGCAGTTTAATTTATGCTTATGTTCCTCTTCTGCAATAGAAGATTCTGATGAGGCAGTGTTGATGAGGCAGACTTCATCAACCCGGAAATAAGACCATTGTGAGAATGACGAGGAAGGACGCCTTGAGTTAGTTCGTGTTTGTTCAGACTCTAGTTGCTAAGTTTCTACACCTTACAGCCACCTTCTTCATGTTAAACAAACCAACCAACCAGCCTAACCAAGTCAGCTGAGCTATATCAGGTTATGCCATTCACTTGAGCCTTGTAGGGAACAGCGTACAGTTTAGACGGATAGTTGTGGTTATGTGTAATATTTTGTACGCTGGACTCCCTTGTGTAGAAATATGCGTAATTAGTACTACCATAGCTCTCACGGCTATTACTTACACTCTTAGTAAGTTCAGTAAGACTTAGTGACGATAACTTCCGCGTCTAAGACGACGACTGTCACTGCTGCTACAACTGTCGCTGATAATTGTGGTAACATTTATACTAACACAACAATAATGATAAAATTGTAATGTTTATTGAAATTATTTGAAGGAGAGTGTTGCCTTACCTGTGGTGCATGTGTGGCCGGTGTAGCCCGGGGCGCAGTGACACCCCAGCGGGTGTGGGAGACACACCTGCTTCCCCCAGGGCTCAGGGAGCTTCACGGTACAGTCCCGACCCATCATGGTGTTGTCGCACCCTGGGGGAGGACAGGTACACTGGGGCGTGTGTGTGGTACAGGCGTACATATGAGGGTACTCCATACAGTACAGACCAAGAGATACATATGAAGGTATATACGATAATACATACAGGGCACATACTGACAGTAAATATGATGTACATATAGGGTATATTTTGAATGTATGTGAGGTATAAGAGAGAATATATGGGAGGTGGGAGAACAGACGCCTAAGGCTAGTCTCATTAACCTTTATATGATAAATGGTTATTTTATCGGGAGTGTCACAGGGTCAGCGTCGGCCCCATGCCCCCCTGAACATGGGGGAACGGCCCCGTGCTCCCCCCCCCCCCACCCCTCTCCCTCCCTCAACATGCGGTCGGCCCCATGCCCCCCTCAACATGGGGAACGGCCCTGTGCCCCCTCCAACATGGGGTCGGCCCCAATGCCACTGCTTGGCGAGGACTGTTGAAGTTAAATATCGAGCGCAGAGTCCATAGACTTTAGCCTTAGTTAAAATAATAGTGAATTTAGATATTGATTTTTAATACGTTTAGACATACGTTTACGATGGTAGATTTGTATTCTGGACGCAACCTTTTGGTTAGTGTTGAAGATAATGTGAAAGATTAATGGTTAGTGATGGGGGAGACCGAGAGGGTGGAGACGGGGGTGGGGGGGGGGGTGCAGGGATGGTGGAGATAGGGAGGGCGTGCGCGTGTGTGTGTGTGTGTGCGCGCGCGTTCATGTGTGTGTGTGTGTGTGTGTATGTGTGCAGGAAGGGTGGAGACGGGGAGTGCGTGTGAGAGTGTGTGCGTGCGGAGGAAGGACATGGGTGGGATAAAACTACAGGGATGGGGGGTTAGATGTAGAGAGAGTGTGTGAGGAAACAGTAAGGGTGCGTGAGGAGAACTCTGAGCTCCGGGGACTCCAACTAGAATAGGAAATACATATGAGCGTATTTTGTCTCATGGTGTATACATATTACTTCTACAAGGCGCTCTGGTTCACTGGCATTTTGTGAGGCCATCTTGTGGTAGTGGACCAGCACACTCCCCTGGGTAGTGAGAGAGACCCCCCCCCAGACAGGTAAGGGGGACACACACGGGTCTGACAACGGCCCCCAGACAGGTAAGGGGGACACACACTCACGGGTGTGACAACGGCCCCCAGACAGGTAAGGGGGACACACACACTCACGGGTCTGACAACGGTCCCCAGACAGGTAAGGCGGACATATACACTCGCCAGTCACGGGGTGACAGACGCCGCCGTACATACAGTCAGGACACCACTTATTGCAGCCTTTACCATAGCGACCAGCTGGACACTCTGTAACAGTTAATGTGACATTACTAAAGTGTGGTCTATGTTGGGTGTTACAAATCATGTCTCAGGTCTTTGTTGGGTGTTACAAGTCATGTGTCAGGTTTATGTTGGGTGTTACAAGTCATGTCTCAGGTCTATGTTGGGTGTTACAAGTCATGTCTCAGGTCTATGTTGGGTGTTACAAGTCATGTCTCAGGTCTATGTTGGGTGTTACAAGTCATGTGTCAGGTCTTTGTTGGGTGTTACAAGTCATGTGTCAGGTCTATGTTGGGTGTTACAAGTCATGTGTCAGGTCTATGTTGGGTGTTACAAGTCATGTCTCAGGTCTATGTTGGGTGTTACAAGTCATGTGTCAGGTCTATGTTGGGTGTTACAAGTCATGTGTCAGGTCTATGTTGGGTGTTACAAGTCATGTGTCAGGTCTATGTTGGGTGTTACAAGTCATGTCTCAGGTTTATGTTGGGTGTTACAAGTCATGTGTCAGGTCTATGTTGGGTGTTACAAGTCATGTGTCAGGTCTATGTTGGGTGTTACAAGTCATGTCTCAGGTTTATGTTGGGTGTTACAAGTCATGTGTCAGGTCTATGTTGGGTGTTACAAGTCATGTGTCAGGTCTATGTTGGGTGTTACAAGTCATGTGTCAGGTCTATGTTGTGTTACAAGTCATGTGTCAGGTCTATGTTGGGTGTTACAAGTCATGTGTCAGGTCTATGTTGTGTTACAAGTCATGTGTCAGGTCTATGTTGTGTTACAAGTCATGTGTCAGGTCTATGTTGGGTGTTACAAGTCATGTGTCAGGTCTATGTTGTGTTACAAGTCATGTGTCAGGTCTATGTTGGGTGTTACAAGTCATGTCTCAGGTTTATGTTGGGTGTTACAAGTCATGTCTCAGGTTTATGTTGGTGTTACAAGTCATGAGGAATAATGTAAACATAACAATACCACAAGTTACAACAATTATGTTCACCGAGACATAACTTCCAGCTTCCAAACCCCGCAGGTAAATATTATGGATGAATATCAATTACTAGACGTGGTGTTGTAGCCGCTGCTCACCTCTCACCAGCAGACTGAAGGTACCAAACTGTTTCTTGTCACTCCCTGGTGCTTTTGCGCTGGTGTAGGGTATAACAGAATAGAAGCCAGAGCCGGTGAGCTTGTCTGCCGGGATGATGAACTGGTTGTCGTCCGTGAGGTTAGATTTAGATGGCTGCCATCCGTCACTAGTGACGGGTTCCTTCTGCCACAGGACCTGACGAGGTGTTGTTCTGTCCCGCAGTGTGAACCTCAGACGGAGGTCCTCACCCTTACTGACCGTCACACTCAGCTGCTCCGGCACGTACCAGGCTGAAAACAGTGAGAGATACAGTGAGACACACGGGGAGAGTGAGAGATATATAATGGTGAAAATAGTCACAATGAGAAACAGTTAAAGCCTATTCACAGAAATAATCACAATGAGAAACAGTTAAAGCCGATTCGCAAATTAATAGATGTTGAACATTTCATAAATATTCTGAAATTTGTATACTGACAGGTCACCAGCCATGAGCCACCAAGTACAGTATACTGACAGGTCACCAATTGACTGTCCCAACTGGATCTGGCCGCCTCACTGACTAGAGAACATTCCCTAGTGAGCACAGATTCCAGTTGTTTCCAAACCTTCATCGCTCCAAATGCATGAAATGTTAACTCCTTCGCTAGAACCACCCACCCTCAACGATAGGCTGGGTGGTTCAGAGCACGTTGGTACACTTATAGTAAATTAACCGCTTCGTACATTGTCCTCTCCTGTAGAGGCTCTTACTAACACCTTGCTTGACTTGCTGTAACCTGTCCTAATACCATGTCACATTTTGACATACCTTACTTAAGACTAAAAACTGTCGTACTAGAAAATGGGAACTGCTCACGAAATTGACAATGTTTCGTTTGCTGTCTGTGGGTCCTCTGTATGGTTTTAATAACAGACTTTAATACGACAGTTTCTTGACGATGGGAAGCTCGCGAAAACGGGCTGACCATCTGGCCCCGGGCTGACTATAATGGCCCCGGGCTGACCATCTGGCCCCGGGCTGACCATCTGGCCCCGGGCTGACCATACTGGCCCCGGGCTGACCATCTGGCCCGGGCTGACTATAATGGCCCCGGGCTGACCATCTGGCCCCGGGCTGACCATACTGGCCCCGGGCTGACCATACTGGCCCCGGGCTGACTATAATGGCCCCGGGCTGGTCAGTTTCTACAGGTAACTCGGGTTAAGCTGTGAACATTACCTCCATTATTCATGAGTGGGGCGGAGACGTTGTAGTGAGGAGGAGCTCCAGGGGCGCTACACACCACTCCTCGGGCTGTTGTCTCCACACCCGTCCCCCACTTGAGCCGTACACTGCCATCCCCGTCACCTGTGGATCACTGGATGTATCATACTCAACATTATGATAAACTTGTACAATACCTGTCACCCTCAGTGTGACATGAACATGAATGTGTTAAGTAATTCTTATCATAAATAACGCCCGTGATAATCGTCCACAAAAGGTAGCATGGTGTTTTAAGGTGATAGAGGGATTAAGGCCGTCATAGGAGAGTGACTTACGGCACTTGAGTTAATACTTACGTTGAATGGTGGGACTTCTATAGTAGTGTGGCACAAGGTGACCCTCCATGCGTTGTGGCGTGTCGCCGGGGACACAGTAGACGAGCACATTACCAGGGAAGACGTTCAGGAGCGGGTACACCATGGTGATGTCCGGCGCCCTGGTGGTGGTGGACCTGGGAGACCGTCGGGGGGACCTGACAGGTGATACTGTCACACCTGAGGAGTCGTCGTCAACGTTCCTGTCCAAACATTTAGGTAATAAGGAAGGAACAAAAAAGCAAGCAAACAAAAGGATATATTTACCTAAGACAAACAAAAATCTTGGCCTCAAACCCCAAAACTTTGCTCAAGAAGAAGACATTTTCAACAATAATTATCATGCTTTATTGATAACATTAATGACAAAATCAGCTGGAGGTCTGAGGTGACTGGGACCCGCGACTACAGACTGCCAGCCACAACCTCTACCTTTTGTGTGAGTTATCTGTGTAGATAACATTAATTATAGCAACACAGTCAGATAACTAAATCAAGACAACTCAGAAATCTGGGTCAAGATAACTCAGATATCTGGGTCAAGACAACAGATACCTGGGTCAAGACAACACAGATACCTGGGTCAAGATAACTCAGATATCTGGGTCAAGACAACACAAATACCTGGGTCAAGACAACACAAATACCTGGGTCAAGACAACACAGATACCTGGGTCAAGACAACAGATACCTGGGTCAAGACAACACAGATACCTGGGTCAAGATAACTCAGATATCTGGGTCAAGACAACACAAATACCTGGGTCAAGACAACACAAATACCTGGGTCAAGACAACACAGATACCTGGGTCAAGACAACACAGATACCTGGGTCAAGACAACACAGATACCTGGGTCAAGACAACACAGATACCTGGGTCAAGACAACACAGATACCTGGGTCAAGATAACTCAGATATCTGGGTCAAGACAACACAAATACCTGGGTCAAGACAACAGATACCTGGGTCAAGACAACACAGATACCTGGGTCAAGACAACACAAATACCTGGGTCAAGACAACACAGATACCTGGGTCAAGACAACAGATACCTGGGTCAAGACAACACAGATACCTGGGTCAAGACAACACAGATACCTGGGTCAAGACAACAGATACCTGGGTCAAGACAACACAGATACCTGGGTCAAGATAACTCAGATACCTGGGTCAAGACAACACAAATACCTGGGTCAAGACAACACAGATACCTGGGTCAAGATAACTCAGATACCTGGGTCAAGACAACACAGATACCTGGGTCAAGATAACTCAGATACCTGGGTCAAGACAACACAAATACCTGGGTCAAGACAACACAGATACCTGGGTCAAGATAACTCAGATACCTGGGTCAAGACAACACAGATACCTGGGTCAAGATAACTCAGATACCTGGGTCAAGACAACACAAATACCTGGGTCAAGACAACACAGATACCTGGGTCAAGATAACTCAGATACCTGGGTCAAGACAACACAAATACCTGGGTCAAGACAACACAGATACCTGGGTCAAGATAACTCAGATACCTGGGTCAAGACAACACAGATACCTGGGTCAAGACAACACAGATACCTGGGTCAAGATAACTCAGATACCTGGGTCAAGACAACACAAATACCTGGGTCAAGACAACACAGATACCTGGGTCAAGATAACTCAGATACCTGGGTCAAGACAACACAGATACCTGGGTCAAGACAACACAGATACCTGGGTCAAGACAACACAAATACCTGGGTCAAGACAACACAGATACCTGGGTGAGGTGAGTGTCTCACCTCTCACTACTTCAGTTCTCTCACCTCTCACTACTTCTCAGTTCTCTCACCTCACAATGTTATAGCGTTTGTCTCCTACCAGTCACTGCTACACTGTGAGTACATCACATGACGTATAATGTACTATGACAACACAGAGCACACGTAAGCACTACATATATCATATACACGTAGAGTTATAAGTGATAACGTTCAGTAAACTTACAGGGAGAGCGAGAGACAGCCGTAGACGCCAACACTCACTGCAAAATGACAACAACAGTAGTATTAGAGATACAATACTGCTCCTATACTCTCACTGTATAGCATTATATATGGGGCAACGTTATGTTATGAGAACAACAGTTAGAAATACAATACCAGTCTTATACTCACACACACGTGTTATCTGTCGTTATATATCTAAACAATGCTATGTTACAAGAGCTTGTTTAAGTTGATATAGAGCTCAACACCAACTCAAGTTAGCTTTAACATCTCAGGTTAGTCATATACCAGAACAGAGTAAGGAGGGTCTGGTCAAGTAAGGAGGAAGGGAGCTATGAAGGAGAAAGCGCCAAGTCTTTACGAGTATCTATCACTTGGAAGGGGTCAGGAGAGGTCAGCAGCGCTCATTGTATTATTACACTAAAAAGATGATGAGTAGACTTACTCAGTACGATGATGAGACGTTTGGCAGTCCTGGCGGCCATCTTGCCCGGCCACTGCCACCTGTAGGATAAGGTGATGAGTTTATTGTTGATCCCATACTCATACTGCTGGAGGAGTACCCATACCCATTTTGTGGGAAGTGTACCAATACCCATACTGCTGGAGGTGTACCCATACCCATGCTGCATGCTGTGGGAGGTGTATCCCATACCCATCCAGTAAGCAGGCTTGTCCACCTCTTACATAGCCTAAGCAACTCTATACAACTCCTAAGTCTCATCAACATGCTAAGCTTCCTAGAGTAACACATGCTCAAGGTAGATCAAGTATACTCAGGAAGAGTATCTCGTGGTTTACACTGTCATGCGTATCCGGATATTGCGAAAATGGTGTATACTAACTAATTATAAAGCTGTTCCCCCTAAGAAAAAATAACATTTCAGAACCAGATATAGCAAGTGGTTATATTACAATATAAATATGGGATTATATATGATTTATATTTGCTGGTCGCATTAGCGACAATGAATTATAACACAAACAATAATGTAAATAACCAATTACGAAAATTTAATAAAGTGAGCTTGAACAATAATAACAAAACGTGTACCATATATAATATAAATACAAATTCTCAATAAATGTTCAAATGTTAATATATGAGCAACGTGAAGTGTTCCCATGACCCCGGAGTCTGTTAACTCCTCTACTGGTGATGGGCATGTATCATTGGTGGTATGTCATCTTTAGCCTGACAGTCGAGTGTGGTTGGGTCCTAGCTATGTTGGGTCCTCGCCATGTTGGGTCCTCGCCATGTTGGGTCCTCGCCATGTTGGGTCCTCGCCATGTTGGGTCCTTGCCATGTTGGGTCCTCGCTATGTTGGGTCCTCGCCATGTTGGGCCCTTGCCCTGTTGCGTCCTTGCCATGTTGGGTCCTTGTCCTGTTGCGTCCTTGCTATGTTGGGTCCTCGCTATGTTGGGTCCTCGCTATGTTGGGTCCTCGTCCTGTTGGGTCCTCGCTATGTTGGGTCCTCGTCCTGTTGGGTCCTCGCTATGTTGGGTCCTCGCCATGTTGGGTCCTCGCCATGTTGGGTCCTCGCCATGTTGGGTCCTCGCTATGTTGGGTCCTCGCTATGTTGGGTCCTTGCTATGTTGGGTCCTTGCTATGTTGGGTCCTCGCCATGTTGGGTCCTTGCCCTGTTGGGTCCTCGCCCTGTTGCGTCCTCGCCATGTTGGGTACTCGCCCTGTTGGGTCCTTGCTATGTTGGGTCCTTGCTATGTTGGGTCCTTGCTGTGTTGTGTCCTCACTATGTTGGGTCCTTGCTATGTTGGGTCCTTGCTATGTTGGGTCCTCGCCATGTTGGGTCCTTGCCATGTTGGGTCCTCGCCATGTTGCGTCCTCGCCATGTTGGGTCCTCGCCATGTTGGGTACTCGCCATGTTGGGTCCTCGCCATGTTGGGTACTCGCCCTGTTGGGTCCTTGCTATGTTGGGTCCTTGCTATGTTGTGTCCTCACTATGTTGGGTACTCGCCATGTTGGGTCCTCGCCATGTTGGGTCCTTGCCATGTTGGGTCCTCGCCATGTTGGGTCCTCGCCCTGTTGAGTCCTCGCCAACATCTGTGATCTGTTTTATATGTTCCAGTAAACTTGTGTATTTTATGCTAGACTTTTTACCTATCCTCTAAACATTTATTGAGACTTTGGTCAGGCTATGATTTTCCAGTGATGCTGTGGCGCATGAGGTCCTGACAGATTTGAACCAAGTCAGTGATGCTCTTAACTAAATCAGTTATTTTGTTTGGCTGGAGACCCCTTAGTACTTCAACAGCTGACGACAGTGAGTGTGTGTGTGAGGAATTAATGATTTTCCGGTTGACAAGTCAACGTTGATTGTACTCGCTAGTATGGTCTTGCAGGGGTCAAGCTCTAGCTCTTGAGCTAAGCATTACCAGCTGTCGATTGTGTAATGCAGCGACTCCCGACTGCATTAGTGTGTGTGTGTGTGTGTGTTCTATCACTGCTTGTTATCCAGAGTGCTGCCTTCACAGTGGCAGGATAAGCAAGAGCTGCTGGAGGATATCATTCATGTTGTAGTCATTACTTTTGATCGGTGCTACGCGGTCTTCCCGGCATGGCGCCTTCTTTTGGTAATTACCTGTTCGTTACTTTTGAGTTTCCTTATTTTTGCTGTTTGGTAAACCGTGAGTTATGAGGAAACTTGTAGCGTGAGAAGGTGACGGTGCCAGGATGTGGCGTCAACCTCCAGAGGCACAGGAAGTGTCAAAGGTCGCCGGTCTTGACCTCTCGATAACAACAATGTGACCTTTTATATTCACTCTAACTTTTTATGGTTATTTATTTGTAATTATCGTCTCTTGCTCTGGTAACCAATAGTGCCGTCAACTTACAACTAATTGATCCAGGGTTCGAGTCCAGGACAAACGAGACTTTGGGCTACGGTTCCTTACACCCGATGGTTCTGTTTACTCCGAGAGTAAATAGGTATCTGGGATATGACCAACTGTTGTGGGTTGCATCCTGGTCAATTGATAGCCATGAAGGGCACTCGAAAACCCTTACAGGCTTCACAAATGCTTTGAAAATATAACTTGGTAAGGACAACTACATTAAAATAAAACAGTCCTTACCACATACCTTAAAATAAACCCCAGCTGATTATCGACTCTTGTCCGCGAGCCTCAGTCATCCATCATTGTCCTGGCTATCACACTACTCACAGGGCACTAGATGGGTGGTGTGGAGGGGTACTCACAAGGCACGAGATGGGTGGTGTAGAAAGGTACTCACAGGGCACTAGATGGGTGGTGTGGAGGGGTACTCACAGGGCACTAGATGGGTGGTGTGGAGGGGTACTCACAGGGCACTAGATGGGTGGTGTGGAGGGGTACTCACAGGGCACTAGATGGGTGGTGTGGAGGGGTACTCACAGGGCACTAGATGGGTGGTGTGGAGGGGTACTCACAGGGCACTAGATGGGTGGTGTGGAGAGGTACTCACAGGGCACGAGATGGGTGGTGTGGAGGGGTACTCACAGGGCACGAGATGGGTGGTGTGGAGGGGTACTCACAGGGCACGAGATGGGTGGTGTGGAGGGGTACTCACAGGGCACTAGATGGGTGGTGTGGAGGGGTACTCACAGGGCACGAGATGGGTGGTGTGGAGGGGTACTCACAGGGCACGAGATGGGTGGTGTAGAGAGGTACTCACAGGGCACGAGATGGGTGGTGTGGAGGGGTACTCACAGGGCACGTGATGGGTGGTGTGGAGGGGTACTCACAGGGCACGAGATGGGTGGTGTGGAGGGGTACTCACAGGGCACGTGATGGGTGGTGTAGAGAGGTATTCACAGGGCACGAGATGGGTGGTGTAGAGAGGTACTCACAGGGCACGAGATGGGTGGTGTGGAGCGGTACTCACAGGGCACGTGATGGGTGGTGTGGAGGGGTACTCACAGGGCACGAGATGGGTGGTGTGGAGGGGTACTCACAGGGCACGTGATGGGTGGTGTAGAGAGGTACTCACAGGGCACGAGATGGGTGGTGTAGAGAGGTACTCACAGGGCACGAGATGGGTGGTGTGGAGGGGTACTCACAGGGCACGTGATGGGTGGTGTGGAGAGGTACTCACAGGGCACGTGATGGGTGATGTAGAGGAGTACACACAGGGGCACCAGTCTGGTGAAGGACCACAGGGGGACTGGGAGACAGCTTGGCCACACCACCAGCAGTCGTTTCCTCCAGAGACAGGATGCATCAAGATGGCCCCTCGCTCGTCCCTAATCTTTGTTTAGTTATTATATTTTTACTTCGCACAAATCAAGAAAATTGTCGATAACTTGTGTGCTTTAGACGACTACCAGTTACAGCAACACCTTGCAAGTGACTACACTTTGCTCATATTGTATTTCCCAAGAATATCTGGCGTCTAAATTAGGAACATAAATATATTTTAAGGAAGCCTGTGAGAAAGTTTGACTAGCAAGTGTAAAGGCCTCTTAAGAGAGGTTAAACTAAACCTAAACATGTATGGTACTGGAACAGCGTGATGCAAAACGTGTAGATAATGTTTAGATATGAATGACGCATGTTGGGTGATGACGGATTTCCTTAAAGAAGATTTCGCTGTATCCAACTCTCATACAACACAATGTATATATATATACAAACCAAACTGAAGGCAAAATAGCACATAAGATCCATCTTTTCCAGAAGTGTTCTCTTAATGTTCAGATTAAACTTCAAATAAGAAGGATTATTAGGACTGTATCACGTAAAATACTCCATATTAGTATGTCACGTTTATACACCGGAAGGTATACTCTGCTTTTCGGAGTACATACCCCTGTGAGTTTACTTTAGTCCTGAACTTTGCTCAGGACCAGAGTATACTTGCTGGTTGGTCAGTAAGCTGTGGTGTGGTCTTAACTCTACAGAGGTTGAGTGGCATTAATAACCCCCCAGAGGTTGATAGGCTTTAATAACATTCTAGAGGTTAATAAGCTTTGATAGCGCTCTTGAGGTTAATAGGCCTTAGTAAACCCCAGAGGGTGATAAGCCTTAGTAACACTCCAAAGAGTGATAGGCCTTAGTAACCCTCCAGAGAGTGATAGGCCTTAGTAACCCTCCAGAGGGTAATAGGCCTTAGTAACCCTCCAGGGGGGTAAGAGACTGTGTTCTCTCAGAAATCTACCAAGTGTTTGGTCAGCTGCGTCACCCACCAGGATGGTTCACACTGAACACCATGGGCTGGCAGCTCGTCCTCATAAACAAAGGCCAAAGTCCATTCCATGCACCCGCCAAATGCCAAGTGTATGAATGAAAAACAGTTTACACACGACTCACAATTGTTGACGTTCGAACACTTCCGGAACAAGTGCTTCACTGACGAATTTTGTTTGAACCACAACGCTGTAAATGTTTCACCCACATACTACAAATACAAATAATCACCAACAGAACCTAAACATCTAACCTAACAATGTCTAAATATGCACAATATGCTAATATATAACAATAATAATAATAGTAATTTATATTTGAGAAAATTCCTGTTTTGAATGAACAGAATGTTAAAATTGATGACTGCGTCTTTGGTGTCGACCGCAGGATGGAATGGACTTAGTCTGAAGACGGGTTGAGGCTGGTGTTAGTGAGCAGAACCCTATGCCCCTGTTACCTAGCAGTAAAATAGGTACCTGGGTGTTGGTCAGCTGTCACGGGCTGCTTCCTGGAGGTGGAGGCTTGGTCGAGGACCGGGCCGCGGGGACACTAAAGCCCCAAAATCATCTCAAGATAACCTCAAGATAGATATGTTAGCATTCAGGCGGGTCGGGCAATAATGTATTGAAACTAAATTGAAATTCAAATACGTTTATGTCTTTGATAACCGACAGTTGAAAAGGCGGAACCCAAGAGCAGGTTGTGTCTTGGAGAGACATTCAGACGAGTACACAAACATATGACTCGGGTACATGCACACACATGAACCCACATACATGAAGAACATAAAAAACATGTGTCAACAAAACTGGCTTCTGCGAAGATGAGAATCGGGTTGAGTGTAGTGTACCATGTCGTCTGCTGAGTATTGGGGAGGGTGTAGTGTACCGTGTCGTCTGCTGAGTATTGGGGAGGGTGTAGTGTACCGTGTCGTCTGCTGAGTATTGGGGAGGGTGTAGTGTACCATGTCGTCTGCTGAGTATTGGGGAGGGTGTAGTGTACCGTGTCGTCTGCTGAGTATTGGGGAGGGTGTAGTGTACCGTGTCGTCTGCTGAGTATTGGGGAGGGTGTAGTGTACCATGTCGTCTGCTGAGTATTGGGGAGGGTGTAGTGTACCGTGTCGTCTGCTGAGTATTGGGGAGGGTGTAGTGTACCGTGTCGTCTGCTGAGTATTGGGGAGGGTGTAGTGTACCATGTCGTCTGCTGAGTATTGGGGAGGGTGTAGTGTACCGTGTCGTCTGCTGAGTATTGGGGAGGGTGTAGTGTACCGTGTCGTCTGCTGAGTATTGGGGAGGGTGTAGTGTACCGTGTCGTCTGCTGAGTATTGGGGAGGGTGTAGTGTACCGTGTCGTCTGCTGAGTATTGGGGAGGGTGTAGTGTACCACATCTCCTGTGTATGTGTACTGGGGAGGGTGTAGTGTATCCTGTCGTCTCCTGGGTATAGATCAGTGAACTTCAAACAATCACAAACTTACAGTTCAGATTTCCTTCCAGTTGGCTAATTATCTGATGTATGTAAAGCGAGTGTTTAGATAAAGCGAACCAAGTGTTCAGGATATCCGCTTGCCACATTCACAGGCACTGAATACCAGAATACACTGTATGAAATTATTATATCTGTACTTGATATATTAATAGGAAATGACGCACAATAGTACAAGCTATGTTAGTGGGACATGAGTAATGAATAGTACAAGCTATGTTAGTGGGACACAAGGAATCACATAGTACAAGCTATGTTAGTGGGACATGAGTAATGAATAGTACAAGCTATATTAGTGGGACACAAGGAATGACATAGTACAAGCTATGTTAGTGGGACACGAGGAATGACATAGTACAAGCTATGTTAATGGGACACAAGGAATGACATAGTACAAGCTATGTTAATGGGACACGAGGAATGACATAGTACAAGCTATGTTAATGGGACACAAGGAATGACATAGTACAAGCTATGTTAGTGGGACATGAGAAAGGATGAACTAAAGTGAAGAACTTATTAAATACAACTGACCGGAAGTTATACAGGGTGTTTCAATGTTTTTTTTTTATCATTTGCGATGTAAATATCTGAGTAACTACATAGTCTAGACAAATGAAATTAAACAGGTTTAATGTAGAGGAAAATAAGATTTATTCATCAAAATTCGAATGAGAAATACAAAATTGCGTGTATTTTATGAATGATTTCACAGGTCTTCAATATGCGCACCGCCTGTCAAGTTTTCAGTATGGACTACCAACACGTCAAATGGGTAGTCCAGCTCCCGCCACACACACACCGTGCAGCGCCTCTTGTGTAAGTCTCCAGTCCTGCAGTGGTTCTCTGCTGGAGGTCCTCAAGTCTGGAGGACTCTGGGGTTTCAAACTGGCTCTTCTTATGGACTTCTTTCAGCTTCGCAAAAATGTTTCCCTTAACCCACTCGACAATCTCTTCCGGTTCGGGTGATCGTCCAGATCGACTACCTCTTCCGGTTCGGGTGGTCGTCCAGATCGACCATCTCTTCCGGTGCTGATGGTCATCCAGATCGACCATTTCTTCTGGTGCGGGTGGCCGTCCAGATCCTTTTGCCCGTCACGAACAACCTTTCTCTTTGAACTTTTTGTGCCATGTCCAAATCTGCATAGCAGTTAGTGCATTTTTAGCGAATTCTCTCGCAAATGCACGCTGCAGTTTTGTTTGGCTGTGTTCCAGCATACTCTAGCACACAAAACTCCTTTTCTTTTCCAGTGAATTTCTATACCCGAAAAGAAAAACAAATCATTAAACATAGAATTTTGAGCTATTTCTACACACCTCGAATATTGAGATCATTTGAACGAGAATTGGTCAATTTATTAGATTACGAAATTATATAAATTTTTCTGAAACACCCTGTACAGTATAGTAGTTTCAACGGTAACGATAGATTTATCAGTAGCAGTAACGATTGTAAGAGCAACAACGGGATCTATAGTAATAGCAGTACCATTAGCAATAGTAATATAAGCAGCGGGAATTATATTAATAGCATTAACAGAAGCGATATTTTAACATAGAAGTAGCAATAATAATGAAAGCAACATGAGCAGTAGACACAGTTACAACAGGAATAATAGAAACAACACCAACAGCTAGGAATTGCTCTCCTGAATTCTCCTCAGGAAAATTCAGGAGACCCATCTCAGGAATTCTTCCCTATCAATTTTATCGATTCCTATTACTATTTTGTCCGTAGCGATCATATCGCCTCTTTTTTTCTTCTATCTTCTAGTTTTTTTGCATATTTAATACCTCTAACCTCTCCTCGTAGCTCTTGTCCTTCAGTTCTGGGCGCCACTTTGTGGCATGTCTTTGCACCTTTTCCAGTTTGTTGATGTGCTTCTTAAGATATGGGCACCATACCACCGCTGCACATTCCAGCTTTGGTCTAACAAAAGTCGTGAACAATTTCTTGAGTATTTCTCCATTCATGTATTTAAAAGCAATTCTGAAGTTAGAAATTGTAGCATAGACTCCTCGCACAATATTCTTCATGTGGTCCTCAGGTGAGTTTTTTTTTCTGGGGGGAGCCCCTACGGCTCCCCGGAGCTATCCATGGCTGATATGGATACCCTAACTATTTTGCATGATACCCTAACTTTCCATGGACTTGAAACTCCATGGAAACTTGAAACAACAGGGCTCCATCAAGGAACATATAACCTCTTCTCACAACCAGACCATCACCAGAGAAATCTTAACAAACAACACAGATATCGATAGATACAACAATAACAGGAGGTTCGACATCAGCGAGGCACTACACATCAAAAAGTCAACACCAGCAATCAATAGCCAATCGCTGCCGGAGTGCTGGTTACATTTAGTTCTTATGTCTTTAATGTCTACTCCTCCATACTGAAGAGTGTATACCCGTTCTAAAGCTCTTTAATACTAGACATTGATTAATGCACAACTATATTCTACCCACTCAAGATCCCGAACCAACATGGAAGCATCAAGAGGTGGTATGGGCCAATAGCCCTTCTGCAGTTAGTACTTCCATTCTTATGTTTTCATACCCAATTTATAACCATTGTTTTGTGTTCTGTCTTGTGTTTGTCACCTCACCCAAAACTTTTGTGCCATATCACCTCACCCAAAACTTTTGTGCCATATCACCTCACCCAAAAAGAGTATAAGTACGATGAGAGTACCCCAGAGAAGTCATCACTGTCTGATGTTATAACCGAAGGGGATTTCCCTTCCAAACATCAACACCTCTCCTTCCCCCCCCCCCCACCCCTCACTGTCTTCCATACACTAACTAGAATCATCAATAAAGGCAAGACATAACTTGTACATAGTGTAGTCCAAAATATTTGTAGTATTATGTATGAAACTTATTTTTAAGTTAATCTGTTCCACACTCCCAAAAATATTTAATTCAATTTGCATTATTTCTTATGGGAAAATTCATTTTGGTTTATGAATTTTCTGTTTAAGAACCGTCTCTGGGAATGGATTAAATTCGTAAACGGAGGTACCACTGCATTTATACTGAGATAGTGCTGCAATATAATTTTTTTCTCTTCTAGGATAAAAATTTTCAATGCCTTCAAACTAAAGGATGAATAAAACTCATTATGACTACAGTATATCATATACTTTACCAAATTTCTGTACAGAATAAGTTTAGAATGTACAAGAACAAAGCATACGGTTTCAATCACAGTTTGATATTAAAAACTACATAAAATTTATAAGAGCATAAATTCTGTACTGCATAACAGGTTATATGAAAATGTGCTTCTAATCTTGTTTTCATTATGACAAAAAGATGGTAACTAGTATTTTACCAGTTATCAAATATTCTGGTAATAACATTGCACAAGATTCAATAATTCTGGAACAAAACAGTAGCAATAGCCAAACATTTCATTAAGACAATGCAAGCCATAGCTATTAACAGATTAAGTTTTGGCACAACTTAATTATACCTATGTAAGGGGAGATACTAGTATGAATAATACAGATTGGCTACGGTAGTGTTTTTAATATGCAAGGCATATAGACTGGCAACACAAAGTAAACATGCAACTGTAATGCTATATAGAATTGCAATTAAGCCATCAAATATGCCAAAATTTACCTAAGATTGTTGATGTAACCATACACATGTTATTTCGATACAAAAATATAAAGATTTACTTTTTTCTCATGATGTAAAGTGGATAAATAGTCTTGAGACTTTGTATCATATCAAATGATTTCATCAGTTCATTATACTGATGAAAATAATAATAAATTATTATTATAATATACATAAACATTTTGCAAGTACAGTATTTTAATCTCGCTAAATTGGGAAATAATTTGTTTTTGGTATTCAAATTGGAGCAGGGCTAAAAACCAGTGCTTGCCTGAGGGTGTATTTGTTCTTAACAGCTTCACTGTTTATGTAGTGCTAATCCAAGAGGCAGTCTCTCCTCCTTTATTAATAATAAGAAATTTGGCAAAGTTAGTACAGTAATGTAAATAAATAGTTTTACTACTTGACACAGAAAAGTACGTCGACTATGTATATGAGTACATACTCACCATACTGGTTTTGTAACGTGTCTTGACAGGATAATTGACCCAAGGAAATTTCATGCCTATACACCTGGGCAATTTATCAGCCAAGACTACAAATTAATTATACACTGCTTCCCAAGAGAATGCAGTGGCTCAATTTATTTGAGAGGTCAGTTCAACGTTAGTATAACAGCTCTCAAACTGAACCCAGTTCCTTGTGTCCTGGAGATGGAATGTATTCCAGCAACTCCACTTGGTGCATGCTTTATTGTTTGTGTGTGGCAGCATCGGTGAGTGGTGTTGCAATGGGAGATGATGTGTATGCTTTGATAAAGAATAATCAGCAATTGTTTTGAATATGGCTGGTGGGCCAGCCCTCACTGAGAATGTGTGGGGTTTATTCTATACTTGTCATGCTAAGTATTCAAGAAAAGGTATGTACTATACTGTATTTGGACCAAAACAAAATTCTTAAATGCAAATAAAAACAGTTTAGCTGCACAATGTTGAATAATAGTAAATCCTAAGAGAAAGTTGCAAGTGAAATTTTTACATGGTCTTCACACACTACTTGTCTCAGATCCCCAATTATGGCAGAGCATCTTAGCTACCTTCATTCAAATGTTTACATTCCACTGATCAATAACCGAAGAATTATAGATTTATGCTTTGAACAAATGTCTCTATGTAAAAGAAAATAATTATTGTTTCTTTGATGAAAACTGCGGCATAATACAGTTGTTAGCATCAGTAAATTGTGAACTGCATTTTCATTGTACAGCATTAACACTTTCGCCCGGTGATCACGCATAGTGCGTCAAAACATTTTCTCACGGATGTACCCGTATGCCAATCACGCATATTGCGTTATAAATTAAAATATTCATTAAAATTCAAATTTGTATTCGATCATTCTGGGATTGGCCTTATAACGAGTGCTTTTAGATTTTGCACATTTTGATCGCATAATAAATGACATAGTATGACAATTTGAGGTCAGAACACTGGAAAGATTATGAATACTTTTGTGGTGATGAGCATCAAAAATTTAAATATTTTTTTTAAATTCCATTTCTTGTTCGATTATTATGGGACTAGTTTTAAAATGCACACCTTTAGATTGTGAACAATTTGATACCAAAATGAACGACAGCATGACAATTGAGGTCAGAACACTGGAAATATTATAAATACTTGTGTAGTGATGAGTGTCCAAAATTTGTAATATTTGCTTAAAATTCCGTTTCTTATTTGATTATTATGGGACTAGTTTTAAAATGCGTGCCTACAGATTGTGAACAATTTTATGCCAAAATGAACGATGTAGCTCGGAAATTGAGGTCAGAACACTGGAAAGAGTATATATATGTCTCAGGAATCACAGGCCCTGGTACGAATCGCCAAACCCACCTTGGGTGGGTTCATGGGCGTGCAATGGGAACGCGAAAGTGTTAAGATGGGTCTTAACATTTTATGAGAATGAGAAGACACATTCAAACATTAGAATGGTGAATATTTATCAAATGAAAGCACTAAGACAGGATGGTTATTTAGAACTACTGCAAAACTAGCAAAAGTAAAAATTGTCTGACTGAAAACATGCAGATCCTGATGTACACAAATGCAACAGTATACTCTTAAAACTTAATAATGCTGTACCCAATTGGGGATGAGAAGTACAAATTGTATTCATGACCAATCTTAATGATAAACTTGAAAATAAAAATTTTTGTGAGCAATCAAACTTGGAGAGAGGCCAAGAATGTTTTATATGTGAAGACCATGCATGTCAAAGTGAAAGAAAAAATAAAGCTATTGTGATTAAATACATTGTGGTAAATAATTTTTGTGAACCATTACCTAAAACAGTACCCTTGCCTACAATGTAAAAAAACTAAAAAATCATCTATTTGAACAAATGTAGCCTTGTGAATGCTAGAATTAATAAAACTAGGTATATTGGACCCAAGTTCTAATTAGAGCAACTAATTTGAAAATTTAACAATTACAAAATAAAAATACAATCCTGATGTCCTAATTTTTCCTATTGGTAGATCTCTCCACTATTTGTTATTTTGGTCCTATTCAAAGCTGCAAAACATTCATAAACTCCATTTTTTTTTTAATCTGTTCACCTAGTTGTCATATGCCTCTTGCACATGAATAAAACATCATTCAACTACAAAAAAAAACTTTCAACAATACTTTGGTTACTGTAATTCCTATGTTCAAGATGGTGAGGTAACCTTATAGTGATAACCATATCAGTATGACATAATTTGTAAATATTAAATTTGGTTCTATATTACTAGTTGTCAACAAACAGCATACCTGTGTGGAAACATACCATAGGCACAATGTTTGGGAAGGACAATACATCTTTCACTTATTGCATTATTTATGACATTATATAGATTATATCAGACAAAATTATACTGTCACTAACCAGGTTCCCATTTTCATGTCATGGGCAGGCAACCGCTTGGAAAGGATGGAAAAGTATTGTAAGGTACAATATATATTAGTCAAAAATCAATTATTATTCAGCATTTGTTGTAATTATATATTTTTTAGTTACACTATGATGACTACTTTAATCTTAATAGTATCTTAACAATATATATAAAATTTAATAGAAAGTTTCTACATTTTTACATCATCTTTGTTTAGTTCCAAACTAAACAACTGAGATTCTTGACTATTTCAACCTTTGTTACCAAGACAATATTCACCTTGTGAGAACAATGAGTCTCTCTAGGTTAATAAATGTACTCCTTTATTTTTTGTTTAGCATTTTCAGCTTTAAAAAATGCATGGTTTAAATTTCAGTTGGGATATACGACACATCAATAAATCAATTTAAATCAATTTTAATTTAAATACATGAATAAATTAATTTAACTCTTTTTGCATAATATTACTGCAGTTTTTTCTTTAGTTTCCAAAAATTTGTACACAACTGGACTGCTGTAGTTGAGGTCATGATTAAATTGCATGATCAGTGGTATTTGAAGTAGTATATATTTTAAGTCAGATGAACGGAATGTATACACTGCACTTAGTTATGAACATCTTTACTAAAACCAAAACATTTGATAACTTCAATTCTCAGCTCCTGAAGTATCTTCATCAATGATAACCAGCTAAGGCCTATAAATCTTGGAACTTGTGCACTATGTTCTTAAACATAATTAACATAACTCACCATTGTTTAAAATCACCATTGTATATAATGAAACAGGACTTGGCACAATAATAAAAGATTTCTGGTACTGTACTGTACTGTACTGTACTTGCACGTGAAATACAAAAGCAATGATTATAAATGTCTTGCAGCTATTTGATGACAAACACATGTAAGAAGAACATCTGTAGAAAATAGGATTAGATCAGCAACTATGAACTTAAGTCGTTCTTATAATTGAAGATCATAAAAGATTGACATTTTCAAAAGTTGATACTTGCTGGCCTAGTGATTACTGTGTTTCAGGGTGCATCTAGAGTCACTACTCTTCTATCATTAGCCTGGTGCTAACACCTAAATATGGCATTTTTACAATTTCCAAATGGTTCCTTGTCTTCTTTCAATGATACCCTTCTTGTCAAAAAATTATTCATCTTTGAAGTTGGACATATGTACAAATTTCTGACAACATACGGGTTAGCATTATAAATACTGTACATATAAATAATTGACTATTCAATACACAGATATTAATTATAGAGGGGCCTTTCCAAAGCTGCTTCCTTTAACAAAATGCTTAAATTTCCAACAAAACATTAAATATATCCTGTACACATTTTAAACTTTCTTTCAACTGAAAATCTGATTTCAGTATACCGATATAAAATCTTTCCAAACTTAGTAATTAAATTTCTATAATGCAAAATGTTTTATTTTTATCAGGAATACAATACTGTACTAACTCAGAAAATTATGATCACCAAAGTGTCACCAATGGTTACAAATCTGCATAAGTATATTCTCAGTATATCTTCCAGCATATACAGAGTAATTATTTTGTAACCTCCAAATGTTGAGTTTATTATCCATCACTACACATTCCTTGACGGCATATATCTAACATACACATTACTCTCAGTAATATCTCAACTCCATCTCCCATTCATCAAATAACTCCATTCATTTAGCCAATGGTTCCTTCACTGTCAGTAATGTCGTCTTATCACTAATTTGCACAGCCTTTGACAAATCTTATTGTCATCCATTATCCTAATCTCATAATTATCCATCTCTTTTTTTTCAAAAAGGTCTCTATACAGGATGGAGAGTGCAGAGCCTCTAGTATCACAAGTCGAGCACATTTTTACTCTTATCCATCAAGGCACTGTTCATGACATCGAGTATTGTATCCTAATTTTATCACCCAAATTAAATTATTTTTGTATTCCATCATTTTTTCCTAGTTCTAGACTATCAACTTTTAACATTTCAGTTTCACAACTACATGTAATACTTTCAATTTCAAGTTCTGTACATATACAGAACTTATCTTTCATAAATCTAAATGAAGTCCTCATTTCACTTGCCAGGTCACTTCAAGTTACACACATGATAATATTTACACTCTTTATTCTGGCTGCTCTATGCTCCCTCTAGTGCCTAACAAAACTCTACCTTAACAAGTCACAACTACACATCACATTAAAGTTTCTATTCCAAACATGACTACTCTGTTCATGTTTGTTTTATCCCTCTAGAAAAAAATATAAAAAATTATAACCTTGTCAGGTCCCAGACTTTACTGATTAAATATATACAAGATTTGATCTGCCGGTTCCCTATCATTTAGGTGATAGTATTTATACCTAACCATGTCTTCAGACCATATCAGTAAAGTATTACCCTTGTATCACAAATCCCTGATAATACTATTTTAACTAGCCTTCATTATTTCAAAATAATTACTACAACATTATTTTACAAAATTAAAAGTTCTATTATAGAACAATATGGTCAACAGACTAAATTGTTGTGTAAGAGATTTAATTCAAGTTGTGATAATAACATCAAAACCCTCACAAACAGCAACACTCAACTATATGTCTGTATCACTACTGGCTTGTGTGTGAAGCCTCAGACATGGCTAAAGGAGAAGGCTGAAAATCAATTGCTGAAATTATAGACGGGTCAAAGTTGTATACACAAATACAATGGTCATTTAGCAACTAAAATATGCCATGTAAATCTGATTGAGGTTCTTTTTGGCTTTTGTTTTTTTTGGAGATTTATATTATCTTGACATTATTATTTTCAAGTTACTGTATTTAAATTTTTCTATAATTGACTACTGCAAAGTTTACAAATTAATATGCCTTGTATTGTAATGAAAGGCATATTATTCTACTACTTACAAAATTGAAATAAGTCTTTTTTCCATATACTGTATCTGCCAAGACTCCTGTACACAAAGATGACTGAATGTATGTATATGTATGTATGTATGTATATGTGTGTGTGTGTGTGTGTAGTTACAGGATGAGAGCTACGCTCGTGGTGTCGCGTCTTCCCAGCATTTTTTGTCATATAACGCTTTGAAACTACTGACGGTCTTGGCCTCCACCACCTTCTCACCATGTGTGTGTGCTTGTGTGCACTGCATTGACCATGCAAAGTTTACGCTTGAAAGTGTGTGTGTGTGCGCGTGCATGCAAGTGTATGTACTGTACCTCACAATGTTTGTAGAACTTTAACTCTTGGGCCCTGCCTTGCCAACTGTCAGTCATCTGGTGCAGTGACTCCTGACTTCTTTGTTTCTCTCTGGTTTGAATACTATGTATAGAGGCTATAATTTTCTTTCCTCATATATTACATTTGCATAAAACCCATACACTGAAGAATTGTTTCCTTACATTCATGTTGCTCATGTATGTATGTGTGTGCTTGTGTTTGTGTGCACTGCATTGACTATGCAAAGTTTGCGCTTGAAATAATCTCAGTTTTTTGTATTGTTAAAATGTAGTGAGAATAAAAGGTTATACATCAGATCTCATGACTTATAAACAATGCTATATCTAATGCATAACACAGAAAGAAAAGTTATTCAAAACAAAACTGGTATGAGGACCACTTGAGATATATACATAAATATACATACTGTACTGGAAAAAGTCACTAATCCCTTAACTGCAACATCAGGAAACTCAGTAATAGGCCTAGTGTCCATGAAAATACAGTTTAAATTTATGAAAGGAGATCATTACAGTCTCTTCTTACCTTAATACTGATAGACTGTCTAAGAGGATGCTTAAAGTAGAAAAAGACAGCTACAGACATTGGCTAATTAAAACTGACAGGCAGTATGCAGGTATAGTTTAAAGCAATTAATCACTGGTCTTATAGTTACCAATCTTATCAACAGTCTTCACTATATAAATATAATTCAATACCCAATACATACACCCAATAATAAAATAAATATATATGTAGTGTATATATGAAATGAAAATAGGTGAATGTGTTTTTGGCAATCATTACATGGCAATGGACTCTGGTTAACAATTCTTAGTACTGTATTTTAAAGAACAGCAAGATAAAAAGCACAACAAATTAATGTGTTGAATACAGCTAAAAAGATATGCCTCTTTTTGGGAAGGCCCTCAGTAGCTCTCTACTTCCCTGGTACCACTAAGCCTCAGGATCATACTAGGCCTCTAAACCCATGCTCACCTATCAAGGCCAGGATCAGAATCTGACTTTCTGAAAGAAGCGAGTGGAGTCGTGAATAACCAGCTAGAATATTAATATGAAACATGATAAACTATTGTTTAAAAAAAAAATGAAAATAAGGTTAATGACAGGGCTACAGTAATTTACCCACGGAAAACACACTACCGACCACTACCAGATAGACTCGGGGCATCTGATCGGGCCCAGCCACCACCAACCTCGCTCACAAGCCCCAAGCTTCAACTTCATCCAACTAAGAAAAACAAAACACAGAAAAAGAGGAAAAGACAGGGTGGGGAGGGGGAACTATTGAGTGTCTTCCATAAAAGTGTTTCATTTCACTTCACATGATTTCTGGGAAGGCCCCTTCAGTGGCTTCACAGCACTCACAGTGGTAGCTCAGGGAAGAAAAAGGCTTTGTTGAAAAGGAACTTAAGAAAAGCTAAGAGTTTACCTATGGCTTACCTATGGAGCACAACTCGCTGGCTTCTCACAGTGTTCAAGAGAGAACTCAATAAACACCTCCAAAGGATACATGATCAACCAAACTGTGATTCATTCATTAGGCTGTGAGCACCCATGTCCAACAGTTTGGTTGACCAGACCACCAACCAGGAGGCCTGATCAGAGACCAGGCCATCAGGATGTTGATCCTTTGAATCACCCCAAGGTAAGGTATTGGAGAGGAACAGGACTCTGGTGAGAATAGGGAAGCATTAGCAGTATGCCAGCTACTAAAGTGCCACACAAGCATGGAGAAGTTGTGGAAAATTCAATAAGTAGCATGGGACCAACATTCTGTTTGACCACCAATATCCTAAAGCCCAGACATCAGCTATGGACGAAGAACCAAAGCAGCAAACTGCCCATTCCACACAGACAAATATTGTCAGAAGGCTAAAATGAACAAATCACTGGAAACTCAGGATCTAGATTCAATAAGCATCATGGATTTCTTTTTAAATGGCTGTATCACAAAGCTTTTTAGGATCTCTGTTAAAAAAAACTACCTAAAATTCAGCACGGTGGTTCTTGCAAACTTATTAAGGGTTTTGCTCCGATTTACTCGCCTCTTGCCAGAGGTCACTATTAATTTTCTTTTGAACAATTAAGATGAGCAATGTTACAGTCATACTATCATTTAGCTGATCACATTGCCTGCTCAGCTGGACAACACACATTTGTGAAATCACAGCTCCCATTGATCAAATGTCACCTGCGTCATATTTTTGTCTGTTATAAAATGAGTTTTTTACAGAGCAAAAATAGTTTGTTTACATTCTATGTTCAGCACCAACATTGCAGTAAAGAGGCCTAGTGGAGGTTTTTGGTAGAATTGGGTAGTTTTACTGACGCTGCAAGAAGCCCTCATTAAAATATGTACATCTTTGCTCTTAGATAAGTTATATGTCCTGTGATAGATCATAACAACTTATACAAATGACCACATGCTATCCACACACCTTGGAGCTGTGACCTGATGAATAACTTCTTGCATACAAAATAAGTATTTAGTCATCCTGAAAATCTAAGGAGTAAAATTGACAGCTTGATGGAGGAAATTTGACAATTATTTTATGTAGTAGTCATAAATATAAAAAGGTCTTGGTGTCAATGTATGGGTGTTGGGAGTGTTAGGTGAAGGGTGCTGGGCACTTCAGGTGTGGTTGTCACTGGGAGGATGAAAATGTTGCCGAGAGTGATGGGGCTAACACGTCCACAGTGACCCACAGTAAGATACGACTGGTACGGGATCGTTAATCACACTAGCTGGAGAGGGGTTGGGAAAGGTTGAAGACTGGTAAGAGGGTGGTGGAGCGGGAAGTGGACAGTGCTTACTCGTGCAACATATTCTAAATGACAGTACCCAATATTTCCATTTCTTTATTTATTCATTTCAATATATACAAGAAAATACAATGTTTTTTGCAACAGTTTAAGGCATAAGATATTATAGCATCCAGGTGTATCAGGTGATAAAAACTCAAAGATTGAATGAGGGACAGGGTGAGGGGATTGAGTAGGAAGATGACTTGTGATCTCCCTCCACCCACTCGAGGACTTGATTTTGTTCCCTGCCTGTCCATTCTGTCTATCCTAACCTTCTGTCTAGCTTGACAATGTCTAAGCTGGCAGTTAGGTATACAGCCTGTCCATCCTAATGGACTACCTAGCCTGACAGCCTGCCTACCTAGCCTGACAGCCTGCCTACCTAGCGTGTCATTCTGTCTAGCCTTTCAGTATGTCAAGCCTGACTATCTAGTCTTATTAATATTTGAGAGGGTTGTCTTGCTCACTTGGTACTAAGTGCACCCATCTCTTGGGATGACACTCCCCACCTTCTTTATTCACTCTTTCTTCTCAAAGTCATCACTTAATGCTTTCTCTTAGATTTAGATTTTCTGTTTGTTGAAGCTATCACTGACTAATTATTTGCATTTGTAGTAGACATGGTGGAAGGATGTTCATAAATTTTCCTGAAATAACCAAGAAAATAATGGAAATGAACTCTCCAGTGCTGCACCACAATCCAAAACAAACTCTGTGATTAGTGGCGGTTTGTTGCCACTCACTCTCACCATTGCTACTTTTATTTGAACAAATCCAAAACAAATAACTGACACATCTAGATAAGTAGTGTCCAGAAAGCATGTGGTCGTCTGTATCTCTATCTTCCTGATGGCATATAAAACTTTAAACATTATTAACGAATTTGTTAATTATATAATTCATTGGTACTCGGCGACAGGGAGACAGCTAGCGTTTAGAAATACTGTATATTTAGAATATTTAAATATTTAAACCAGAAATATTGTAGTGGTAACGGATTTAAAATGTAGCTTGTAATTCTGTCTTTTGTGAGACAAAACATTTAAAATTTTAACATAAAGGACTAAGTTAAATTAAATAATTAAAAATTTAATGAGTATGGGTAAAGGTAAGCTTTACAAATTCTTCAGTAGCTTATACAGTATAAAAAGTATGTACCTACTAATTATCCACTAACAGGTTCTAATATATATTCTACTGCATAAGTAAATATTATTATTGTAGTTGCCAGTATTATCCTTATTAAATTAGTAATTCAGGCTTTCCAATCTTTATGATATTGTCAAGGTATAAATATAATTGTTAAATATAGGATCTACAAAACATTAATTATTTTCAGTAGTTTATTTAAAGTACATTACTAAAAGTATTATAGCACATTACCTCACCCCCAACAAGGTCAATATATTCGCCTAAGTGGGGGAGAGATAAGGATTTTGTTTTCATGATTTGGTATTTTATATTTTCTCACCAAAGTTCTTAGGAACATTGGTGCTCATAAATAGTTTGTTGAATCCTGATGTAATAGCCAAGAACAAGATAAGAAAATTTCCTAAGAACTTGTTTAACAGCTTGATAAATTTGGCCCCAGGAGAGCCCCAAGCCCCAATTTCAGGAGAGCCGAGTTGCATTCCCAAGAATAAGAGGAGGGTGCAGCAGCAATGCAAATACCCGAGAAGCACAAGGAGTGCGCAAAGAGCGATACCTAATGGCAACTAGTCAAAATGTATCAGCAATCCTGAAAAAATCAGGAAGAAACAAGAGTGCCACAATAAAGAACTACACAACAAACTGAACCAGACAATGGGCCAGATGATTTAAATGCCAAAGAGTACTACGAGCAAGAAAAGTGGTTAAACAAACGTCACAAAACCCCAACCCCAAAAACACTTATAAAAGGGACACGGATGAAGCAACCCAACATGGGCCTAGCAGCCTATTTCTAGCAGCAGAGGAATAGGTGCTTAAAGCACAAACCCACTCACCTAATAAAAGGATGTGGTAAAGAGCTGAACAGCCCCTGAAAACAGCTGCAGAAAAGGGCTGTTCAAAAGAAGAAAAACAAGAAAGTGGCAAATGACTGGGAAATGCCTAGAAAGAGCAAGAACACAAGGAGAGGGGTACCTGCACAGGGCAGGGACAAAGGGCAAACATAAACTCTAGTGTCCATAAATGTCTGTGTCACAGACAAGGAAGGTAGTGTCAGGGAAAACTGTAAATGGGTCCCAGTAGAAGTCAAGTAATCCATACAGTGCCAAATGAGCAAGTTAGGCAAGTAGTAGACTGGGACCCCAGATGCCCTGGGGTGCTAGCTGATGGCAGCTAGGCAAGTTGTTCACCTGTGGCAAACTCACTTTTATCTTCTTTATTTCTTTCAAGTAGTGGTTTGTTTTGTTTCGCATTGACTTTCTGGTTGGTTTTCCACATGGGCCTTACAATCCTATGGCTCAGCAGTATCAGGGCATAAACACCAGTTACCGAAGTGACCTTCCCAGAAAATAATACATTTAATCCTGGTCATGCCAAAGAAGTTGGTTTGATGAGTATATGTCCCTAATATTGTGGGTATACATATAGCATAAAAATTACTTTTTTATGGATTGCCGACATACTAAAATTGTAATAAGGTATATACGAGACAAAAGTCTAGGTAATATGCACAAGAGCATAATAGCTGTAAGGACAAAGGATATAGTCTTCAAGATCACACTCTTACTGTTTAATTATATAAAGTCAATTTACAATATATGAAATTCAAGTTTAAGTTATCTGCATAGATTCTAGAACTGGATGACTGCAAGGAAGAGTAGCTGGCAGAAAATTTGGGTTTCATATTCAAACCGTTCTCTTCTGCTTATCAGAATAAATTATGTCTACAAAGATGTCTACTCTTGTTGAAATATAAATGATTATAAAGAGTTAAGTTAGATTACAAACCTCCTTCAATCAGCTATCACAGGAAACTTTGTCTTTGTTTCAAATAAAGTTGGACCAGCTTTACAACTTATGGAAACAGAAATTGTCCATGTAAACTATGATAATGAGACTTTATGTGCTACAAATGCAGGCCTAAATATAAACCTTTTCTTATAAGTGGATATAAACAAACGCTGATGTCAGGGGTACTTGCATAGCTCTGTCTCATTGCTGAGGTGAGCTAAAATAATCCATAAACTAGAGACGGTAAAAGTTATGAAAATTAGCTTGTCATTTAAAAGCAGAGAAATGTCTTGATATAGGCAGCAAACAGTATGTTGCATGTTCATAAGTATAGTGGAAGCTCCCGATTGCTGTATGTAGAATTTGGAACGGAAGTAAGCTCACAAAGTACTGGTGTATTTGGTAATGGAAGTAAACCTTTTCTTTAATAAATTATTTTGGAACAGCATCTCTTGGTTGAATGTGTTAATGTTGAACACATTATACAGTGCTTTATGTATTAAGCACTGTATAATAGTTATGGCAAAGGTAACTGATAATTGATGAAAAAGGTGGGTTAACTGCAAGCAAGTACAGTACTATAAGAATTACATAAATATAAGAACTAGGTCTTTTCTATGTATACCATTCACAAGGTGAGTCATGGCATGCAGATAAGTATTGTGTACAGTATTTGATTCTGAAAATGTATGCATGTAAGTCGTGATTGGAATGTTCAACCAGTCGGGAAAAATCACCATAAATTATATATATACTGTATATATATATACTGTATATACACATACATACATACATATAAATACTGGAAATTTTTTAAAATAAACATAAGGGAAAGTATTAAAGAAAAAATCAGATTTTACAAAATACAAGAACTATACATCTGTATCCAGGGTAAAATTCCATGGCAAAATTTCTATAAAATCTGGTAATACTGTATTTAAACTATATTTCAAATTCCTTGAATTTCAAATACATAAACTATAACAACTTGTATATGCAAACAATGCCCACAGCTATGACCACAGCCTTTCCACCAACCACTGAATCAGCGAGTACAAAATAAGAGCTACCAGAATGGATGCCCAGGATTGGGTAGACAGTGGGATGCCATTTTCCTGAGAAGATGCCCCCAAACGCGCTGCTCCGTGTCTTAGGTTTCCCATGGATGACATCCGCCGAGTCAAGATATCCATGTCCTGCCGCACACCTTTTATTTCCATTAATAGTGACTCTTGGGTGTGGGCTACTTTTTTCATGGCATCAAGAACACTGTAAATAAGCAAAATTCAACTTGACCCTCATATTTATACAAAAGGCTGTTGAATGGCTTCAGAAATGTTAAAAAATCCTTATTAGCTGAACTTTGTGGAAGTAATATCTGATTAAGATATATAAAATACAAACTTTTTGTATCTCCCTAAATGGTTTTAATATAAAATATGTAAAATATTCATCATGAGATATACAAAATTTATAAAGCACTTTATAAAAATATTTATATACAACATATACTGTATTGAATTACATGATTTTGAAATTATGCTGGTTAAAAAATTTTATTCAAATTGTTTTAAATGTGCATGGAAACTAACTTTACATAAGATGATCAACAATATTTTATTAAAAACAGGTAAGAAAATCTAAATTATCTAATTTAATCATGTCAGGTGTAATATGTAAATCTGTATGTAAGATGTGGAGAAGTCCATTTGTTTTGTGGAAAGTGAGTTTATGGCAGTCAGCAGTCTTCATTTTGACTTAATATTATTTTACACAAGTACGAAAAAAAATCTGGTATGTCTCACTTCCACTGAGGCCTTCTTGTTACCCCAGGGGTTATGTGCTCTCCAGGGGCCAGATTCATGAAGCAGTTACGCAAGCATTTGAGAACCTGTACATCTTTTCTCAATCTTTGGCGACTTTCTTTACAATTATTAATCAGTCAATGAGCTCTGAAATACCAGGAGGCTGTTATATAACAATAACAACAGTTGATTGGGAAGTTTTCATGCTTGTAAACTGTTTAATAAATGTAACCAAAGCCATCAAAGATTGAGGAAAGATGTAAACGTTCGTAAGTACTTACGTAACTGCTTCGTGAATCTGGCCCCAGGCTAAGAACCATTGATCTAGAGGTAGGCCTACCAATCATTATGATAAATTACAATCACACTAAGTGTTTTGTTGAGCAAAATGTTGGGAAAATGGCTTTTGGAGGTCCTTGTTGCCTAAGCCTAATTTTTCTCATATAATTTTAAGCTTGATTTAATGGGTTTTAATATGTATGACATTTGCAGGAACATAACTCCCATGCAAATCAAGGTCTATCTGTATTTAAAAACTGAGCCATAGTACCTTGGGGTGAGGGAATGGGAATGGGAATGGGAATGTGCTTGTCTCTTTGTAGGTAAGCCCTGGACAGCACTGGGATGGTCAGGGGTGTCTTGATCATCATGGTCTCCTGAACTGGTCTCCTCAGCTTCTGCTCGCTCCAACACCCCTCTCAGGCGTTGCACTCCTTCAACGCCAGCCACCCGCACAACCTGAAGTGTTCACATCGTCTTATACTACAATTGATATCCAATTATACAATTTATTATTATAGAGAGTGAATTCTATTAAGATCAGATCCTTAATATAATACAGTTAAACTCATTTTCAGTGTCCTAAAATGTTTAAAATCCACAGTCCAGAAAAGTCAGTAACTCTTAAAAACTTTTTACACTAAAGAGATAAAAATATAAGAAAAAAAATTCTACTTCAAATGGCAAACTTCAATTCCTCACGATTTCCCAAGAAACTTGAGAGTTACAACTTAACAGCAGGCTAATCTACCAGACTTGAACACTGTATATAACCAATATCCTCAAAGTCTGAGTCTACTCTTCACCACATTCTCCATCTAAGGAACATTCTAAAAAATCTCTTGTAATTTTCTAAGTTTTTGACATATGTCAGAACCCATGATCATGGGAAACCAAAAGACAATCCATGAAAATATCTAAGTGATGATGGAAACCAATGAATTAATTTATTTATTCCCTGTCAAAACCACATTAAAGACAGGAGAAACCTCTTTTTCATGCAAGAAATGGGGACCTGCAAAATACTAGCATCTTCCCAACACAGAATAAGAGATTGCTTGTCAGCCAGGAAGAAGAGATATCTGAAACGGTGTACAGGAATTGAAAGAAAAACCCAACTCAAAGTCCACTTTTACTGTGAATCCTGTCCCTCACCAGGAAAAAACAAATAAATCCTGCCATGCCTGATCCAAGGACCAGCAGGATTGAAGGAACCTTTATGGCACCTCAACGTTAGCTCCCTCCATGGGCGCAACAAAGCCAACAAACTCAGGATAAATACTCTTACCCAAAACCAAGAAAGTCAAACATCAGCCAGCCTCCTCAATAAATAACCAAACCACCAGAGAAGAGAAATGCTACTTAGGAACTGAGCCCAGATGAACAAAATTCCTCCACATTGATGACAAAAAATGTGGGCTTTCCCATGGGTACTATCAATATCTAATAGGGAAGAAAAGAATGAATCACCAATTGCAAGTAGAGGCGCAGATAAGCATTACACATCACCTATTCCAAAAAAAACAGTGCTGAATGTAATGAAACGCCATTTTCTGGGTGAGTCCTGGAGGCTCCCCGGAGCTATCCCAGGCTGATATGCTAATGTCAGACTTGTCATCTGTCATGTGTATGGAGTTCTTAGGCCTACCGGGGACCATGGCCAGAACCGGGCCCCCCTCAGTGAGGCAAGGGGAGCAATGGCCTATAGAAACCCCCATGTGGTTGGAAGCATTCTATGTCTGCCATCGACCGGAACAGGCACCCAGAAAGGTAAGTGCCCCAAAACAAACAACTATTCTGGTTAAAATTGCTACCAAAAGCCGAACTAGTGGATAGAACTCCCCAACAGAAAACAAGCAAACTATTGTGACGTCACACGCCGCCGCGCCGCTGTCTGCGCAGCTCCCCCCTCCCCGGGAGGGGGACGGGGAGCCCCAGACCCTTCACGCTGGCTACCCACACCTCAGTTCTGAGGCTGGATGACAAAAACGTGAAAAAAACGCCGACCGGAGGGAGGGAGGGATGCCTGGAAGCCTCCGGGACTCACCCAGAAAATGGCGTTTCATTACATTCAACGCTGGCTTTCTGGGGGGAGCCCCGTTGGCTCCCCAGAGCTAACTACCCACAGACGGAAAAAAGAGGGACTTACCCAGGAGACGGTTGTCGCTCACTCCTCAACTCGAAGCCGAGACAACTGGCTGCAACCGCCGACCCAAAGCAACACAGGCCCGACGGGGCCCAGGGGCATTCACAAGGTAACGAGCAGCCAGGACCCTGTTCGACCGCCAAAATCCCCGCGCCCGAATATCAGACCAAGACATATTCCCAAAGATGGCAGCAAGAGCTGCGAACTTACGAAAGTCATGGGCACGGGGATAGACCGCAGACTGGCTAGACTTAATAACCCTGCAGACGACCTGGGAGACCCGAACCCACGAACAGGGAAAAAGGAAAACCGGATCAACCCACAGCGCGTCCCCGGACACAGAAGCCGTGGTGCGCAAATAACGTCGAAGCGCCGCAACCGGACACAAAACATGATGCACCCCTGGCCTGACCAACCAAGTATCAACCTCAAGAACTGAGGTGTGGGTAGCCGGCGTGGAAGGTCTGGGGCTCCCCTTCCCCCTCCCGGGGAGGGGGGAGCTGCGCAGACAGCAGCGCGGCGGCGTGTGACATCACACTAGTTTGCTTGTTTTCTGTTGGAAAGTTCTATCCACTAGTTCGGCTTTTGGTAGCAATTTTAACCAGAATAGGGGTTTGTTTTGAGGCGCTTACTTTTCTGGGTGCCTGTTCCGGTCGATGGCAGACATAGAATGCTTCCAACCACACGGGGGCTTCTATAGGCCATTGCTCCCCTTGCCTCTCTGAGGGGGGCCCGGTTCTACCCGTGGTCCCCGGTAGGCCTAAGAACTCCATACACATGACTGATGCCAAAGTCTGACATTAGCATATCAGCCTGGGATAGCTCCGGGGAGCCTCCGTGGCTCCCCCCAGAAAACTGTATATTTAAGAACCCACTTAATAGCAGAGACCTCCTGCTTATGAAATGACAGTTTCAAGGATATATACAAGTACAAGTACAAGATATATACAAGTAAGTAAAAACAAGTACTTGCAAGTACACTAACTAATTGTGCACTTTGGAAAAGTGCTACTGTACTTGGAAAAAACATCTTTATGTTGTATAAAGGAAAGTTCTACTCACCTCACACTTAGGATCCACGCTGACTATAGAAGCAGTTCTGATCATTGGTGCTTTATGTCTTGTTTTAGTGGATATTATATAGTTATACTCATATTGGAAGAGATCTGTTCTTGGGTCCCACGGGCGAAGATCTGAATGTTTATAAACATAAACACCACTCAATGGGTCCTGCCAAAAATTTTGCATTAATTACAAAAAAAAATTTGCATTATAATTTACTTTGCTAATATTGACAGTACATCAAAAGATAGTTAACTAGAAAGCATATATCAAACTTCACATTTCATAATACACGTCAAAACTTACGTCATTCATGTTCACTAGTAAATTATATAATACAGTTTGTTTCACAATTACGTCACAGTTTAGGTGAAGGACAGTACTTTACACCTAGCTATGAAATGGCTGATATGCAGCTGTGGATATGCTGTTAGACTGTGGTGGTGTTAATGTGAGGTGGTACTAGAACATGAGAATGCTACTGTGTGTTGGCACTGGTATGTGTGGTGGTGCTAATGTGTGTTGTGTATGCATGTGTAATTACCTAAGCATAGTTACAGGATGAGAGCTATGCTCCTGACATCCTGTCTTCTTAGTACTCTGGTTGATGGGGTTCTGGGGGTTCTTCTACTCCCCAAGCCCGGCCCGAGGCCAGGCTTGACTTGTTTGAGTTTGGTCCACTAGGCTGTTGCTTGGAGCGGCCCGCAGACCCACATACCCACCACCGCCCAGTTGGTCCGGCACTCCTTGGAGGAAAGTATCTAGTTTTCTCTTGAAGATGTCCACGGTTGTTCCGGCAATATTTCTTATGCTCCCTGGGAGAATGTTGAACAACCATGGACCTCTGATGTTTATACAGTGTTCTCAGTGCCTATGGCACCCCTGCTCTTCACTGGTTCTATTCTGCATTTTCTTCCATATCGTTCACTCCAGTACATTGTTATTTTGCTGTGTAGATTTGGTACTTGGCCCTCCAATATCTTCCACATGTATATTATTTGATATCTCTGTCAACTTCTTTCTAGTGAGTACATTTGGAGAGCTTTGAAACACTCCCAATAATTTAGGTGCTTTATTGCATCTATGTATGCCGTATATGTTTTCTGTATTCCCCCTGTTTCAACAATCAACCACCTTCTCACTTAACATGTTCTAGCAGTTTACCACTCTTAAAAAAAAAAGAGAGAACTTTCTAATGTGTTTTCAGCAGGTTTGATTCCTTAACTTGAATTCATGACCTCTTGTTCTTAAAGATGCAGGTTTCAAAAATTCCTCTTGGTCTATTTTGTTGATTCCTGTTACTATTTTGTATGTCATGATCATATCACCTCTTTTTCTTCTGTCTTCCATCTTTAGCAAATTTAACACCTCTAGCCTTTCCTCGTAGCTTTCAGTTCCAGAAACTATTACAGTAGTAGCATGTCTTTGCATCTTTTCTAGTTTGTTGATGTGTTTCTTGAGATATGGGCGCCATACAACTGCTGCATTTCCCAATTTCGGTCTCACAAAAGTTGTAAACAATTTCTTTAGTATTTCACCTTCTATGCATGTATTTAAAAGCAACTCTAAAGTTGGAAAGCACAGCATAGGCTCTTTGTACAATGTCCTTTATGTGGTTCTTAGGTGACAGTTTACTATCCAGACCCACCCCTAGATCTCCTTCTCCCAGTCTTATAAAGCCTTTTCACATAATTTGTAGGTTGTATGGGGCCTATTTTCTCCTATTCCACATTCTATAATGTATTTCTATAATGTATAATCCTACATGCATTCACGTTGAAATCCATCTGCCCAGTTGGTCCATACATTTATTTTGTCCAGGTCTTAAAACACTTTAAAAAATTTTATTCAAATTGTTTTAAATGTGCATGGAAACTAACTTTACATAAAGATGATCAACTATATTTTATTAAAAACAGGTAAGAAAATCTAAATTTTAAACGTGCCCTTTTAAACTTTTTAAACGTGCCCTTTTTTAAACGTGCCCAAAATTTTAAATTTTGTCGTGCCCTTAAAGGGCACGACAATTGTCAAAGTCTCTTCTCTTGCCTAGTAACAGCATCATGAGCAAACATGTTCATATAATTATAACTGTGTATGCTCTCTGGAAGATCATTTATATAGACAATGAACATTACTGGAACAAGCAGCGAACCCCTGTGATACTCCACTAGTAACATATCTCCAGTCTCATACATTATCTTTCATTAATGCCCCCATTTTTGTCATTATTACAGTATTACGAAGCACTGTAACTGCTGAACAACTCTGTACGAAACAAATATTTCAGACTTGACTTCATGAAAATTGCAAGGGGGGGGGGGTCTATAATTGCCAATATTTCTTGAACCATTTCACTTTGGCCAAGCATCCAGCCTAGGACAGACAAACATTCTATTTTATATAAATATAAATATCCAGTATGGACCCACCATGGATGTGGGTGCCACACTGGATATGGCACCATTCTATTTTATATAAATATAAATATCCAGTGTGGACCACCCTGGATGTGGGTGCCACACTGGATATGGCACCCATATCCAGTGTGTTACCAGTATGGGGGGGATCTTTATGTTTAGAAATAAGGAAGCAGGAGAAGACTAGCTGTTCTTGACAGTATGAGGGGGAGGAGGAGTGGGGCTGGGGCTTAGGTGAAGGAGAAAGGGCAGTCATGAATGGTTAAGGGATGGGTGAGAAAGTAGGAGTAGGTGGGGGACATAAGACCAAATGATTATTATAAAGGCAGGTTAAGTTAAAGCATTAGAGAATGAACTTAACTCTCTTTTTTTTTTAGTTCATACTGAACTATACAGACTTACCTGAGCAAAGTATGTTGGAACCCATTCATCACACTTGGCTTTTCTCTCACTCGCTGCAGTCCTCTGTGCTTCCTCCAAAATAGTCTTTTCCTCTGTAGCTGCAATCTGTAAAACATTCCAAGCTTATGAATCACAGTGAAAATCTTTGTCAGTTTTCACTTTTATTATAGCTATACATCCACATCTTCTTATATTATAGTATATAGAAATTTAGCCATTATTAGGTAAGGTAAGGTAGTTATCAGGAGAATGTGGTAAACCATAACAATTATATAGCACTTAGAAGGAATATGAGGATAGGATGGAGAAATGTAATAAGGCCCAACCACTTAAGACGATCAGAAATTGAACGCTGCACATTAAGAAGCTTGGTTGTCACTATAATCCTGTCCAAGTGATTGAACTTATCCATTGTAAGCACAATACAGTATTAAAAAACACACTATTAAATTTTGTCTTACTTAATCATGCAATACTGCACATCTTGTACATTTGCCCAAGTTTCCACCCAACATAACCACATTTTTATGAAGACCTAAAATTTTAGTCTTCAAAACCTGGAGCAAAGCAGGGAAGGAGCAAGGTTGATGATAGGCTTACTGGCCAAGTAGGTATGATGCCACACTCAAAGGCAAACACTCACAAAGACATTGTCATCCACCAACACTTGAACAACAATGTATTTCCAAAATGGAATCTAACTTTCACTCTCATATTTTGTTTTTAATGTCTATTTAGGATTTAGTCTTAATGAGCATTATGTCTTCATTACAAAACCATCAGATACTTATGCTGCCTGTATCTTTATGACAAAAATTCCAGATTTGCTGCTTGTATCTTAATGATAAAAATAAAATTCTCTCCTCTCTTAACTACCTGATCATCACTTTTGATGGCCAATGAAACAAGCTGCCACAGTTTTTCTGATTCAAATGCCCCTTGCTGGTCCAGCGCCACTGTGTACCGCTCCAGTCGCTGTGCCTTCACTTCAGGAGTAGCATGCCAGAGGATTTCTTCTTCCTAAAATACAATTCATTTAAATATGTATTAATTTCAGCACTTAATGAAACACATAATAGTTTCAGTTACAAACACCAAAACAAAGCCTGATATCTTTCCATTTAGCTTTCTAAACAGACTAGAAGATATATATATCACCAGTTTGGCTATGGTGTTGCTCCAATAATTTTATATGAAGACTTCTACAGTAGTAAAAAAAAAATTAAGGTAAAGTGCATTAATCCTTAGACAGCAACATCATGACAAACTGAATTTGGTTCACCCAGTGTGAATCGTCTTATGTCATGACATTTTTCATTACAAAAATTTAGGAAATTGGGTTTTCGTTTATAAATCCTTATGGTTACCAAGATTGTTATTTCACTAGTTATTATTACTTAATAAAATAATAAAAAAAATTATTACACATGAACAAATCATTAATTAGAAGACTTTTGGAGCACGTGGTACCATCATGCCCAAAAATATCCATTAAAAATATTAAGTTTGACACCATTTTATTTTGATTTCTCTTCATTCATCCATAATTATTGTGTTTCTTTGAATTCTATAAGAAAATATCAAATTAACTAAATTTCAGAAACTGATATTAATATCCTTCTCAGAAACCCTCGTTGGCTCTGTTTTACGACTAGCCTTGTTTTCCCATACATCCATCTGGGCCTTGGCTGAGTTATTTGTTAGCTGTAATTGGTTTTGTAGTTTTTGTTTCAAAACTGATCATGGCCACTTATTTGTCACTTGGTGCTGTTGCCTATGGCAACTCAATTGGGGATGAGCAAACCACTGCAACCACAGAAGCAGTCTACCGGAAGACTCAACCTAGCCTATGCTCCACTGCAACCACAGAAGCAGTCTGCCGGAAGACTCAACCTAGCCTATGCTCCACTGCAACCACAGAAGCAGTCTGCCGGAAGACTCAACCTAGCCTATGCTCCACTGCAACCACAGAAGCAGTCTGCCGGAAGACTCAACCTAGCCTATGCTCCACTGCAACCACAGAAGCAGTCTGCCGGAAGACTCAACCTAGCCTATGCTCCACTGCAACCACAGAAGCAGTCTGCCGGAAGACTCAACCTAGCCTATGCTCCACACAGCACCCACAAAAGAGTAAAGCAAGATACAGAAAGTGGCTTTTAGGATAAAACCTCTGTTCGGTCATCCTACTTTTTTCTTTTTTTTGACGGGGAAGGGAAAGCGGGGTAAGGAGGATTCCTAAGGAGCAATTGAGTTGCTTAGCTCAGAGAAAATGTGAAGTATAAAATAAAACTAAAGCTATACTATATTAAAAAAAAGTTAAAGGTGAAACTCTTCAGAACCATTCCACTTACCCCAGTTCGTTTGTCTGTCAGAGTTATTTTACCATCCCAGTGACCATCTAAAGTTGCCAGTGTATCTTTTCCTAGCTTGAGCTTCCCACTTATTATGTTGTTGGCATCACCACCACTCAAAAAGGGCTGAAAATAACAAATAATTATTGAGAACAAATTTAGAGAGAACAAACGTCATAAGTAAAAGACATTACAGGTGTAGAGGAGGCAAGGCATATCTTATTGGTAAGAACCTCATAGAATTCTACAAAATAGTTTCAACAAGACAAAACTATCTTTAAACACTGGTACCATGACTAAGCCACAATAACATGGCTGAAACTGGCCCCAACCCCCATACATTAAAAGAAATGGAAGTGAAAATATTTTGGTCTGACCTAGACCAAAAAATCAGAACTTTTTCCATTCCATTCATTTTCCATTCATCTGGTAATAAAGGACAAACCTTTTTCTAGACTGAAATTAATAAATGATGTAAATTCCTCTACAATTAATACAGTTTTCTTACCTATCAGCTTCTGTACTGATGCACGTACCTCTTTTATTCAATAGTGCACAATTCTCACACCAGAAAAACTAATCACATTCATATTTTTCATTTGTATCATCATACTGAATTTAACAGTATTATAACATTTATTGACAATTCAAATTTATATTCTTAAACCTTATCTATCAAATTGGAAACTAAACAAATATATTGTTTTCTTACCCGTAATTTGAATTCCAGTTCTGTTCTATAACCAGTCTTCTCACAATCTATGGTCACTTTTCCACCTAGTTCCATAGTGAGTGTGCCCATTAGAATGCCCTTACAGTGAGCGTATGGCATGTTCATAACATAATCTTCTCCTCGAGGTAACAGTGTTAGTAAAACATTGCCATCCAATATTGCAGAGGTCGAATTTCCTATAAAAGGGTTAAATTTAATGAAATGTTACTTTCTGTGCAGGATGTCAATAGCTCTATGGAGCTCAAGGCACTGGTTCCACAGGGCCTTCCCCAAATGTCAGGCTCCTGAGACTTTCTCAGCAGGACCAGAATCTCACCGCTCTCAGAGGCAGGGAGACCACATGGGAATAAAATATAAAAAAAAAATCAAAGTACAACTGAACTGAATCACTCAAGAATTCAAATGACAAAACAAAAATTACTGAGAGAAAAGATTGAAAGGTGCAAACCCAGAGGATACAAAGGATGGAGACAGTGAGGATACCATTCATCTTTTTGAGGTTCACCTTGAATGTGGGTTGATCTTTGATCCTCATGTGTTTCCTTCACCTCTTTGAGGAGGGGCCAGATTTTGGTCCTGGCTCTTGGTAGGCCAACAATTCTCAGGAGTCCAAGGTTAGGTAGCACCCCTGGAGAGCCAGTGTCACTCCCAACAATCGTCAGTGTTGGGGAGTGACTAAGGAAGCAACACAGAATAATATTGACCATATAGTACAAGTAACATGATGACAAAAGAACCATTTAAGAAATTAAACCAAGACATTAGTTGGGCTCTTAAATGTTGGGAAACTGAGATAGTTTCCCTACTGAGAAAATTTATTATGCTTGCTCATAATTATGAACTAAATTTATACAAGTATGTAATAGTTGGCTTAACAAAAATTAGAGAGCATACAAAACTTTGGCACAATTATTTAAATCAGCTACTTGATAAAAGATGATAAAATGACAGCAATATCTAGTAGTCTGCCCTTGTCTTCAAATTGGGCCTTCACAAGTCCTTGTACGCCCTTCATAATCCTTAATCCTCGTGGTTGCAAGACTTACACCACATTGTGACCTACACAAACCAACAGGTTGGTTGATCAGGTCTTTAACTAGGAGCCCTGGCTAAACACAACTGCACGAGGGAGATTTTTTGTTTTGTTTTATTTATGCTAATAGAAAACACATTCAAATGGAAAATGACATCATAGAAGCTTCAAGGACTGTAATGAGTTTTCAAACCGACAAATATTTGTTTAGACTTATTTATGATAAATTATTATAAATTATGATTATTAATTTCTTTAATTTTTATTTTATTGTGTTAGGGAACAGTCAGCCAGTATATATATACATGGTAGACTTGTATCAAGGTCCCCCCAGGGGTCAAACTACTGACCCCTCCCCCCCAAGTTGCAACCCCACAAGCTGACTAACTCTTGTGTACCTAATTACTGCTAGGTGAACAGAGGCATGAGGTGATAGGAAATGCACCTAACCATTTTTGTCCCACCCAGGATTCAAACCCGGAATTCCTGATTGTGAGTTGAGAATGAACCCGACTGTAGTATAGGGAGCTACGCATACAATATAAATTATTTCAAAGATTATTCTAAACTCATTTTTAATAAGCAAATTTATAATTATCAATATTAACACTATCGCCTGCTCCACGTGAGCACCACAGACTTTGACGTCATGGGGCTAATGGTGCGGGTGAGCGTGCGGCAACGCCTAAATGTGTATACTCGTTTCAGTTTTCTCACCTTAATTCTCGTGCTATGTCGTTCCTTTTGGTATCATTGTGTTCGCAATTAAATTCCCTGCAGATATATATGCATATTTTTGTTACACACCCCCCAGGAAGCTGCCTGTAGCAGCTGTAACTCCCAGGTACCTATTTATTGCTAGGTGAACAGGTGTATCAGGGTGAAAGAAACTGCCCATTTGCTTCCGCCTCCACCAGGGATTGAACCTGGATCCTCAGGACTACGAATCCCTAGCGCTGCACACTCAGCAATCAGGCCCCCCAAGCAAATCTTTGAACCTTTTCCAGTTTAGTCTTATGCTTGACTAGATATGGACTCCATGCTGGAGCTGCATACTGTACTCTAGGATTGGTTTGACATATGTGGTATACAAAGTTCTGAATGATTCCTTACACAAGTTTGTAAAGGCCATTCTTATGTTGGCCAACCTGGCATATGCCGCTGATGTTATCCTCTTGATATGGGCTTCAGGGGACTGGCATGCATGCATGTATGTATGTATGTATGTATGAATGAATGAATGTTTGAATGCATGTATGAATGCAGGCATGCATCAATAAGAACATTGCTAAGGGGAATACAGAAAGCCTTTAAGCCCATATGAAGCAACTCCTATTTATATCCACCCAAACTCATTCATATATATGAACAAGTTTGAGTGGAATATAAATAAAAGCTGCCTCATATGGGTCAATAGACGTTTTGTTGTTCTTTTATCTTTAAATTATGATTGGTTAACCTGGTATACTTCATTACAACTTTATACAGTTGTGAAAACCATATGAACAAACTCAGTATTTGATGACAGGTTTATGACTCTGCAGACATAAGATCCATGGGGTGCCAATTAAAAATTTAATTCTTCCTTATTCTACATCTGAATGTCCATTTGACAACAGAACTTACATTAGGACAGTAGTAACTAAAATGAGATTGCTCATAAAAAATGCAATAAATAAATATAGGAAAATCATAAGTCATGCTTACCTGGGAACCTAATGATAAAGGGCGAGATAAGTTTTTAACACGTACCATAGAACTTTGATTTGGCTAATACAGTAGTAGTAAGAGAAAATCCTTCTTGTCTATTTGTTACGTAAAGTGCAGACACTGGAGGGTGATGCGAGACCTGCAATACACAGTACCAAAGTAAGAGATGTTGCAAGTAATGCAATATATCAGTAAGCTCATAAATTCCACTACTCTCACAAAGAAACTTCCATGTCAGTGTGCTGTAAGATTGCAAAAATGACGCATTATGGCCCAGAAGTCAATTCTGTGATTTGCTATCACTCTGCTCATGGTTGTTTCTCCCTTTATGTTACACTACCACCCTTTGGTATGGAAGGGTGTCACTCCATATGACAGCCTCCTTCATACATGTGAAAAAGTCAGGCTGTGGCTACACATTCTCCTTTATACACATGGATGAGCCATACAAGAGAGTAATCTGGACTCATATATCAGTCACATTTACTTTCAACTAAACAATACAGAACTACTGCCTCAAGCCTAACAAGATGACTTAAAACTAGCTACCCTTCATTTATGCCGAGTAAAACTAATGCAGTTCTGATTGCTTCCTCAAGAATCTAAGATTGGCAGGATATTCAATCAGTGTACTAAAGGTTTATAAATGTTTTACACCACCATAGGTACAAAGCCTTTTCCTGGAAGTCTGAAGGCATGTTCCTCTGAGAACTTAAGAAAAGATTATTCTGTTATTTTAAAATCAGAAGTTTTAGTTTTATATTTATAGATATTTTGTTAAATATTAACAGGTAAACTTTTATTGGGCAAGTCAATCGATGCATCAGACATTCTTCTGGTCATCTCTGTCTGTCAGAGATCACCCAAAAAGCAATTCGTCAGTTTTCTTGCTAAATGAATGGTTTACAGTTACACACTTTCCTCTCCAATACTACTTTCCCATACTATATTATTAACATTGCCTCAAAATACCTGTTCTGCAACATAGAAAGTGCGTGATCCATTGGGATGTCTCCAGTAGCAGCGAAATGTTTCACCAAGAATTGGATTGTATGGCTTCTTGAGTCCCTTTGGCTTTTTATAAAACCCAGACAGGTACCATCTGGAAACTTGCTTCATACGTGTGAACGGATCATCCTCTTGTACGGCCCTGTCCACACACACAAGCTATTGTTAGTACCAAACAAACTTACAGTGAAATATAAACAACAATTTTAAATAACTGTGGTGAAATATGGTTTAAGATGTGAATTCAAATACAGAATCTATCCAAAGCTTTCAAAATTGAATCAAAATTGGAGAAAGTTTCACATTTTAGTACAATGTAATGTTTTAGAATTTGGTGAAGAAAAAGTTAGTGACTATTGCCAGTATTGAAAATTGTTGTTATCAATGGTAATAAAACATTAAAACAATTAGTTTATGTTGTACAATAATAAAAAACAAGACATGACAAAAGTCATTCAAATGACAATATCATTATTTAAATATAGTTTTATTCTCAACACCAATGTCAGTAACATTCTACTGTACTGTGGAACCTTGTTTCAGTGAATCTCTGGTTGCAACACATAATTTCCAGGCAGGAATTAGTCACCTGATCGAGAGTTTGCTAAAGTGGGGGACATGCAGATTTGCTTAGAATGCTGAGCCACAGTTCACAGACTGGTGGGGAAATTGCCCATCTTATGATAGGTTGAAATTTAAATTTTGCTCAGTGAAATTTGTCTATAACAGTAGTAGGAAATATTAGGGGCATGAATGGTAACTTTCTTCATCCTTAAGCTGCTAAGGGGTCCTGAGGAGATTTACACCCCTGTGCACAAGAAAAAAAAATTCTAACAAATTATTTCGTCTTCTAAAGATTTTAATTTGTGTTCCCTGAGCACGGAAAAAATAAAAAATAATCATAGGTAACATTTTGGCCGCAATAAGCCGAGGAAGTCTGGCAAAATGTGGGCGTTGACAGAGCGGTCGTCAGTGGCGGTCAGCGTCACCCGAGCCGACAGGTGGGAGTTGCCCCAAAGATATTATTACGTAATTATTTCAATGTCTCTGATTGATTTTTTCTTAGTTTTTGCAGTAATATTATTCAATAGTGTGTAGTGTGATAGATTTATATAATAAAAGTGGTGAATCATCGCTATACTCAAAAGTATACATGTAGTGTACTTATCAGCGATTCAATTATTATGTTCAGAAAACAATAAACAAATAGTTTTGCTGTTATTACACTCTATACACAGGTTATATATAAGTATCTGCATATTTTGTTCACCATAACGAACCACTAAGTTGGTATTATGAGTCGAAAAGCAACGAGGAGTGACCGCCACACACCAGCTAGCCACTCGTTGCCACTCCCTCCCTCAACAATGCCGCACTCGCCCATTTTCTCCTCCCACCATCCTGTTTTTTATTTTATTCACTATATACAGACGTTATATATAAGTATCTACATGTTTAGTTCAACACAACTGTACAACTAAGCTGATATAGTTAGTTCAGGCACTAAGAAACGTCGCTACACACAGTCAGCTGGCAGCTGTCTCCCTCACTCATTCAAGGTCACTAAAATTTCTCCTACAACAATACTGTTTGCAGTGGTATTACACTATATACACACATTATATATAAGTATCTACATGTTGTATGCACCATAACTGTACACCTGAGCTTGTAGGGTCCCCAAAGAGCATAGTGGCCACCCTCCACACAGCTAGACAAGTCATGCAGACGACGCCACCACCGTCACCCAAATGGCTCCTCCTAATATACTGTAATCCCTTTGCTGTTATTACACTAATACACACTTATATATAAGTATCTACATTTGTGTTCACCATAGAGAACACTGAGCTGGTATGGTGAATGGAGACAATAACAGGTGGCCACACAGTCAATAAACGTTGCTATCTCCCTCTGTCCCTCAGCTTTACTCCTCCCACAGTGCTAATTATCACAACAATCCTGCTATTATCACAATCCTGGTCATTTTTATCACAGTAAGGGGTCATCTGTAATACTGTCATTGCTAAATAATAGCAGTTACATATTTATTTTGACATCGGCAATGCTGTGGTCACAAGTTGAACAGCAATGCTGTTAGCTCATGCTGCATGCACTAGCCTTGGTTGATCCCACAGTATTGTGGCTCTCACACCGGAGAATATTGCCTCGATTTTTTTTAAACATGGCATCTGTTTACAAGAGTCCTGAGGAAGCTAATGTGAACCCCGTGTAGCCACGGGCCATTTAAATCGTGCCTGGCACCCTATGGCATACATATACTCCATGCGCACCGTGGGGCATGTTACTTATGGTGTGTATATATACGCCATGCACAGTTTAAGGGTTAAACTGTGCGAATATATTTTTGTTCATTTTCTGCGCACAGTTTCAAATACATTTTATATGCTTTTATGTGCGAATCCTATGTATAATGAACACATACACTATATTATGGCAGTAGAATATCTGTACTGTCCGAAGACACTGTGTTACGTGCATGACACGTGTACACACACCAGGCACGTGTACACACACCAGGCACATATTTCCATTGTATCATGCTAATTTATGTATATATACAGTCTATTTACACACTATACACTATCACACACTATATACATTCACCATCAACACACTCAGAACTCCGCGAGTGTCAGCTGCCACACCCTCACTCCTCCAACATCCAGTCTCTCTCTTACTCCTCCAACATCTTACTTGCCAACATTGCTCCTCCCACTATACTGTTATTGTTTTTATTACACTATTTACACATGTTATGTATATCTATCTACATGTTTTATTCACCAGAAATATGCAAGTACGCCAGTATTGTGTCCAAACTTTACAGTGGCAACCATACACTGCATGAGAAATCACACAGCAGCCAGCAGATGGACACTACGATTACGTCACCTCCCTCATCAAAATAGCTCCTCCCAACATACTCCTGTTGCTGTTACTACACTATATACACACATTGTATATACAGGGAGCCGGTCGGCCGAGCGGACAGCACGCTGGACTTGTGATCCTGTTGTCCTGGATTAGATCCCAGGCGCCGGCGAGAAACAATGGGCAGAGTTTCTTTCACCCTATGCCCCTGTTACCTAGCAGTAAAATAGGTACATGGGTGTTAGTCAACTGTCACGGGCTGCTTCCTAGGGGTGGATCCTCCTCAAGCCAATCCGAAGACAGCTCCAGGAGGGAAAAGAACTGCAAAACCTAAGCCAGCACGCCACGAGCACACCAGACCTCAGCTACCAGTGCAGCTGATAGGGAGGGTACCTGCACATGAAACTGCACCACGCCAACATCCCGCGGAAGGACAAGGGCGAACAAACACGCAATGAGGTGCTCGAAGTCGTCTGGTAAACCTGGACCACCATCAACACCTCGCACCACTCAAGCGTGCGGGTACGACAAAAAGTACTCCAAGCATCCAAAGACAACACAGGGCAATCCACTAGCCAGGACACGACTCTGGAACCTCATAATGAACCCAGTAGGGAGACGAAGACCCAAACCTGAATGAAGACGGATCCATTATAGAGGCATAATCCGGGTTGCAATGGAGGTAAGCTGCAATGGCCGCCTGCACCTCATGAAGCGGGATGCGGGAAGCCGAAAACCTCTAAAAGGACAGAACCGACAGACCAGAAAGGACATTGAACTGAACCCAGGGAGGGGCCGACACCAATGCAACTCGTACGCAGAGGGGGGAAAATAAAACCCCACTCCTTGCAACAGCAAGCCCTGCTCAGAGGGAAGAAAAACCCAGGCAGGGTCCAAAGGGGCCCAAAGCCTTCAAGTCAGCCCCTCCCCAACCCTGGGTACCTCCATATCAGGACCCAACTCGAATGCTACCATCGCCACCCCGGAAGAGGCATCCCTCCGTGACTGCCCTAGTCTCAAGATCAGCTAAATCTTGCCCCGACCCTGAAGCCCTCAGATGCTTCAGAGCCGGAAGCAGGGAAGAAGGACCAGAATGTACCACAGCAAGGAATGAATGAGGGGGGTGCGGACTGAATCAAGGCTGAAGCGACCAACACCCCCAAGTCTGGGTCCCTATAAGCAAAACGGGGCAGCCTCGGGGCTTCCAGGTTATCAATCAACCTAGCGCACTGCAGCAACCTATATCTAGCATGCAACGCCTGAGCTGCCTTCACCCTGAGAGTCATCAACAAACTGGGTGAACCGAGTCACTAATAAGTAACAAAACTCACAGGACTCTGGGCCGAAGGTGTCACCGACCCCACAGGCAGCACGACGGAGGCAAAATAGTGAGTCATCCTGAGACAAAGGAACAGAGCAACCCACAAACTCGCGCAAGGCGAGAGGGAACCCAGAGGGTCACATCCATTGGACCCCTTGTGCCTCATGCGGGGTTTCCCAGGGCCCTTAGACTGGTAATGCTAAGGGTAGGGGAACACCTGTGAAGATTACTCCCAGCTCATGCGTCACTCTGAAGACAGCACTAGACACAAGGCACAGCACTGAAAACAAGAATCAGGAGCCGGAGTCACACAACCAAGACTCAAACACATCAGCTGAGAACTGAAGGTGTGGGTAGCCGGCATGAGAGGTCTGGAACTCCCGCCGTTCCCCTCCAGGGGAGGGGGTAGCTGCGCAGACGGCGGCGCAGCACGTGGTGATGTCATACTCATTTGCTCATTTTCTTTTGAGGAGTTCTGTCCACTTGTTTGACTTTTCAGTAATAGTTTCAACCAGAATAGGAGTTTGTTTTGGGATGCTTACCTTTCTGGGTGCCTGACCCAATCGATGGCAGACATAGAATGCTCCAAATCACATGTGCAGTTCTATAGACTGTTGCTCCTCGTGCCTCTCTGATGGGGCCAGGTTCTGGCTCGTGGTTCCCAGTAGTCCTAAGAACTCCATTCACACTGACTGATGCCAAAGTCTAATATATCCATATCAGCCTGGATAGCTCTAAGGAGCCGAAGGGACTCCCCCCAGAAAAAGTCTGAGTTCATACAAACATCAAAGTTTGTAGCTGATAAGCTGAACTAAACATACAATACTAACACTGAGAGCAGATCGGCATGATAATAGTAGTCTGAAAGTTTGTCAAGAAAGGATCTTGGCTCCAGAATAAACGTTGGCAGCACCACTTTAGACAAGTCCATCCCTGGCCGAACTTGCTTTAATAGGAACCAAATCAGAGACTTGTTCTCTTCTTCTAATTCTTCAACCTGTTCCCCAGCCTGAAATGCAATGTGTATTCATTAACTATAAAGTTAATAAATTACAAAGGTTTAATATTCAATTTACAAAACACTGGCAGAATTTAGAGAGAATAATATGACTGCATGTTCAGCAACAGTCAATGTATTAATTTTACAGTACTAGCATAAATATCTTACAAAATGTTTGACGGTTTTGTGAAGTACATCTACCAATTCTAATTAAAAAAGGTAGCCTAATGTTATTAACACTTTCGTGTTCTAGGCGTATGCACGCCAGACTACCCGAAGATGACCCGGGCGTAATCAGCCCAGCGCGCCCCACCTGCTGCAAAGTCGAAAATCGGTCAAGCGTTACCCATGAGCGAGCACCCATTGGTACATCCGCAACACTTGCTCACAAATGTATTTACTCTTTTCAAATTTCTCACCTCCATTTTCACCTCAGTTTGCAATAGAATGGGAAGACGTTAGCACACATTGTAAAACCAGTTCCATGATGATCGGATAAAAACTTGAATTTTAACAAATATTTTAATTTTGGATGTCGCTTACGTTCCTAAGGAACATCGTCAGATTTATTTGTAGATGTCATCTCTGTCCCCAAGGAACAAAAGTGTTAATGGTAGTGAAGGCAGACACATACAGTTTCAAATGTAGATAGAGAGCCCAGTATGCTCAGGAACCTGTATGCCAATTGGTTGATGGTTGAGAGATGGGATCAAAGAGCTGAAGCTCAACCCCTGAAAGTACATCTAGGTGAGTACAATTAGTCGAGTACACAAAGAAAATGTATTGAACTACATCACCACCAGTCAGATTCATCATTATTAGCATCAGATGCACTCTAGTTTAACCACTGTGATGTGCCGAGTTTATTGTGAAATTCCCCGTGCGCATGAAATCAAGTGTTCTCAAAAAATTATTTTTTCTTTGTAAAATGATAAATTCCCTTCCCTGAACATGCCTATGTAAAAATAAATACCAAATTCCACTTACTTTGGCTGTGGGGACGTGGACAAGGTGTGCTGTGACGTCATCAGGGGCTGGTCACCCGTGCGTGACACGCCCAGACACGGTCGCGCGGGCCATTCAAGCACCGGGTGTTGCCACAAATATATTTTCAATTATTTGTTCTATATATTTCCAATGTAGTTTTATTTGTTTTCTTATCGTATATGATGCATATTTGTATCCTTTACAATATGTATACAGTAGAACGTTCATAATGTTCCATGGAACTGTGATACATGTGTCAGTAATGTGCCCACAATAAATGTTTATTGTCGCAATATTACTAGTTAAAAATTCACCAAAATTACAGTATGTACAGTTTCACACACTATTTACAAAGTATCACACTGTATTACACACTCAGTACTTCGGAAGTGAGTAATAATCAACGAAGTAGTCCATGGTACACAGCGCGACTTCGCTCTCGTTGCACCAGGTACTGATAGATTCTCGCTTACTGTTTCTTCGTTCTGTGTGCTTGCAAATAACACACTCACGTACACCCTTGGCTTTAGTACCCATAGGTGGTATGTAGCCAAGCTTGTAAAGCATAAGGCAATCTTGAAAAGATTATAGGAAAAGATCAATTTGTAAGGTAGTCATGAAAAAGATCGCTTTGTAAGGTCCTACACAGGAAGAGATTCAGCCATCCTTGATGAGTGTCCATTAGTCTGGAAGAGATTTAGCCAGCCTCAAAGAGTGTTCGTCAGTCAAGAAGAGATTCAGCTATTCTTGAAAATATCTATGGAAAACACCACCATGGAAGCTGCTAACACTATTCATCTATGCTACTTATATCAGATGCATCACCACTGAATGCAGAAAATGATTCATCTATGTATCATCTATATAAATTGGAAATAGCAAGGGTGGAGCTCAGAGCTACAACTGGATACGCTCGCTGTATCATCCTCATAGGTGTTGTATCACTTGCATCCGACCTTTGTGTTAGGTCCTTATCGTGCCTAGCTTCACCAATATTATGACCCTTATGTTCTTCAAACAATAAAGTTTGAATTTCACCGACAGAGCGAGATCTTTCAACACCGCGTCGGACAGGTGTTTGGGAGACAGAGGCGCGTGCACCACCCATGGTTGCTCACTCGGTACTAACCCAGCCAGCATCCTTAGGGTATTCTGGGAATTTTTTTCCCAAGATGGCTGCCTCTCACTGGAGGTCCTAAGAGTCCATTTCGTACACAACCAACCGCGCACACATTTAGAATGGGTACGAAAAAATAAAAAAAAAGTTTTCTCTCGGTTGGTGCAGTTTCCCGCCGACCGAGAATACTCAGTTGATGCAGTTCAGTGGTTAATCTAGTAATAATTCTGGAAACATTTGGTACAAAAAGTTTAGAAATGCTTTATATTTGAGTTTATATTTTTCTTTTAATTTTCCCTTTTTGTTTGTGATGCTTTGCACTGTAGAAAATCCATTTCCTTGAAGGGGAAAATATTACAGTATGTTGAATCTTCATCAGGCATGACTTATTCCTAGGGAAAGGCATAATGATGAATGAGAAAATTAGTAGGAGCCATGAGGAGGATTTGTACCTACACACTGGGTATTTTCTCATTGATACATCATGTTAATTTGTTCTCTTTGTGCATTACGATAAATCTTCCTTCTTCTGATGCCTCCAAATGTTAAAACACTCACATCGTTGGGACAAGTTTGGGTGGAAGTGGTCCGTACTGTAATTAGGGAGTGCATGTATCTGTGCCATATATATCATGAGGAGCACAATACACCTGGTCTCATGGAGCAGTGGAAGAATACCAGAGGGTGTTGATGCTTGCTCATCCCTCATACAATATTATCTAAATGATGTAATAAATAGACATAATATTCTTTTTAAACATTTTTTTTCACTATATTTCCCTTTATTCCAATTAGATAGCTCCCCACTCCATAAAAATGGAAAAACAGGTTAATGAAAATTAATGTATGTATGTAGTATGTACTGTATGCATGTATGTACAGTATGTATGTATATACTGTATGTTCTTGGTGCAGAATTAAGGTATAAATTACGATGTTGCTTGCTTGGGGGAAGGTATTTACAAGCAAACTGACTACAAAATTAGCAATGAAATAAAACTCACCTCACCCATTTCTCCTTCTTTAGAAGCCACATATGCTGATTCAATGGGAGTGAGGTCATCTTTTAGGTCTTCATCGTCCCCATCTCTCCTATCTTCATCTCCTTTGTGTGAACCATCCTCAGACTCTGACTCTGTCCCAGACATTGCCTCTGCTCCAGAGAAGTGTCCAGACTCACGGTGGTATTCATTCTCATCTGTGTGGCTTGCATCGTCCAGGTCTGTGGGGTTCAGGAGAGGGGAGGGTGAGGTCTGCAGGTCAGGAGGGGGGATGAGGGTGGAAGTGGTTGCACAAAGGAGAAATCTGTGGGACAAAGTACAGGCAATCTGCAGCTTCTTACTGTTAGCTGCTAAATGTGTCTGAAGCAACTTTCTTGGCATTTTAAGCAATTAATAATCTTCAAGGCATCTAAATATGAGAAATACTTATCAAAAGAAAGCAGTGATCAAGTATAAATCTGTTTCGAGACTATCTACAGCGGTAATTACTGTTTGTTTTCAAATTGGCAATAAATAGAATAAACATGAGGCAAATTCCACCATGTCAATAGTGGGCACCTATTCAGTGTCAGCAGTAGATACAATGAAAATAATATAAAGTGAATAAGAATTACAAGCTTGAATGTGGAATGACAATTTTCCAAAACTCATTCTGCATCCCTCAATGCGTATAAAATATATCCCACTACCCCCAGGGGCGCAAAAAAAAATGGTACAAAATCATGCAACAGTCATGAATATGGTAAAAGTTTTGGTCTACGTGCCATGTTAAGTTGTGGTAGCCTGTTGAAATTGTAGAATTTTGATGGCTGGAGGCAGGTCACTGTTACATTTAGCAAAGAGGGTGACAGATGGGGTTTGCCGAATGGTATACTATACTGATTTTATTTTACTTACACTTGTTATTCTTTTTTATTAATTTTTGGTTCAAATGATGTACACAGATGCACCAAGAGTTAATTGCACCCAAGGTAAGCTGTTACCAGGCATTATTATTTACAAATAATATTGTACAGTACTGAAATATACATATGGTACAGTATAACACACACACACATTTTCACAATACATTTTACATGGCATTATTATTAACAAGACCATGTACAGTACTAGGTTATTACCTAGTTATGTCTTTAGAACTTTGACAAGGTGTGATAATCCCTGAAACAGTCAGCCATACACATGGCAACAGCACAGTTACTAATTTCACCACCACCAGTGTTCCCTTCATAATGTAGTCACACACTCACCACCACCACCACCACCACCAGTGTTCCCTTCATAATGTACAGTCACACACCACCACCACCACCACCACCAGTGTTCCCTTCATAATGTACAGTCACACACTCACCACCACCACCACCACCAGTGTTCCCATCATAATGTACAGTAATACTCTCACCACCACCACCACCACCACCAGTGTTCCCATCATAATGTACAGTCACACACCACCACCACCACCACCAGTGTTCCCATCATAATGTACAGTAATACTCTCAACACCACCACCACCACCACCACCAGTGTTCCCATCATAATGTACAGTAATACTCTCACCACCACCACCACCACCACCACCAGTGTTCCCATCATAATGTACAGTCACACACCACCACCACCACCACCAGTGTTCCCTTCATAATGTACAGTCACACACCACCACCACCAGTGTTCCCTTCATAATGTACAGTCACACACCACCACCACCACCAGTGTTCCCTTCATAATGTACAGTCACACACTCACCACCACCACCACCAGTGTTCCCATCATAATGTACAGTCACACACACACCACCACCACCACCACCAGTGTTCCCATCATAATGTACAGTAATACTCTCACCACCACCAGTGTCCCCACACAATGTACAGTCACACATGCACCACTACCACCAGCATTACCATCACAACTAGTACATGATCACTACTAGTACCACAAATAATAAAATTCACAATGGCATTACTTTTGTCAAATTTAGTAGCTTACTACCCCCTTATTTGCTCATATTGGCATCACAAAGATAGTCCTCTCCACCATAGCTTGTATCAATCACCACCATTCACACTACCAGAATATCAACAACACTAGCAAAATTATCAGTAAAAATCATAATGGCAACAGTATTTTCATTAGAATCAGTATCTTATACTAAATTTGCTCAACTTGTCAACTCAGAGAATGGTAGAGAGGTGTAGTACAAATAGTTTCATGTCGGTTACCATCTGACCAGTGCCTCACAACCTCCCTCTCTCCCTCTTCAAGCTATTTCAACTTGTGATGAATAATATTCAGGTTTCTGTAATCACTAATTGCCCCATTGAAACTATTTTCATCATATTTTGTTGTTTGTGGCAGCAGATTTTCTCCATGTGACAACACAAAGTTCTCTTTACCACATGGTAGTTATCTCTACCCCGACCACCCCAGCTTGCACAGTGATCGCCAGCACTCACACCACTAGCATGATTACCTCAGCATTAATGTCAAGATCTTGAAAACAAATCACATTTTTATTGTGATCAGTAACTTGTAATAATAATCTTGCTCTCTTTTGGCAACTCAAAGAATGACAGTGTCTATAACAGAGCTTCGTGTCAGTCACAACCACAGACTAGTAGGTCACCACCCACTACCTCACTCTCCCTTTCTTTGCTGTTAGTTGCATATTTTGTTTTCTGATGGATAATAATAATAATAATAATAATAATAATAATAATAATAATAATAATAGTTTACTACAGTACAGTACTTGTAATATATTCCTCTTCATCAGCAAGACCTTTCAGCTCTTGTAAAGCATTGGCAATTTTGCATAGCATAAACAATCGCTTGTGCAGTGGAGCTGCACATACATTGTACAGTATTAGGTAGGTGGTGGGCCAGTGACGATGAGTAACCTACTACTGTAAACACTAATGTTCATAAAGGAAACTAAGGTAGTCATGATTTTTCCAACATTGAGAACACTTAACAGGACCATCTAAGGAATGGATTATGTAGCCATACAATTGCTACAAATTCAAACCAACCCACACTGGGTAAAATCATCCATGGGCAACAGATACCAAGACCCTGGTTTTAGTATGCAGACAACAGGATGTTATGAAAGTGTATAATTAATCAATATATTATCTGTAAACAATTATTATTCATTCATATTTTCATAAAATCCATTTTATTGCATTCTTGTATACAGTGAGAAAGATTACCCAATTGCAGTGTAACAAATTAAGTTTGCAAACTGCAACAATGTGATTACAGTATAGTATTATTATTTACCATTCTTTCTCAACTTTGAAGACTTCACAATAATCTTGGGACTGGCCTTGACAGAGTTTTTCTTTTGGTTCTTACGTATCTTGGGTGAATTTGCTTGTGAATGCTCAGAAATACTGATATTATCAGGAGTTAATGATATTCTTTGGTTGGAGTAATCTCCCTTGAGTTCATGATCAGCCATGTGTATGGCCGCTGCTAGCCTACGATAGTATGGCGTTGGTGATGGGTCTCGGTTTGCTGAACTGCTCACTTGAACCTTGTGAGTAGGTGTACCCTCCACACTAGAGACACCTGCAAGCTGAATGACACAATCCCGCCATACAGACTGAGGTGATGCTACTGGACTGTTTTCTGGACTAATGCCCGTGCTTGAATCATCAGATATATCTATATAGGTACAGTATTTGGGAAATTTGTTTACCAATGTACATTAATATGTTGGATACACCATTGTTATATTTATTACACATAACATGAGTATGTACCACAGAGACATATTAAAGGCACCATTTATTGGAATATTTTTTGTTTCAAGTATTAACCCGCCCCATCAAAGTGGGAAACAGAGTAATGATATAATGTTTGTATGTTTGTTTGTATTATTATTTTCAGGGTCACTCCAAAGAAAACACAAACAAATGATGCAATAAAATATATATTTATGTTAGAACACAATTTTAATTCCACATACACCATGCAAAAATTCAGGTGGGTTGTTGAGCGAGATGCAAATACAGTACATGTGTGAGTAAATATGACAGGCAAGCATAGCATGCAATTAGAGGTGAATTACAAAGGCAATGGCCACAACCATAATAGCAGTGGAGAGGAAGCAACAGCCAATTAGGAGGAAGGAAAGGGGCCAGAGAGAGAAACACAGGTAAATGTACGATCTTCAACAATAACACAATGTACAAAGTAACATTCACACTTCTTTATATTGTTCAAATAGTACACAAGGCTTTGAAAGTGTGTTGTACACAATCACTTTGAAATTTTAGCAGCTATACAGTCCTATGAAGGGAACTATTACACAAATTTTGAGTCTTTTCTATACACTTTCAAAACTAAATAACTATCATGTGGATACTTACCTTGGTCCTTAAAGTGCTTTTCATAATCAGACTCGTTCCATTTATCAGCTGCAAGAGTTGACGAGTTAATAGAATTGTTGGCATCGCTCTTATTTGAAGATGTCATGGATCGGATAAGAATTGAGGAGCAGCGGACAGCCAGCTCCAAGGCATCCATCCAGCACTTCCCTGCTGCCTGGGATGGAGCTCTGAAGATGAGGTGCGATGAGGGAAGTGGTTGTACAACTGCCCCTGTATTAATACAATTTTAAACTGTGTAAAAAAATTATTTTGAAAATACATAAGGGGTAAAAGTACTGTATATTATTTCATGTCTTGTTTTGACATTTATTAGTGAGAATACTACTACTGTACCATCATCGTGTGAATCAAGGCATACTATTATAAACACACATTGCATTGCACATCTATCTGGACCTAAAAAACCAGCATTGAATGTAATGAAAAGCCATTTTCTGGGTGAGTCTCAGAGGCTTCCCGGAGCTATCCAGGCTGAATTGATATGTATAACTTTCTGACATCAGTCAATGTGCATGGAGTTCTTGCCTACTGGGGACCATGAGTCAGAACCTGGCTCCCTCAGAGAGGCACGAGGAGCAATGGGCTATAGAAACCCTCATGTGGTTGGGAGCATTCTAGGTCTGCCATCAACTGGGACTGGCACCTAGAAACGTAGGGGCCCCAAAACAAACTCCTATTCTGGTGAAACTATTACTACCGAAAACCAAACAAGTGGACAGAACTCTTCAAACGAAAATTAGCATGACGTCATCATGATGCCGCACCGCTGTCTGCGCAACCCCCTTCCCCCTCCCCTCCCCAGGAGGGGGAAGGGGAACCCCCAGACCCTCGTGCTGGTGATCCAAGCCGGCACGAGGGTCTGTTCTGTCCAATTCCCAGTTCTTAGGCTGGATGTCAAAATCATGCAAAAAACATTGCCGAGGGGGGGGGATCATAATCATAATCATAAACCGGGGCGCGGATTATATATATAAAAGATATATATATATATATATATATATATATATATATATATATAAATATAATATATATATAAAAGACAAAATTATATAAATAAAAGACATAATCCGGATCATGATCCGGGTCGTGCTAGAGGTAAACGCTAGAGGCACTAGTAGAACTTCGGTTTCAACAACTTTTGACCATGTCGTAGCTCAGTCCATTAAGGCAGCGTCTGGGATGCTCTCGGACGCAGGTTCAAATCCTCGTCACGGCCCTTGTGGATTTGTTCATTTGATGCATCACGCAATTGTGATTTCTGTGTGTAATGAAGTAAGGGCGAAGAGGGAGAACGGCCTATTGACATAGCTCGAATGCATGTGGGGAGTTGTGTAAAACCCTGGTTTGGGCCTCGGAGAGGCTGCAGGATCCAATAAGTTCAGTAGAACTTCAGTTTCAACTCCTTTTGACCATATCGTAGCTCAGTCGATTAAGGCAGCGTCTGGGATGCTCTCGGACGCAGGTTCGAATCCTCGTCACGGCCCTTGTGGATTTGTTCAAATACATGTCATGTTATGGAATGTGGAATAGGTGAACACAGAACCAACACAACCTATAAATTCTGTGAGAAATCTTTAAAGAATTCTGATAAAGAAAGAGATCTAGGGGTGGTTCTAGATAGAAAATTATCACCTGAGGACCACACAAAGAACATCATGTAAGGAGCATATGCTACACTTTCTAACTTCAGAATTGCTTTTAAATACATTGATGGCAAAATACTCAAGAAATTGATCACGACTTTTGTTAGACCAAGGCTGGAATATGTAGTGGTTGATTGGTACACATATTTTAAGAAGTACAACAACAAACTAGAAAAGATGCAGACATGCAACTAAATGGCTCCCACAACTGATAGGACAAGAGCTACAAATTGAGGTTAGAGGCATTAAAAATGCCAAAACTAGAAGATAGAAGAAAAAGAGGTGATATGATCACTACGTACAAAATAATAATGAGAATTGATAAAATTAATAGGGAAGAATTCCTGAGACCTGAAACTTCAAGAACAAGAGGTCATAGATTTACTTTGTCTAAGTAAACAAAGCTGCCGAAGGAATATAAGAAAATTCCCTTTCACAGAGTGGTAAACAGTTGGAACAAGTTAGGTGAAAAGGTGGAGGAGGCCAAAACCACCAGTAATTTCTAAGCGTTATATGACAAAGAGTGCTGGGAAGATGGGACACCACGAGCGTAGCTCTTATTCTGTAACTACTCTTAGGGACTTACACCATGTAGTTTATACACAAATTTTAATTTAAGAATTACACAGGCTAAAGTATTCTTCAGCTGCATCAACTGTATTTTGTGGTCATGCTGAAATTTGTACACATATGCAACACCATTGTATGGCTGTTAAAATATTGTATAAAGTCTCTAACATGGATTTTAGCTCCTGCCTTATTAGCCGTTAAGTTTTCACTTGTTAACATCCATTATATTCACTAAACATGCAATCTGAAGGTATTCAGTCTGTTATATATATATTTTTTTTTTTTTTTGAGATATATACAAGAGTTGTTACATTCTTGTACAGCCACTAGTACGCGTAGCGTTTCGGGCAGGTCCCTGAAATACGATCCCCTGCCGCAAAGAATTGTTTTTTCATCCAAGTACACATTTTACTGTTGCGTTAAACAGAGGCTACAGTTAAGGAATTGCGCCCAGTAAATCCTCCCCGGCCAGGATACGAACCCATGACATAGCGCTCGCGGAACGCCAGGCGAGTGTCTTACCACTACACCACGGAGACTATTAACATAATGTTAGCATTAAATATTTAAACAATTGTTAAAGAAATGAAGAATGCAAATATAGTAAGGTGAAAATGCCTTAAGAGATCATTGTGGTGATCTGCAAACAGTCCACTCACTGAAGACTGTACTTACCCATTGTTTCCCCTTCAGGTCCCTTTGTAGCCCAGATTGACTGTTCAAGTGGATGGAACAGCTTGAAACAGAATCCATCCTTTTTCGACGGCCGCTCAATCAGTTCACAGGTATTGAGCAATACGGTGCCCACCCAGTGGCTGCTCTGTTCAAGGAATTACGAAGTTAGATTTCCTTTTATTGTATCACTGGTGTTTCTCAGCCAAACTGGTGCCACATCCATAAGCTTCCACACAGCAATGAATATGTTGCATTAACAAAATGTCAGGATTCCACAGAAATATATAAAACACTGGAGGACTGGTTAACTAGCTATTAATTCTATTATACAAAATTTATCCAAAATTATACTGTATGTACATGTGTTTCTCAAGTTCCAAAGTTAAAAAGAGTCATAGAAGCAGGGTCCCTAATTTGCAGACTGTATATCCACAGTACCACACATTAATATTTACACCTTACACAAAAATGACTAGAAGGCCCCTTATGTAGTACCTGTTAATTCACAAATTAACTCATATCTCATACAGCTGTTATCTGAGCTTGTTACACTTCAAACTGTTCCCGTGAACTTGTAACATTGATCACAAGTAAACTCGTCTAAAGATTTATAACCAAGTCCACGGATCACCTCTAAACTGATCAGACCCCCACACAACTCCCCTTAGATTTGAGAAGTCTACAATTCACTCAAAAGATCTTTAACAGCAGTGGCTAAAAACTTCCAACTTTCCCCTCAAGTTATCACAAGTCAAGCCAGGCTTGACATGTGATAACTTGGTCCAACAGCTGCAGCTTAGAGTGAGCCACAGCCCCATATATCCACTATAACCTGGCACTTCTTGCAGGAAAGTGTCTAATTTGTTTTTTAAGAAGTTCATTTTTGTTCCAGAAATATTTTATTATGATATGTTTAAAGATGCATACCTGTATTTGTTTTCAAGGCTGTACACCTGTTCAACTCATTCTCAACTCCAATGATCTGTAGTAATCTAAACATTCTCTATTAATAAGTATTATCGCTATACAATTACATCAACTTAATCACAATAAATGTCCAACATTCACATACCTTAACTTTAGCATTTTTATAGAGGAGAAGCATCCCAGGCTTGAGGACACACCACAATTTTGTCCAGCCCTTGAGTGACCCGCGCACCTTCAGCCAGTCAGCCAGGACCACCACCGCTGGGTCCTTCAGCGTACTCAGTAGTTCTCTCGCCACTCTCTTTTTCTCTCGTCTGTATTTCCGCCGTTGATCTTTGTAGGATTCCTTTCGGGAGAGGGGAGAAGCCTGTGGAAGTGATATAATGAGTTAATTTTGCACAAATGGATGCCACAAAGAGTACCATATAATTAAAGACCTTCACATGAAGTTACAAACTACATACCTATGAGTAGCACAATCAGTATAAAACTTTTACAATATAAATATAGTAGGCCAAAATTATTTACTCCCATTTATTGAGGACAAATTATCGTAAGTTATATTTTTTAAGATATTGGATTTTTATAAAAAACAGTATACCCTAGCAAGGCATGAACCTTTAATTGGTCATTATTATAATTGTGATATCCATAATAAAAATTGGAGAAATATTACATAAACATTTTCCACAGCAATGTGAGATAGTCCTTATCTCTGTAATTCATAGTAGTATGCACACAGTGTATATCTTTCAGTACAGTATAGGTCAGCATATTCCAAGTTGTCAAGCAAATTTAAGTTGCATTATTACACTTTATAGCAAAAAACAATAAATGTGTACATGTATTTACAATTTCTGACCGTCCCTAACTTTTTGTATTTTTTAAATACAATACTATATACAGTAGTATACTGCACTAAACTATATACTGTACTACAGTATGTAGTTTCTGCAAAAAAGGCTGTGTTTTACTGGTTTTTGCAAAAGTGTAAAAAACCAGCGTTGAATGTAATGAAACGCCATTTTCTGGGTAAGACCCGGAGGCTTCCCGAAGCTATACAGGCTGATATTGCTAATGTCAGACTTTGGCATCAGGCATGTGTATGGAGTTCTTAGGCCAACCAGGGACCACGAGCCAGAACCTGGCTCCCTCATAGAGGCACGAGGAGCAATAGCCTAGTGAAACCCCCATGTGGTTGGATGAATTCTATGTCTGCCGTCGACCGGGTCAGGCACCCAGAAAGGTAAGCGTCCCAAAACAAACCCCTATTCTGGTTAAGAAATTGCTAATGAGAGTCGAACTAGTGGGACAGAACTCCCAAAATAAAAACGAGCTAACGAGCACAACGTCACCGCGCTGCCATCTGTGCAGCTCCCCCCTCCCTGGGAGGGGGAAGGGGGAGCCCCAGATTCCTTGCACCGGCAACCCAAGGCCTCAGTTCTGAGGCTGGATATCAAAACACGCGAAAAAAATGCAGACCGGAGGGAGGGAAGGTCCGGGTCTCACCTAGAAAATGGCATTTCATTACATTCAACGCTGGTTTTCTGCGGGTAGCCCCATCGGCTCCCCGGAGCTACCTACCCAAAGACGAAACAAGAGGGACCTAACCCGGGAGGCAAAAGTCGCTCACTCTCCAACGTGAAGCGGAGACAAAAGACTGCAACTGTCAACCCAAGGCCACAAAGGCCCGACAAGGCCCAGGAACATCAACGAAGGAACGCATGACCCACTGACAAAACATCGCGGGCACGGAGATAGACAGCAGGCTGGCTGGACTGAACCACCCTGCGGACAACCTGAGAGAATCGCACCCCTGGAACAGGGAAGAAGGGAAACTGGAACAACCCAAAGCGTGACCCCGGTCATGGCAACCGTGGCACACAAAGAACAGCGAAGCGCCGCCACCGAACACAACACATGATGCACCCCCGGCCAGACCAACCAAGCATCAATAACCCAAGGACCCATCCAGAAAGCAGCCGTGTCAGTCTCTGCCAGAAAAGAAGGAGATGGCTGCAATCCAACAAACCAGAACTGAAGGGGTCATAATAAACTGAGGAGAAGAAAAGAGCACTCCCAACCAAGAACCAGGACGGCACAAGCAGCGCAAGAGCAGGCCGGAGGTGAACCACGCCAGAGACAATTCGCGAATCGGTGCAGGGGGAACACCAAAACCGAAGCAAACCGGAGCAACTCCGCTAGTGCTGCACGAGACAAGGCGACAGTATGTGGCAAGATGATGGCCCTGAACCTCCACAAGAGAAGGACAAGACCACACCAATAAAACGCAGCAAACCTACGAAAGGACAGAAAGAAAACGGAAGGACCGCCAAAAAAACCCACACCGCCGCCAAGAGGAAGCACGCAGGTGGGACACCATCAACAAAGCCACCTTTAGTGGGTCAGCCTGAGACGTAGGGCCCACGCAGGAATTTCCCTGCACCTGATCACCAACAGATGGTGAGAGACTCGAGACGGAACCGAACCAGCCCCGCCATAGACCTATCGAACATAGGAAGAGGCGGAGCCACAGGAAAACCTCGTGTGCGAACACCGAGCAAGCAGAGCCGGGAACTCAAGCCGGCAAGGAACCAGAAGGAACGTCTGCCGTACAGAAAACCTCCCAATGCCAGCGAGCTCGCCAAGAGATCAAAGATACTGTGGTTCCAACACGAGACTCATGAGAACTGACACCGCGAGATCGTGAAAACGTCAACTGGCAGGGTAAGCCAGTAAAACAGGAACCCAAACTTGGCAAGCCGGGAAGAACCAACCCGGGTGAGCAGAAAAGCCCCGTCTGGGTGGAACCCCCCGGGACCCTTGAAGGACCAACAAGTCCGACAATAGATGACAACGAAAAGCCACCAGTAGAAAAACGCCGAAACACAGATGCCGCAAACAGCAAGGATAAAATTGCGGTGAAAAATGAAGAGCCAGGCCGAGGCCAACGAAGAAGTGGGCACCGCGAACCGAAACGCAAAGCAAAAAGCAGGGACGCTTCATCTCACAGGATGCGGCACTCCTGCCAAAGAGCAAAAGTTCAACCCCTGCAAGCATAACTCGGTGAGTACAGAGAATCCAATGTACAGTATATGGAAGGGCTAAGCCAGGCACTGTAAGACGGGCAAGGAATGAGTGATCAAGATAAGACCACGAAAAACGGTGCCGTGCCTCACCGTGTAACAAATAACACAGACGAACAAGGAAGGCCCCAGGAAGAAGTACGCAAGGGCCAAACAAAATGCCACAATCAATCCCCAACATGCATCCCTTGTCAAAACTGCATCAAAATGTCACCTCATAACACCGTGATACAGTTTAACATGTACCTCATAACATTTACCTCCACCATTTTACCTCGTAACATGGTGGAGTTGGGGTCCCTTGATTGATTCAAGCATAGTTTGGACATGTATAAGAGTGGGATTGATTGGGTGGTTATAAATAGGAGCTGCCTCGTATTGGTCAATAGGCCTTCTGCAGTTACCTTTGTTCTTATGTTCTTATCCAAAAACCACAAACCAGCGCTTGGCCGAAGAGACGCCCGACAACATAAACTCACCTGCAGAGCGTAGGCACGAACGTGTCAAGACACATCGTAGACGAGAATATTTCGGGAGCACCGCCAGTGGAATAAGGCCAGAGGCGCATATGCAGGAGAAGAGGAGGGCAGAGGCAAATGCAGCACCCCACACCCATATGCAGAGAAAACCAGGCGTTCTCCCCATATTGGTAATCCAGAACACCCCTAGTATCTACAGGGCTTGGACTGGGAAGATAAGAGGAGCGAGAGGCGAAACACCCGAGAGAAAAAGGATGCGGATCACCAGCACTTGTGTACACCGTCCATAACAAAACAAACTCCCACGGCGCATGCGCAGGACACATGAAGTTCGAACAGCACAACCCGCCTGGCGGGGAAGGCGTCAACTAGGAGTATTTAAGGAATAATAGAAGTGCCGAGACAGCACGGAGAGAAGATATAACAACAAAAGAACGAGACAGTACCGAAAAACAAGAAGCAGCATGGAAGAGGACCAACGAGTCCTAAAAAGGACTGGAGGTAATCCTCACCGGAGGATGACAGACGTTCCAATAATACGGGAATAATCAAAGACCTTCCTAAATCCTCGAGATCCTACAGAAGCAAGCACAAAACCACAAAGGCTCAGAAAGGCACATTCGCACCCGAGACCAAAGGTCATGCAGAACCCTGGTATGAGGAGAACATGACCTCGACAGGACGGATAAGTCCTGTCCCAGAGAAGAAGGGGGAGAAAACCGAGAAGAGAACACACCGACGGACCCGAAGAAACAAGGAACTGAACCCGGGGAGGGGGCGACGTCCCAAAACTCGTACGCAGAGGGGGGGAAAGGAAAAACCCCACTCCCCGTAACCGCAAGCCCCACTCAGAGGGTAGAAAACCCATGCGGGATCCAACTGGGCCCGCGGCCCCCAAGTCAGCCCCACGCCACCCCCGGGAACCTCCACTGCAGGACCCGGGGCAGAGCCGTCCCCCTAAAGCCCCAGCCTCACGAGAAAAAGCCGGAGCAGCCAGATAAAGACTAAGGAAGGGAGCCCACTGGCAGACCCATACATCATGGCTGGAGGAACAGGCTTGAATGCCTCCGTCGCTACCCTGGAAGGGGAAATCCCTGAGACCACCCAATTCTCAAGACCATCGAAACCCCCGCCCAACCCTGAACCCACAGATGGTGAGGATCCGGATGTAGGGAGGAAGGGGGGTGGAGCAAGCCCAACCCACAACAGGGAAACAACAAGGGGGTGCGGACGAAAACAAAACCGAAGCGACCAACACCTCCAAGCCCAGTCACAACAACCAAAACGGGACAGCCTCGGGGCTTCCGGGGAGCAAATAACCTAGCGCGTTGCAACCACATGAACCCAACGTGCAATGCTCGTGCTGCCTGCACCCACATAGTCAGCATAAGACTGGGTAACCGAGTCACAAACAAGCAACAAAACTTGCAGGACCAAGGTGCCACCGACCCAACAGGAAGCAGATGAGGCAAAAACAGGAAGAGTCACCCTGAGACAAAGGGACAGAGCAACCCTCTCACTCACACAAAGCGAGGGGTGACTCAGGGGTCACATCCATTAGACCCACACGCCCCTATGGGAATTCCCAGGGTCCTGAGACAGAACACACACTCAGGGAAGCCCAGGCAGGATACTGCTAATTGGCGCCCAAGTCTACCAAACAACTGTCTAAGAACTGAACCCACAGGATGTGTACACTCACGGGGACCAAGCAGGGGGTACCACTCGAATTACCATAACAATAACCACGGTAGACCCCCCTCCACCAGGCAAGCAAACAAAAAGAAAAAGAAAACCCCGCAAGAGGACAGTGTACCCAGGCGGAACAGAGCCGCCTGCTATGATTGGTGAAATCAAGATGCGCAGTACCCTAAGGCGAACAAGGGAGACAAAACACCCTAGCACACAAAGGGCGGTTGAAAACCAAACAGTAAATGGCCAAGCAGAGGCAGAACCCAAGAAACTTGTGGAAGGTGGCCCCAAGCCCCAAGGGCAGTACTTACTGGCCACCTAGGGAGGGTAACTAGTACATGCAGCCCGAGTACTGAAGAATCACTCTTGGCTTGCACACCCCTCTATAAAACAGCCACCATGCCACAAGGCATGTAGTAGAGACCAAGATCAGAGCCAGAGCACATAACTTCTGCCTGGCGCATCAGCCTCAGAACTAAGGTCTTGGGTTGCCGGCACGAAGAGTCTAGGGCTCCCCTTTCCCTCTCCCGGGGAGGGGGGAGCTACGCAGATGGCAGTGTGGTGACGTGGTGATGTCATGCTCATTAGCTCATTTTTATTTTGGGAGTTCTGTCCACTAGTTCGGCTCTCAGTAGCAATTTCTTAACCAAAATAGGGGTTTGTTTTGGTCTGCTTACCTTTCTGGATGCCTGACCCGGTCGATGGCAGACATAGAAGGCTTCCAACTACATGGTTTTTTATAGGCCATTGCTCCTCGTGCCTCTCTGAGGGGGGGGCCAGGTTCTGGCTTGTGGTCCCCGGTAGGCCTAAGAACTCCATACACATGACTGATGCCAAAGTCTGACATTAGCAATATCAGCCTGGATAGCTCCGGGGAGCCGACGGGGCTCCCCCCAGAAACACCAATGTTATGTACTCTCACAAACCCAATGTACCTGCTTGTATTGTATATAAATAAATAAAATAAATAAATAAATTAATAAATAAATAAAGTAAATAAATACAATGGGCTTAAATATCAGAGTTGCAGCTGTGATTGTAATAAGTTGTGTAATACCTGCATTATGGCAAACAAATGATGCACCAACTATAACAAAACTGCACATATACCCACCCTAATTTTAGTGGTCGTGCAATAGTAATCACATATTGTTTGGGGGCCAACAGTAATGTTACTTTATCTACATCTAACTTTACAGAAAATTGAACAGCTTTCAAAGCATCAAAATAATTCTTCTAACACTGAGGAGTGTGTAACAAGATTGATACATCAACAAACAGGTTGGTCATGTTTACTAACACGTGGAACATCAACACACAACAATTTCATATTTATACCACAACCAGTGCAAAAGCACATTCTTCAAACTTTAGAAAAAATGTAAAACATGCAATGTATTAAATTCTATAAAATATTATGCATGCATTAATTACGACAGGGAGACATCAACAGCACACAAATACAACATTCATTGCGTCAAACCTTATCTCATATGTGCATTACTGTTATTCTTACCATGAGAAACTCCAACAAAACTTTCAGACCTCTACAGCTGGCAGTTATAGACTAACTGAAAATGGTAAGTGGCCACACACAAACTAACAGTAAACATAACAGTTCAATCCGTGTGAGTGTTGGAAATATAACACACTAGTATACTCTACTGTAGGAACTAAACCCAAAATATAATACACAAAAGGAGCTATACACCAGACATTATTTAATGCATCAATTACAATAAATATTTGTATACAGAACTCAAAGAACTAACCACCAAACAATATACTTTAGGGACTATATACGAAACATAGTGTGTTGTATGAACTAAACAATGAACACAATGTATTATTGTGAGGTAAATATTTTTAAGATAATAAGTACTCAGAAGAATACAATTGTCTGTATATAAATTTAAAAAATAAATATGGCTTAAATTTTTAGCCAACCATATTGCTAAATATTGTATATTACATTTAAGAGACCGAGCCTATGCTTTACTACTTTTGTAGGCTTGGTGAGTACAGTATGCATTATTTATATACTCACCCATGCACATGTAGCTTTTGGGTATTTACAACAACTATTATGCTCCTCAAAGTAATTAAATACTACATACTAACAATTAACCTTAAGTTCCATGACATGCCACAAGTCACTTTCTAGTACCAAACACAAACTATGAATATTATCCATATAAACACACATCTAAATACAGTACTGTACTGTACTGTTAACGACATTCTCTCTATCATGAGCTACCACCCCATTAACAATACTAACAGTATTGTGCATGACATATGTACCTGATGCTTTTACTGTACCTTATATGTGAGCCAGGTCTGGCTCGTGCAGCACCTCACATGCACACAGTGAGATCGGGAAATAGGTGCATGATGCAGTCATGAAGACATAAAAAGGAATATTATGAAAAACAACATAGAAAATGGATAATACATCTACCTGTGGAGTATATTACAAAATGCAGTGAAATAGCAAGACAAGCTAAGCCCTGATAAAGAGGTGGTGGTGAGGCCAGTAAGGAAAGTGTAGGCTTACAGCATCCAGATGAGATCTCATGATACATCACGGATTATTACTAAAAAATCATAACTGACAGGCATACTCTGACATGAATATTACAGCCGATTCTCCTAAAATTATAGAACTTATCACAAGTATTTGTCTTAACTTACCAATATGTAGTGTTGGACCACCAAAAGTTCACATTTTGTACTTTTAATTTTATATAGCCACAGAATAAATCTAAAAAAAAAACTTAACATTATTTGGCCTAGTATAGGCCTAGGATTGTTAGGATTGTCAGGTTAGGTTCTTTAGTTTCATTGAATATTTAAGAGAATGCCATTTGGGCTGATTCAATAATACAGAATGTGAACTTTCGGTGGTCAAAGGCTACATATTGGTACTTTGGACAAATACTGTACTTGCTATAATTACTCTCATGTTAGGAGGATGGGCTGGAATATTATGAAATAGTATGAGTGCTTTTTATTTCTGTCCTTTCCCTTTATAAATTATAGAACATTTAATCCAGTTTAGAAGCAAATAATATCTTTGCCAAACTCCACCACATTGTGATGGCTACGTGAGGAAAACTTGGTAGTGTGACACTCCACCACATGAGGATAACATGTAGTGTGATACACTCCACCACATGAGGATAACATGGTAGTGTGTCACACTTCACCACATGAGGATAACATGTAGTGTGACACACTCCACCATATGATGAAGGCTGCATGAGGATAGCATGTATGACACACTCCACCACGTGAAGATAACATGTTAGTGACGCACACTACACCACATGAGGATAACATGTAGTGTGACACACTTCTCCACATGAGGATAACATGTAGTGCGACACTCCTCCACATGAGGATAACATGTAGTGTGACACACTCCACCACATAATGAAGGCTGCATGAGTCCGAGTGTAGAGTCAACACTGCCTCAAGAGTAGAGCAAACCTCTGAAGCTTAACATACAATCAAATAACAGGCAGTCATGCATTAAATCCCCATATAGAATGTGTTACATCTTGGTACTGTACCTTAAAATTATTTTAGAATATGCAAATATCCTACACAATGTGAGCAGCATACACCATAGTGCACATACCTGTTTATGGATGTATGAATTTTTACATGTAAAAATTAATGTGTATGAAGTGACATGAATGTATAATGCATGACATACCATGTGAATGTGTCCATTTCACATGGTATGTCACTCATTATACTGGCCACCTCCTTGAGGTGCTTCCGGGGCTTAGTGTCCCCGCGGCCCGGTCGTCGACCAGGCCTCCTGGTCTAGGCTCGGCTCAGCTCTAGTTCAGGAATATCTTCCTTGGGGCTGTCAGGTTGATGGTTTACCAGAGTTATCTTCTCTAAGGATGTTCCACTCCTCCTCAGAGTTGACTTATTCTTGAGTCTTCCCTTAGCCTGGCCGTCACAGACAGTACTTGGAAACTTGGTTGCAAAGATGATTTGTTGCCAAGGAGTCGAGTGTTCACATTTCAATTATTGTTCACCGAGCTGACTCAATCATGAGTTTGGCTTGTTGCAGTGATTGCTAAATAGCAGTAAAATAGTAAACAAACAGCTCACTATGGAGGGGAATTATTATGGTGCTCCAGTTTTGATGCAATATGGAGATTCATTACTCATATCTCTGCTGGTTGGGTTTCAATGGATCAGTCTCCCAGTCCAGAGAATTATTCTGCTACTTGCATTTTTATGGGGTGTTCTGTGGTATTCTTAGATGCAGACAGACACATCTATTGTCTCTACCATTCTATAATTTTAAAAAGAATTCCTCTCGGGCAGAGATCTGTATGTTCAAACATTCCGCTGTAAGTGGATGCAAGTCATGGCCCTTGTTCAAGAGGGTCCTTTTCCTTAGTTTTAAGAGAAGTCTGAGGGAATGAATGTGGACACTTGACCAAACAACCCACCAGCTCTTGACTTTGCCGATGACCATACCAGCTCATCTACGTCTCAGGTAGTGTTCCAACCCCCCATTAATTAAGACAGCAAAATTGTGTCATGAAGAGGACACATAAGGCCTGCTATGGCAGCAAATGCAAACGGATTGCAGGAGCCCACTCTTTCTGCAACAGTCTGCCTTTGTTTTTTGCATGAATAGACTTTTAATCCTGCAGTTTGGATTGGTTTTAAGAAATGCAATATCTGAACTTGAACAAAATACATAACTATTCTTACAATACATTCAAAAAATCATTTAACTGACTGTTTTGTAAAACTTTCTAGTACAGTATCACTTACTGCTGAGAGTATTCGTAGGCATACGGGCAAGTTTAGAAATTTTAGTGGAGCTATCTTAATTATTTACTAGTTATTGCTGAATTTTTTTTTAAATGGTTCTATAATCTGGCATTAAACTACTAAATGGCTAAATAACAGTGGTCATCTTTAAGATATCAACATACAAAAGCCTTGAAAGTTTCAAGTTAATATGCCAAAGTGTGTTTTTGATACCAGGGACAATGTCACTAACAAATTTGAAACCAGACCAAACCAAAATATATTTTTGCAAAGCCAAAATATATATCTACCAGTGCAGCTTAATTAAGAATATCAAGGAGATTCAAACATGTACATGTAAATACAAAGCTTATCTACATGTCATATGAAGTATCAGAAGCTGCAGTTTAGTGGTGTATCAATACAGTACTTTATGGTACAGTTACTGTAAATCTTTACTCTCTCTATCAAATACTAAATACTGACCAAATACATCATAATCAGCAGTCAATCACTTAATTTTCATAAAACAATGCCACCTAACACACCATCTTATGCTGGGTAGTATGAGAGTGCAGTTGTATTATACCACAGCTAAATACTGTACAAGGTCATGTACTTCTGCAGGGTACATGCAGAAACCTAGCCGCGTAGACACACGGCGTAATAAGGAAAGTAGTTTTATATGGAGCAAAATAAGTAGAGATGAAACAGTGTAGACAACACTAATGATGTACAAAGAAAAAAGATATATAAAAGAACTCATAAAGTTTCCTAAAAATGGCAAAGCTATCGGAATTCTGTAACAAATAATTAACTAAGAAAAGGCAAAACCACCACAACTGCATGGTTTTCCTCTGTTTACAAAACAAGAAGCTATAAACAAAATCCTAACCAGATTATAGATTATCCTAACATGGTCCTCATTCATGGTTATCTAATACAGTATAAGGCAGTCCAAACCCTCCCAATTTGAATTGTCACTATCCTCTCACTGTGGCCCATAATGTAGTTGGATGCCAAAAGAACGTGATTATATAACTTGCATTATAAAATTAACCTCAACAAAAGATTTTAAACAATGAGGGTGCAGAGAAGCTAATGGTTTTTTAAAGGATACTAATTTGATCAATTTACAGTAGCATCACTTCAAAACCTATTTTAAACTCCTAGTTAGTTTAACCAATCACATTATCATTCATGAAATATCCCTCTATAACCACCAGATTCTAGTTCTTGGCCCTATAGGAAAAGCCTCACCATCCGTCAACCACTTGCTGTCCAATCATCCAGCCATACAGTCAGTCAGTCAGTCAGTCATTCACCAAATAAACTAACCAGTCAGTCAGTCAGTCAGACACTAAATCAGCCAGACAACCAGGAGCTGAGACAGTCAAATGCCCAACACAAAGGAAGCAACATACCCTCTGATGTGGGGTATCTGGCATCCGCAGGGTTGATACATCCGACGTGGCATCGTAACCTGAAACACAACAATTATTCATGTTAATGATAAAATACATTATATGTTTGGATACTCTAATTATAGTTATAATTTAATTTAGGGCAATTGGGAAGTTGTTTAGCATGAACATTACTGTGAGTCTGAGAAATGTAGCTCTGCTTAACCTAACATAGTAGTGTTGTGGTAATGAAGAAATAAATGTGTGTAGAGGCAGTATACATGTTTGCAACTGGAAATCAACAAGGAAGGAAAGTTGATGTCTGGACAAGAAGACAAGATGAGCTTCCCAGGAAGAACTGGGAGCTGGTGTTGTGTGGTGCTGTTATTGGTTGCTGTGATCTACACAGTAAAATAACAACATACTGGAGTGAACAATATGGAAGAAAATGTAAAATAGAACCAATAAAGAACAGGGGTACCATAGGCACAATCAGATAACACTGTATAAACATCAGAGGTCCACGATTCAACAATCCTAGCAGCGCGTGAAAGAAATACTGTATTGCCAGAACAACCATGAACATCTTCAAGAAAAAACTAGATAGTTTTCTTCAAGAAGTGCTAGACCAACCAGGCTGTGGTGGGTATGTGAGCCTGTGGGCCACTCCAAGCAACAGCCTGGTGGACTAAACTCTCACAAGTCAAGCCTGGCCTCGGGCCGGGTTTGGGGAGTAGAAGTTGGTGAGGACCCCAGAACCCTATCAAGCAGGTAAGTGGTGGACTTCGGCTTCAGCAGCACTGGAAGCTGTTTGGATAAATGAAATTTGTTCTCCTATTTGACCGCATTATCATAAATGAACGTACAACCCCCTTTGACCTGATATTTTCAACTTTTTTCAACTCATAGCTCCCTGAACAAGGTGTTGAAATTAAGACACACACATACACCATAATTTCAAGAGAATGGTTTTAAAATTATTGTTCTTATTTCTTATTATTCCCCTCTCCCTCCCTCCCATCCGTCCTCCCTCCTCTCTCTCTCTCTTCCTCTCTCCCTCTCTCTCTTCCTCTCTCCCTCTCTCTCTTCCTCTCTTCCTCTCTCCCTCTCTTCCTCTCTCTTCCTCTCTCTCTCTCTCTCCTCTCTCTCTCTCTCTCCTCCCTCTCTCTCTCTCTTCCTCTCTCTCTCTCTCTCTCTCTCCTCCTCTCTCTCTCTCTCTCCTCTCTCTCTCTCTCTCTCTCTCTCTCTTCCTCCCTCTCTCTCTCTCTCTCTCTCTCTCTCTCTCTCTCTCTCTCTCTCTCTCTCTCTCTCTCTCTCTCTCTCTCTCTCTCTCTCTCTCTCTCTCTCTCTCTCTCTCTCTCTCTCTCTCTCTCACTCTCTCCTTTCCTCTCTCTCTCCCTCTCTCTCTCTCTCTCTCTCTCTCTCTCTCTCTCCTCTCTCTCTCTCTCTCTCTCTCTCTCTCTCTCTCTCTCTCTCTCTTCCTCTCTCTCTCCTCCTCTCTCTCTTCCTCTCTCTCTCCTCTCCTCCTCTCTCTCTCTCTCTCCTCTCCTCTCCTCTCTCTCTCTCTCTCTCTCCTCTCTCTCTTCCTCTCTCTCTCTCTCTCTCTCTCTCTCTCTCTCTCTCTCTCTCTCTCTCTCTCTCTCTCTCTCTCTCTCTCTCTCTCTCTCTCTCTCTCTCTCTCTCTCTCTCTCTCTCTCTCTCTCCCTCTCTCTCTCTTCCTCTCCCTCTCCCCCTCTCCCCCTCTCCCTCATCACACCAACCAGATTAGTCTGGTTAGAGACTGGGCCGAGGGGATGTTAATCCTCGGAATCACTGACAGGTAAACGGCAACACACGTGTTGAAAAACGCTGTCTTATGTCAGGGATAATTACCAGGCACCATGCCTTGTAATTATCCCAGGCATCATGCCTGGGATAATTACCAAACAGCACACCAGGCATAACTGCCACACAGAATGCCTACCAAACCTTGAGGTTCCATTGAGGTGTTTCCGGGGCCCCGCGGCCCGGTCGTCGACCAGGCTTCCTGGTTGCTGGACTGGTCAACCAGGCTGTTAGACGCGGCTGCTCGCAGCCTGACGTATGAGTCACAGCCTGGTTGATCAGGTATCCTTTGGAGGTGCTTATCCAGTTCTCTCTTGAACACTGTGAGGGGTCGGCCAGTTATGTCCCTTATGTGTAGTGGAAGTGTGTTGAACAGTCTCGGGCCTCTCATGTTCATAGTTCTCTCTCGGAGTACCTGTTGCACATCTGCTCTTCAACGGGGGAGGGGGGGGGGGTATTCTGCACATCCTGCCATGTCTTCTGGTCTCATGTGATGTTATTTCTGTGTGCAGGTTTGGGACCAGCCCCTCTACTATTTTCCATGTGTAAATTATTATGTATCTCTCCCGCCTGCGCCTCAAGAGCATACAGATTTAGGCATGCCAGGCATACCTGCCGAACAGCATACCAGGCATCATGCCAGCCTCTATGCTGTAATACTCCCTCTCCCTGGGTCACCACACTACTCTCATACAATAATGATATAATGTTTACCTCTAAAATACAAGAACATATTACAGAGGTATATATGGAGGTACAGGAGTTACACATTAAATAGAGCCAATATTACACAAAACATTTCAGGGCATTAGACCACAACCTTTGGACCATCCATGATGCTGTGGTGTGGAGGGTCGCAGGTGAGAGGCAGCCAACTGTACAACACAGAAAAGAGAGAGGCAGAAAAGCCACACACACACACACACACACACACACACACACACACACACACACACACACACACACACACACACACACACACACACACACACACAGATGACATTGATAGAGCCCAATAGGCTCAGGAACCTGTACACCAGTTGATTGACGGTTGAGAGGCGGGACCAAAGAGCCAGAGCTCAACCCCCGCAAGCACAATTAGGTGAGTACAATTAGGTGAGTACACACACACACACACACACACAGAGGGAGGCAGCCTGTTCAAGTGTATTTTGGTGGTGGCACCTGTGTTGTGTACTGTCTTACTGACCCCCTCCCTCCCCCACCACAACCCTCCCAGGGAGTAACGTGGTGGGGGGGGGGGGGAAGGGTATAAATTCTCCCTAGTTTGGTCCCTTCACTTGGCAGCTGCAGTTTATGCTCAGAAGAAGTGTAAGGTTCTGAGCTTAAATAGTGGTAATAGTTACCAGATATCCGATATCAGTAAATCAGTATCATATATTGCTCCTAACCACAATTTATAGCTCAGTTCTACTATTTTCTTTTAACAACAACATCTTTTATTAGGCGATGCAAGTGGTGTATCTTGCATGTTGCTTCAACGCTTGCAATATCGATGTAGAAATGTCCTCTTTTTCGTCGCTTCGTCTGTCTGAGTGTCTCAAGAGGATCCGACAAGGAACAGAAGGTTTAATTAATGTGTGGAGCCATGACTCGCGGTGATATTGTGTCGGTAGTGATGTTAGAGGAAGACTCCTCCCACACCTGCTGGTGAATGTCGCCCCTCAACACCCAACACTTCCATCCCTTGACCCAGGAGTGCCACCCCTGGCATTAGAGTGCCACCCCTGGCATTAGAGTGCCACCCCTGGCATTAGAGTGCCACCCCTGGCATTAGTGCCACCCCTGGCATTAGTGCCACCCCTGGCATTAGAATGGCACCCCTGGCATTAGAGTGCCACCCCTGGCATTAGAGTGCCACCCCAGGCATTAGAGTGCCACCCCTGGCATTGGAGTACCACCCCTGGCATCAGAGTACCAACCACTGGCACATAAAGCACCACGCTGACGACCAGGTCAACAATGTGGTTACCTCCTATCACACGCTAGACGGTGCTAGGAACACTGACCCAGGAGGCTGAGCCTGCAAGCCCTCTGGTCCTCTCACAGGAACACACATTGGCTCAAACATCTTGAGCCATGTGCTCGCCTCAGTAGACCCAGAGCCATAAACAGGAGCTGTGGTGGTCACTGGTAACGAGTGTGGGCGTACACTGACGGGTGGGGGGGGGGGTGAGTGAGTGTACACTGATGGAGGAGACAACACAAATATGTATACACACAGAAATCACAATAGCGTTATACATCAAACGAACAAATCCAAACATCAACTGAATATATATATATATGCGAACAAGCCTGAATGGTCCCCAGGACAATATGCAACTCATTATGTCCGGTCGTGATGGTCAAGTGGATTAAGGCGTCTTGTACATACCAGTTGCGTTGCTTCTGGGAGTATGGGTTCGAGTCACTTCTGGGGTGTGAGTTTTCAGTTTATATATATATATATATATATATATATATATATATATATATATATATATATATAATGAGAGAGCACGACAGAGACAGACACCAAAAAAAGAGTGACAGAAAGGAGGAGGAGGGGGGAGGGAGAGGGGGGGGGAAGAGAGAGGGATGGGGAAGTCCCTCAACACCCTAGACATGGCAGCAGACACCCATTGTTTAAACTTGTATTGTTACCTTAATAGCGTGTGTAGTGTGGAGTGTAGTGTGTGTTGTTTTGGTCCCACACACTTCTCACTCCCCCCCCCCCCCCTCTCCTTCATCCCCACCCCCCCCCCCTGCACCTCATCACCAACACTCCCCCAACAACAGGTGAGGGTCAGAGGTACACCATGGCATGCTAATGTTTGGTCCATAATTAACATTATTACGGCAGCGCCTACCACCTGGGGTGGGGACGAGCCCCGCCCCTACCTGCCACGGGCGCCACCACCTGCCACGGGCGCCACCACCTGCCACGGGCGCCACCACCTGCCACGGGCGCCACCACCTGCCACGGGCACCACCACCTGCCACGGGCACCACCACCTGCCACGGGCACCACCACCTGCCACGGGCGCCACCACCTGCCACGGGCGCCACCACCTGCCACGGGCGCCACCACCTGCCACGGGCGCCACCACCTGCCACGGGCGCCACCACCTGCCACGGGCGCCACCACCTGCCACGGGCGCCACCACCTGCCACGGGCACCACC